GTTATATATGAGTATTTACAGGGAACATTGTTGAATTGGTCTTCGAACAAGCTTGGTGAGTTAACCTCGATACATCGCTTCCATTTTATATAGTAAAGTGTGACCCAGTATCCTTTACCTGCTAATTTATGTGTTACAAGACCCCTTGGTTCAGGATACCTATTCTTCCAGTGAATGAAATAATGAGCATTGATCAATGCCACACTCAGCAAGAGTCCAGCTATAAGAATGCGGTCTCTAAATAATCAAGTCTGCACCTGACAATCCAGTGATTGACATCATGAGCATCCATCTATCCAATCGGGATACAATGACATGCATCAACCAAGTCGGCGAGCCTGAAAACTGGATCCCTTTAGTCGCCTCATGGTTTGCTAAATTCTAACCTGGAATTTTCACGGGTCTGGGTGAGTGAGTGAGTGAGTGAGTGAGGGAGGGAGGGAGGGAAGGAGGGACTTACCAAGCCAGACCAACCACTCCACTTCAAGTTTCTCTCCTGACAAGCACAGGCTACTTTGTACCACATCCCCCCGGATGACACAGAACATCATCAGACAAGATCAGTCCCAGTCCTTGTCTCACAAACATTTACAAATTTAGAAAGAAAAGAAAGAAAAATATGTAATGTCTTTTAAAATAATTATGTTGAGTCTGATTTATTGTTATTTTCAATATCCCGAATAGGGTCACCCTTAGACAAGACAACAAATTTGTCTGGTCTAAAAAATCAAATAATCGTGCGAATGATGAATACAAAACATTACTGTGAGATAACAAGATTTTCTACAGCCCCTAACCATTCACACAGCCCATCTGGGTGACTGCACCTACTAAATACCTACTGAAGGCCCCAGGTATGAATACCAGTGAAAGGAGTGGCTTGTACTCTGAATGTCTTTGACAGCAATACTGCAGTGCCTTCTTGTGTTGTTTGAACATAGGAATACAGTGCTGGGACTGACATTCCTTGTATTTTAGCCCTCATGGTTAAAATGGTAATGCCATGGCTGCTATATGTTCCCGATGCCTGATGGGGACACTTAGAAAGAAACAGGGTTTTACACAACTCAGAAATGTGTGTCCAATATGTACTAAGGAAAAGAATGGGTGCAGAGAAAAAAACTTATTTCATCCTGAGGGACGCACAATAATATTCATTGTACCAAATTCTCCACAAGAAATATATAGGTCCTGTAGTGAGTGAGTGAGTGAGTGAGTGAATATGGTTTTATGCCGCTTTTAGCAATATTCTAGCAATATCTCGGCAGGGACACCAGAAATGGGCTTCACACATTGTACCCATTTCGGGAATTGAACCCGCGTCTTCTGCATGACGAGCGAACGCTACATCCACTAGACAACTCGAACGCCCCTATATAGGTCCTGTAATTAAATTAACTATCAAATCTTACAGTAAACAACACTACACCATTTCATTACTAACTCGACCCTCATATTTCCTCTAAGGATTCTTGAAAAAAATTATTGGGGTACTTTGCGCCCCCAGATTTGTTAGTCAAGGTAAAACCTGGAAGAAATATCAATACCTTGTGATAATTATCAATGTTAATGAAGTGGGCAAACTTTCTGAATGACAACTGCTGATAACATGGCCCATGGTGAAATGACATTCCCTGTGTTGGAAGATTGATCAGAAATATTATTCTCGTTGGCGCACTTAAGTTACAAAAGGGCACTCTGCAATGTGCTTATGTCTGTCCTGTGGCACACTTGAAAAAACCCTACATTTCCATCCCTGCAGTGTGAATTCCCATCTACAACTCCCCCTGGCAAAAGAGCAGAATTTCTGCCATTGTGTTGATCTCGATGTGTTTGCCAGTTACTTACAAAAACAGAGGCAGCCCCATTACCGCCACTTCCTGAAAGCATCAAGTCTTAAAGTACCATCATGTACATCCAGACCTTGAGCTTCATCAAGACAACTTCCTAAGATCCAACAATTGCCCAAGCCTCAGGATTGTACAAGTACAAGTGCAACAGTAACTGGCAATGAATGATACAACCATGGTTCACAATAACCTCAGAGATGACCTTGACCCTTGATCACAATAACCTCAGAGATGACCTTGACCCTTGATAGACATACCAATTTCATATGCAGCAGAATCTTTAAGATACAAGTAGATGTAAAGTCCCATGACTGTGGAGGTAACCATGCCTCAGAATCTGACAATTATATAACCGTGTTTTACAAAGGCTGAACACTTACACTGACTAAAATCTAGAATTGATCTTATTCAAATCAAATCTTGGAGCTCGCTTCCATTACACAAGGATCTGAGGACATCCCATTGCAGTTCATTTCAGAATGACCTTTCATGAACTTTGACTGACAAATGAAATGACAAGCAGGAAATCAACATTAGCCAATCCGAAAGCAGCTTCCTCAAGCCTTACTGTACTAGTTTGGCAACTTCCATTCCAGACTATGCTTTGAAAAATATTCTGACAAAGTTTCTATTCAAAATTCTGAACAAAAGAAAATTCTGGAATGTCCAATAGATGACTGAGATTGTATGGCAGTACTTCCCAAGGTCTATGGAAAGTCTCTTCAAGTTCAAATATCTAGCATGTCATTGTCTAGCATGTCATTGTCTAGCATTTGGAATCAGTTGTACAACCAATAGCTGTCGTTCAGAATGTCCCGTGTTAACGTTTTCAAGGTTGCGAGCGCTAAGATCTAATATTAATGACATTGTTGACAATTCAGCAGATATTTCAAAGTGTTATTACTTCATCTGTATCAGTACTCTTATATTGTGCATGTAGATAATATCAGGACCACCCTGTATTTAAATATATATTTTGAAATTTCACCAGTTTAGAGCAGTTCTGAAAGTGATGTTCTCACCATGAAATAATGTGTGCCGGTTCTCTCTAGCTTATGTACAAGACTTTCAAAAACACTTGTCATGTTCACCAATTTGTATGTAACACTTGTCATGTTCACCAATTTGTATGTAACACTTGTCATGTTCACCAATTTGTATGTAACACTTGTCATGTTCACCAGTTTGTATGAAACACTTGTCATGTTCACCAATTTGTACGTAACACTTGTCATGTTCACGAATTTGTATGAAACACTTGTCATGTTCACTAATTTGTATGTAACACTTGTCATGTTCACCAATTTGTATGAAACACTTGTCATGTTCACCAACTTGTACGTAACACTTGTCATGTTCACCAATTTGCACGTAACACTTGTCATGTTCACCAATTTGTACGTAAAACTTGTCATGTTCACCAATTTGTATGTAACACTTGTCATGTTCACCAATTTGTTCGTAACACTTGTCATGTTCACCAGTTTGTATGTTACACTTGTCATGTTCACCAATTTGTATGTAACACTTGTCATGTTCACCAGTTTGTACGTTAAACTTGTCATGTTCACCAATTTGTATGTAACACTTGTCATGTTCACCAATTTGTTCGTAACACTTGTCATGTTCACCAGTTTGTATGTTACACTTGTCATGTTCACCAATTTGTATGTAACACTTGTCATGTTCACCAGTTTGTACGTTACACTTGTCATGTTCACCAATTTGTATGAAACACTTGTCATGTTCACCAGTTTGTACGTAACACTTGTCATGTTCACCAATTTGTATGAAACACTTGTCATGTTCACCAATTTGTACGTAACACTTGTCATGTTCACCAATTAGTATGAAACACTTGTCATGTTCACCAATTTGTACATAACACTTGTCATGTTCACCAATTTGTATGAAACACTTGTCATGTTCACCAGTTTGTACGTAACACTTGTCATGTTCACCAGTTTGTACGTAACACTTGTCATGTTCACCAATTTGTATGTAACACTTGTCATGTTCACCAATTTGTACGTAACACTTGTGATGTTCACCAATTTGTAGGTGTTCCTGAGAACAAAGCAAGAAGTGATTATTTACTTTTTATCAAAATAAGCTACGGTACCATTATCAACAGTAACATACAATGTGTATGTGAAACTCAAAAGGTCGACGGATCATTGTAACTATGATCATATGGTTATTGTCCCAGTTGGGGTGGTAACATATCATTGATCCACAGCAATTAACAGGTAATGTCAGTCTCAACTTTAATGGTGTAAACATGGTGTATCTCACAGCAACAGATTAAGACGTACAAAACACATCATCACTGTCTTATCACACCTGAAAATAAATCATTAACCTGTCATGTCTTTATTGTCGAAGCAGCGTTATATTTCTCCAGGGAGATTGCAGACAGATTGCCCATTCAGACAAAGTATGAATGGCACTGGGTAACTAGCACACAGCTATTTCAAAAGATGATATCACCTATGTGTATAACATGTTAGAAAGGACTGTGCATTATCAAAGAATCTTTGTAGAACACAATGCAATGCAAGTACTTGAAATGTTTTTACACATATGTTCATTTGTAACCCATATATACACAAGCCTAGGGAGAGAGCACTTGCTGGCTTTCTAAGTCAGGAAGTCTCGCCTTGGTCATGGATGAGCGACTTTATTCATAGTTCACACCAACAGGACCATTGACCTGGAAATCCACTGATCAGATTAATTTGAAATATCCTAATCTTGTATCTGATTTGTATACTTTTTGTCATTTAACAATATTAGGCAATGTGAAGTTTTCCCTATTTCTTTCTGTTATTGACAAATAACCTTAGTTTCTAGTTGATTAAATTCGGCCACGACCGGTCAATTGGAACCAGAGAACGGCAGAAGCAAGTAACGGTTCGTTGCCTGTTCTTTCACGACCAGCAGGATCTATGTAACCTATCTACATACAATACATCCCAGTTCGGATGTAATATGTGTCAAATCTATCAATACGGGATTATTATCTAACAAGATCGATACAGGGCAAGCTCCTCGACTCCGCAGAGATGTATGCGGGCATGCGCCTAACACGGAGGTTCATCGGCGGATTTCGCTGTGGGCAAAGATCAAAGACGCCGCTAATATACATACCTGTGTCAGGTGTAGTACGGAACAATTCCCCAGGCCGACGTGTTGTCATTTCGGACACATTTGCACTTAAATATCACTAGATTGAGAGCTCAGATGTCCTCTGTGCACAACTCTCTCGGGTCGGATATGCACAACGATAACACTAAAGTCTGCCTGTCATGTCGCTGGATAACTGCCACAGAAATCCAACCGCTCCCTGCTACCATCCCACTGCACAATGTAAGCCCTTCACATCTACTCCCACATACAGCGATTTCCACTCTTCGTAGTGTCAACATTTGAATCGGCCTGTTCTACTTGTCAGACCAACCTTAGCGAGGTCGGAGATACCTTCGCCTTCGGTAACCTTCGTCAGTTTACGTCGCTAGAGATTGAATCAGACTGACTGCGTTTTGGAGCCATGAACAGACCAGTGTTTATTTGAACTAACGCATTGTCAGTTCCCACCGGGGTTCTAAACTATGAATTGCTAAAATCATTTAATCTTTAAGTTAGATTTTGTTCACTAATTCTTGCAGGCAGAGTTTGGAAATGAAAGTATATATGCGTCATAATTCGATCAAGCCTATTTTGTCTGAGATTAATTACAGAAATGGCTGTTATTTGGTAAGAGTGTGTTGCCAGTCGTTCTGAAATGCCAAACTTTTTAATTCAATGCATCTCATGGTCTCATTTATACTTCTTACTTTTATATAACTTTTATACAAATGCGAGACCTTCCATAAAGAAATGTCGTTCCATTCTATAAGACTTAAATAAATTGAAGGGGAAGTAACGAGTAATATATTTGTTATGTAACAAATGCTGTGTTTAGAATAACACTTTCCTGGTAAACAAGAAATTCTAGTACTTTGAGGGGTTGAATCCCATGCGGGATTCGAACCCACGCTCTCAGAGTGAGGCACCTATCCGACAGCACACAAAGTCAGCGAACTGTTCGACTCAGCCACCGAGGCTTCCACAAAATGGAAGTCTGATAACTGGTAGTCAAGATCACGTTCTTTGTGTACCCCTCTGACAAGTGTAAATTGGCACGGCCCCCATGGCCGAAAGGTATGAAAACACAATGCCATTTAGGAAATGGTCAGATGGAACAAATGTTATATTTGGGATAACACTTTAATGGTAAAGTACAACTTTTGGGGGTTGAGTTCCATGCGGGATTCGAACCCACACTCTCAGAGTGAGGCACCTAATCCCGCATGGGACTCAACCCCTCAAAGTACTAGTGTTTGTACTTTATTCCCAATATAACATTTGTTACTTTTGACCACTTTCTAAAAGGCATTGTGTATTCATATTTTTTGTCATGTTTGGTCCTGGAATGTCTGCCGACTTGAGAGAGCTATGAGCCTCGTAAACGATATATTTTCGTGTGGTATGCAAGACATACGCATGCATTGTCAATGAGTATAACACCGCATGGAACAGAATTTCCGGTCAATGTGCGCAGAAAACCCAGTTTGACGCAGGCGGTTGCCTCTTCAGGGAAACCCGTACACATGTGTGGTGCTAGCAGACCAAAGCGTAGTAGCGTCCATTCTGGGATTCAAACCTTCGATCAGGGGATCGAGGAAGGGTTATCGAATTGCTTTTCTTTAAACCATTGGGACATCCACGAACGTTTAGACGTGAACGTTGCAACTGCTCAAAACTATAATTCCGTCTAACAGTCATGTCGCCAAAACGCAACATGGTTCAGCTCGTTGTGACCTGTCTGTCGCCACACCTGCAATGCGGAATGTAAGGATACAAGGGAGAGAACTCGAACATGTTATGTCGGATTGAGAATGATGGACGCTTATTCAAAATACAAATTTGAAAATTAAAATCTGTGCTGAATATAAACTTAAACATTCATTTTGATAGTAAACTGTTTGACACTTAAAAATTATATTTAAATGACAAATTCAAATACATGTATACTTTTTAGAAGCATGCATATAAGGTTGTGGACCTGTAGATGAAGCTATATAATAATTAGTGACAGGTCTCGCGTCAACAAATCACGACTATACCCACAACTTTTTCATAATACTTTTTATGTGTTAAAGCCAAATGTTCGTATCGATAAAGTCACTTAAACGCATACATCATCGCCCTTGTAAAATGCTTAATCTATATACATAGTGACTTTTTCTACTCCAGATTGTTTTAGTACTTGCATACGACTGACTGTGGAATTTGTTGAATAATGTGATTAAAAGAGTATTTGCATTTGTTTAAGTTAATGTTTTATTCAGCAACTTGTTAACAGGACGTATACGCTCATTGTGGCGATCAGCATAAGGGGTTTTATGGACCTGCTGAACGTTCCTATTTGTGATGGGGTACAACTAGTTAAGTTAGTCCCGTATGGAGAGAATAATGTAAATATACTCTGTTCTACCATCCCCTAAATGTCGCGATCTTCCTACAAGTGTCTATTTTTAATGTCTGTCCCTAAAAAGTGATGAAAATGTTGACCCTGTTTTAAAAACGGAGGGAGACATTTTGGATCACACGTCACCACGCAAGTTCCATATATAGATGAATAAAAATAATTGCCACGCCATTCTCGCTTGGTACTCTTGCTGTTTTTCTTATACAACATGTACAAGTATGATTTAGCTGTATTGCGTTTGGAGATATTTACCCGTTGTATCCGATCACCTGTAAATGTTCCAAATGTTTGAGTGTACATCCCTCTAGTTTGAGTGTGTTTGGGTATTGTTTTACGCCGCTTTTAGCAATATTCCAGCAATATCACGACGGGGGACGCCAGGAATGGGCTTCACACATTGTACTCGTGGGGAATCAAACCCGGGTCTTCGGCGTGACGAGCGAACGCTTTATCCACAAAGCTACCCCACCGCCCCGCAAATGTTGGCAACAGCCAATTATTTATTATCCTAAGTGAGTATGTGTGTGTGTGTGTGTGTGTGTGTGTGTGTGTGTGTGTGTTAGGCTGCTTGTACTTGTGCGGACAAATGCCGATTTTATAATGCTTGCCCACCGAGATGCCATGCCTCAGTAAACACGAATTCCCCTATTAGACACAGCATACTGACTCCAAGCCGTATAGTCTTTCTTTTAGCCCCTATTGCCGAGCGCCAGACAGGGTAACAACAAGAACCATCTTTTAACGTATTTTGGTATGACGCGGCCGGGGATCGAACCCCAGACCGTCTGCTCTCCGGGCGAACGCTCTACCACTAGACCATGGAGGCGGTCTATAATCTGGCTCACCAGTATAAACTTAGAGGTTCAAATTGATCAGAGATCGCAAAATGGGCCGGTGGCATCATTACGGAATAAACAATACGAAACTAGTTGCAGTTTTATGACGTGTAGTTTAACCATAATTCTTTCATTAAACACCGAACATGGATATGAGAACACACACACGCACGCACGCACGCACGCACGCACGCACGCACAGGCAGAGAGAGAGAGAGAGAGAGAGAGAGAGAGAGAGAGAGGCAGACAGGCAGGCAGGCAGACAGACAGACATACAGACAGTTTCCCCTGTGCACAGTTTCGTACACTCAATGTATTAGTATACGGTTATATAACCATCGTGATATTCGAAGTATGTGAAGTTTCAAATTGTATTTTCATATATACTTGTCGCTTTCTGTTTGCCATTGTACTGGCATTGTAAAATATGCTGGCTACGTAATAATGTGCCACTCATGAAATACCACCTTTGTCAGGCCCCTATATGAGATATACGTGTTTTGACAAGTAAAGCCTAATATCCTCTATTTACTTCACTTTCAACAAATAACACTGGCAACTTTATTCAATGATTGGCAGGGTGTTTACATAGCTAAGAAATATACCCCGTTTATTTATACGTACACACGCATTATTTTGTCAATACTTCCATGTGGATGCGTAATACGCTTTGGCATAGCCTAGATGTGCCCAACTATTCCTTGTAATCAGTATTATCCTATAATTCCCGCCAGTGGGTACACACGTCGGTATTTGGGAGTTGCAAACGTCCGCATGTCCCCAGCAGTCTTGTCTGTGTCCCAGGCCCTGAAGAATAAATTACAAAAGGTGTCCAGCTCAAGTCTAGAATGATTTGGCAAGTCTAGATTGACTTAGCTTTTAAGTAACTTTATTTCTTAACGCTAGAGACACCTGTACCTCATTGTACACCCTGCTAGAGACACCTGTACCTCATTGTACACCCCGCTGGAGACATCTGTACCTCATTGTACATCCCTCCAGAGACACATGTACCTCATTGTACACCCCGCTAGAGACACATGTACCTCATTGTACAACCCGCTAGAGACACATCTACCCCATTGTACAACCCGCTAGAGACACCTGTACCTCATTGTACACCCCGCTAGAGATACATGTACCTCATTGTACAACCCGCTGGAGACATCTGTACCTAATTGTACATCCCTCCAGAGACACCTGTACCTCATTGTACACCCTGCTAGAGACACATGTACCTCGTTGTACACCCCGCTGGAGACACCTGTACCTCATTGTACACCCCGCTAGAGACACCTATACCTCATTGTACATCCCCCTAGAGACACATGTACCTCATTGTACACCCCGCTGGAGACATCTGTACCTAATTGTACATCCCTCTAGAGACACCCGTACCTCATTGTACACCCTGCTAGAGACACATGTACCTCATTGTACATCACGCTGGAGACACCTGTACCTCATTGTACACCCCGCTAGAGACACATGTACCTCATTGTACATCCCGCTAGAGACACCTGTACCTCATTGTACAACCCGCTGAAGACATCTGTACCTAATTGTACATCCCTCCAGAGATACCTGTACCTCATTGTACACCCTGCTAGAGACACCTGTACCTCGTTGTACACCCCGCTGGAGACACCTGTACCTCGTTGTACACCCCGCTGGAGACACCTGTACTTCATTGTACACCCCGCTAGAGACACCTATACCTCATTGTACATCCCCCTAGAGACACATGTACCTCATTGTACACCCCGCTAGAGACACCTGTACCTCATTGTACACCCCGCTAGAAACACATCTACCCCATTGTACACCCCGCTAGAGACACCTGTACCTCAGTGTACACCCCGCTAGAGATACATGTACCTCGTTGTACAACCCGCTAGAGACACATGTACCTCGTTGTACAACCCGCTAGAGACACATCTACCTCATTGTACACCCCGCTAGAGATACATGTACCTCGTTGTACAACCCGCTAGAGACACATCTACCCCATTGTACAACCCGCTAGAGACACCTGTACCTCAGTGTACACCCCGCTAGAGACACATGTACCTCATTGTACAACCCGCTAGAGACACATGTACCTCATTGTACAACCCGCTAGAGACACCTGTACCTCATTGTACACCCTGCTAGAGACACATCTACCTCATTGTACATCCCGCTAGAGACACATGTACCTCATTGTACACCCCGCTAGAGACACCTGTACCTCATTGTACATCCCGCAAAAGACACCTGTACCTCATTGTACACCCTGCTAGAGTCATCTGTACCTCATTGTACACCCCGTTAGAGACACCTGTACCTCATTGTACACCCTGCTAGAGACACCTGTACCTCATTGTACATCCCGCTAGAGACACCCGTACCTCAGTGTACACTGTATTCACTGTAAAAAATTATAACATAATAATTAAGAAAATATCGGACTGCATGCCTCAAGTCAACAATGGCCCCTACGAGTTGTTGTGTGCCAAGATATTTGACTGATACGTTTCTAACTTGCGGGATTTTCTTTTGAAGTACATAATTTTTTTTTTTAAACTGAGCATTCGTGCATACAATAGATTATTAAAAAGATATGTATAGCCAACTTGGTAAAGAGTAACACGAGTTTCATATACGGGTGTTCTTATGCCGTCCGCCTGTCGAATAGAGTTGACAGTTGGGGCACGGCTTGCGAAACACTCTGTCGAATTGGTTCGACAGTAGCATTGAGAGCTTTCAGAGGTCGCATTCTGCCTCAGCAATTTCTGCTGACCTGCCTCTCCTGGGGACTCATGGGTGTGAGTTGGGTACAAATATCTGTTGGGAGTTTTAATATCGATAAGATTTCTTTTTCGTTGTTGTATGAATTGAATTTCTATTTTTAGAAATTGATAGAATATCCCTGGCTGCTCTGTTCGAATCGTTCGAGGAGCTGACCATCTTTGACTTGTGAAACCTCGTGTAGTTTATCTAGCCGTTCAGGTGCATCTCGTAGTAGAAGTAGTTGTAGTATTCGTAGTAGTATTCGTAGTAGTAGCAGTAGTAGTGGTAGTAGTGGTAGCTGTGGTATAGCAGTAATAGTGGTAGTAGTGATAATAGTAGTAGTAGTAGTAGTAGCAGCAGCAGCAGCAGTAGTAGTAGTAGTAGTAGTAGTAGTAGTGGTAGCTGTGGTATAGCAGTAATAGTGGCAGTAGTGATAATAGTAGTAGTAGTAGTAGTAGCAGCAGCAGCAGCAGTAGTAGTAGTAGTAGTAGTAGTAGTAGTGGTAGCTGTGGTATAGCAGTAATAGTGGCAGTAGTGATAATAGTAGTAGTAGTAGTAGTAGCAGCAGCAGCAGCAGTAGTAGTAGTAGTAGTAGTAGTAGTAGTAGTGGTAGCTGTGGTATAGCAGTAATAGTGGTAGTAGTGATAATAGTAGTGAGTGATATTTAACAATACATGTATTACAAAACTCAATGTGCCAAACATACATGCATATATTAACACCTTTCGTACATGTGTTTAAGAAAACTGATATTTTAAGGAAATAAGATAAGTTATCTGAGGGTATTTTACGCGAACAGTCGAGACAGTTTCGTATTGATACCCCGACACTACCACCGGTATCCAAGAATTACTGGAAGGACAAAGCCACCTGTATAACAATGGCTATAATCTTCCGCCTGTTACTCGCTCCGACGAGTCGCTTCTTTGCGGCTCTGCCGTGCATGTCACTTAGACCCATGTTTGGTTATACAATCAGAGGATATCGGGTTACGAGATACGATTTGCCCTTTAATTCCTCCGTGTGTGCAGTATATAACTGGACACAACAGAAAGAATTACCATTTCCCCTCTCTGATGTGTCTAAGGCAGGACCTGTGCACCTCCATACATTACATTCTCTCATACCTGTAGCTCGGGTCCACGGGGACACAGAACAAGTTGTTGCCGTTGTACAAGAATGTTTGAGGTATTTTTAATTCTTTTGGTGTGAATATTAGCCTACTTTTAATGACAGGCTGAAGGAGTTGATTCAGCGTCAGCTAGCCACAAGACCTGTTTGACGAGTGACGATTATACCAGCGACCGTGTCTCTTGTCGGCGGATCAGAGTACATACACAAACTCGTATTCGTTGGCTATGTTTAAATTCCTATTTTAAATTTGTACCTTGACAACGGTTCTGGTTGATGACGTCATATTTGTTGCTAAGCAACCATTTATTTGAACAGACGAATACGAAGCAGCTAATAATATATTAACCTTTTATCAAATAGAGTCAAACTTTCTCGGTCAAGTTATGGCTGCTCAATAAAGGGCTTGAATATGTATATATAAGTATTAAGTATGTTCAACCACAACCAAACATATGTTAGAAAGAAGCATGCACCTGACACTTTGCCTTTTCCGTGTTTTGGTTAACCCCCGATATTATGATAACGGTATGATAACAATCATATTTTAACATCAACATGAAATAAGTGTCAAAATATCATCATACAATTTTGTTAAAAGATTGCCCCCCTTCGCTCTACCAGAATCCGCTGGCTTTGAATCTCGAATCTCATATTCACCCTCATTCTGACAAATTGAATGTTGATTTATGCCGCTGTCATCAATAGAACAGCATAAAACATCCAAATCTGGTCCCCACAGGAGATATCGCTTGGATGAGATCAAGCGATATCAACACTGTAGATATCGCTGCAACGAAATTACATCGCAATGCTTTGCAGACCACTGTGATGTCACTGGTTACCATGACGTCACAATCAAATGACACCACTAATGGCTCTGCTACTGAAGCTGTTTGCAGTACTTTTTACACTTAAGACACTGCTTATTACTCTCTACAAATTGAAAAAGTTGGAAGAATGATATTGGATGATAAATAAAATCTCACCCTCGTGTCGTTTGATATTAAATATATCAACACTCGGAGTTTGTCCACTTTTATCAACTTGTGTTGATATATTTGATATCAAAAGACACTCGGTTGAGATTCTCTATATCACGGCGACCTGTACATGATAGGGTTTGGGCAAGGAAAGCAGTGATTGATAGCATGAACAAGCATCCTTGCCGTCGGGGTATACGATGACACAATGAAGCTGGTGACACGATGTCTTATTTTCGTCTGCTCTTTACCGACAAGCATGACCCGTGAAGATCCGGGGTAGAATAGGTCTTCAGCAACCCATGCTTGCCGTAAAAGGCGACTATGCTTGTCGTAAAAGGCGACTATCATGATCTGGGGGTGAGGCTCGGTGACTTGGTTGATGCAGGTCATCGTATCCCAATTGCGTGGAGCGATGTTGATGATGTCAATCACTGGATTGTCTGGTCTAGGCTCGATTATTTACAGACCGCCGTCATATAGATGGAGTTTTACTGAGTGCGGCGTTTACCAAATCCAAACAACAAATTTACAAGCATGAGTGCTTGGGCAAACTCTGATCCGAAATTCTAACACCCTCGTTTGTCTGCCCAATGATTTCAATGAAGTGTCGTTCCCTCTAACTCCAAGCTTCATGTATATTTTTTCGTTATTTAATATAAAATGACTTGCATTGCGTGGTGAAACATTATTTGTGTAAATTTAATGCATGCTGTTTCATGACCTGATAAATAGAAGCTTGTGAACATTTGGCGTCTGCATAGCGTGAACTGTGACGCAGCTTGTGTGTTTAACAATAGCATGGCCCGACATCTGTGGTACTGGTGTGCACACGTGGCACATCAAATGCACGTGCCAGTGTCACAGCTGTGTGCGTCGTGCGGCACGACACAACACAGATGGTCAACATGAATCTAAAACAGCTGCCTATAAATTAGTCCAAATTGGTCCACATGACCTGTCCATCTATGTAATGTTTACCATAGTGGTCTCATATAAGTGTCAAGTTTGTTTGTTTGTTGTTTAACGCCCAAATCAGCAATATTCCAGCTATATGACGGCGGTCTATAAGTAATCGAATCTGGGCCAGACAATCCAGTGATTGTCACCATGAACATCGATCCACGCAATTGGGATACGATAACATGCATCAACCAAGTCAGCGAGTCTCACCATCCGATCCGGTTAGTCGCCTCTTACGAGAAGTAGTCGCCATTTACGGCAAGCATGGGTTGCTGAAGACCAATTCTCGCCCGGATCTTCACAGGTCATGTACGTGTTATATCAGAAAACCGTGTATATTTTACAATGTATTCTTGGTGATAATTAATACCTCCCAAAAATATTATGATTTTGATAGACTTGCCTTGTCACTGTCTTCCTACTTCGTGGGGATTCTGTTGGTTCCCAGAAATAATATGCTTGTCTTAAAAGGCGACTAAACGCATCGGGTGGTCGGGCTCGTAGACTTGTCGGGTTGGGTGTCATCGTATACCCACAGCATTGGACGTAGCTCATTACATCAATCATTGGATTGTCTGGTATATTTTATGGACTCGATTATTTACAGGCCGTCGTCATATAACTGGGATATTGCTTACTTTAAAACAACAAACAAACAACATCTTTACGGCACTCCATACACCACATAATTTTGAGTCTAGACGTAATATACAGTAATTAAGATGTTAAACTCTCAAAGAAATCTCTCAAGTCTGTGTTTCTATACTGCCGGGCAAAAGAAAGTATACACTTGAAATTTGGATTTGACCAAAACATTACAAATGTTATGAAAACGTTACGGGCAGACTGTTGTGAGATAGTTATTGATCTGATGCATGTAATATCGCATATAACAAATACATCACCATCGAATAACAATTTTTATCCTCCAAAACTGATCTCCACAAGAGTTATCGCTTGGGTGAGATCAAGCGATATCTACAGTGTAGATATCGCTGCAATGAAAATGCATCACAATGGTCTGCAAAGCTACTGAAGCTGTTAGCAGTACTTTTTACACCGAAGACACTGACTATTGCTGTCTACAAACTGAAAAGGTTGGAAGAATGATGTTAGATGATAAATTAAATCTCACCCTCGTGTCTTTTGATATAAAAAATATCAACACTCGTTGATAAAAGTGGAAAAGGTCCTCGGCAAGCCTCGGAGTTTTTTCACTTTTATCAGCTCGTGTTGATATATTTGATATCAAAAGACACTCCGATGTGATTCTCTGTGTATTTGGTTTCATTTGTATACCCTCCATTAAACATGACGTGAATACCCCACTCAGACACCGAGCCGACCAATCTTTGTTTTAGCCCCTTAATGCCGAGCGCCAAACAGGGTTACAAGAAGTACCATCTTTTAACGTCTTTTGGTATGACGCGGCCGGGGATCGAACCCCGGAACCTCTATGAGTTCTCTGAGAAAAAGTGTAGGTTTCCTGATCTCATATGAATGTAAAAAACTAAGCCACGCAAACAATTAAAACAATGGAACAATTGTTATAATGTTCAGTGAGATTAATTTACTAGGCCCAGGTCCACAAAGCGACAATAGCTTTAAGATGATCGTGGCTCTAATAATTTAACATAGGCTTAGGATGATTTTAACGCTAAGATCGCTTTGTGGAACGGGGCCTTGAAAATCATTTCATCTTTATCCGTACGGTTATGTGTTATATCAGAACAGAAGTGTACGTTACATGGAATCTACATCTACATGAAATGTTTGATGAATGTCACCATCCACACTGTTTCGGGTCCCGCAGGACTAGAAATGTAAATCATTCGTTATCAGTTTGTATCCATTTTTATAGAAGTCGCAATATATTGCTTCCTTAAAAACCCTATTATGTGGTTTGATGAACAGCGACTGTTCCATGTTTCAGCCCAGGACAGCTGCCAATGTTTCTATGTACCCGAATGTCGGGTCGGAGCTGGACGCCAGTGCCAAGATCGATACTCAGACATTAGTAGAACAAGCAGGTGAGTCTGAGTGAGTGAGTGAGTGAGTGAGTTGGGTTTAACGTCGCCTTTAACAGTATTCCAGTTATATCGCGGCGTGTCAGCTTAATGTGGGAGGAACGCCCGAAGTGATGTAGGTCTCAGACGTTTACCACTTCGGTGAAACCCACGAGCACGGGTATGGTGCTGACAAACCTAGAAACATAATCGGGGCGAACCGGGATTCGAACCCACAATCATAGGTTTCTGGCGTGCCCAAGGGACGCAACTCTGCACAGCGAATCGCGACGACTGGACCACCCGTTCCCCGCAGGTGAGTCTGAAGTGACTCTGGGAGTTAGTGTGTGAGTTGGGATTAATGCCGATCTGAGCAGGATTTCAATTTTATCACAGGGTGTCAATTTACTGTGTGAGTGAGTGAGTGAGTATGGTATTACGCCCCTTTTAGCAATATTCCAGCAATATCACGGCACCAGCAATGGGCTTCACACATTGTAGCCATGTCGAGAATCGAACCCGGGTCTTCGGCGTGACGAGCGAACGCTTACACCACTTGGCTACCCCACTGCCCCTGATGTTTGAGGAAAGCTCAAAGTGATTCCGGTAGTAAAAGTTATGTGTAATGTAAATATGAAACCCACTAACGACGTATTGCGCTGACAAAGCATAGATCATACTCGGCGTGAATCTAATGTACACATCTGATGAATCCTAACAGCTAGCGAATTCCGGGGCCCCATAGTGAGATTTATTTACTTAAAGTTCCGCATGCATGCGTTTATAACTCCAATCCGTCTTTAGTACTGCATGGGGCGATGGGGTACCCTAGTGGTTAAAGCGTTCGCTCGTCTCGCCAAAAACCCGGGTTCTTTTCCCAACAGGGTACAATGTGTGTAGCCCATTTCTGGTTTGCTAGGGACCTAGTCCAACCCGGCATCCACACGGGATGACGTTGCATGTTGGGATTTTTTCATCGACGCGACATCCTTGTTATACCCCGTTCACACTGCCATGTCGATCGTCGCACCAGGTATGAGAGGGCGCATTGGTGGTCCAATCGTCAAAGGCGCCGCAAGTCACTGCGCAGTTGTGTCCCTTAGGCGCGCCAGAAAACAATGATCGTGGGTTCGAGTTTCAGTGAGTGAGCGAGTAAGGTTTAACGCCGCTTTTAGCAATATTCCAGCAATATCACGGCAGGGGACACCAGAAATGGGCTTCACACATTGTACCCATGTCGGAAATCGAACCCGGGTCTTCGGCGTGACGAGCGAACGCTTTAACCACTAGGCTATCCGACCGCCCCTCGAGTTTCAGATTCGCTCTGATTGCTTCTAGGTTTGTCAGCACAATACCCGTGCTCGTTGGATTTACAAAAGTGGTTAACGTCTAAGAACTACATCACTTCAGGCTTTCACCAAACATCAAGCTGACTTCCCTTCAAAGCGGCGTTAAACCTAACTCACTCACTTCCTCACAGGAAGGCTTTTGCGATCTCTGATCAATTTAACCTCTAAGTTTGTACTGGTGAACCAGGTTATTTCAGAGACCGCCTCCGTGGTCTAGTGGTAGAGCGTCCGCCCGGAGAGCAGAAGGTCTGGGGTTTTCGATCCCCGGCCGCGTCATACCAAAATACGTTAAAAGATGGTTCTTGTTGTTACCCTGTCTGGCGCTCGGCAATAAGGGGCTAAACAAGGACTACACGGCTTGGAGTCAGTATGCTGTATCTAATAGGGGAATTCGTGTTTACTTCGGCATGGCATCTCGGTGGGCAAGCATTATAAAATCGGCATTAGTCCGGACAAGTACAAGCAGCCTAACACACGCACGCACGCACGCACGCACGCACGCAAGCAAGCACGCACACACGCAAGCACGCACACACACAGACACACAGACACACACACAATGATCTTGGACGCCACGTTTAAACCCATTTCACCTCACCTCACCCAGATTCGGTCTGTATCTGGATTTTGCTTCTTGTAGAATCCCGACTATCCAATGGGCGTCGGAGCCGAGTGTCATCATGTGACCCATCCAATAGGATAATTGACGTGGACCTGGGCTCTCCGACACGTTACCCCAGAGGCCTGGTCAGGTCTGCCCAGCCGGTCCGGACATCCATCGTTGACCACGTGCCCAGCAGCTCCAGAAGGCGGGGAGGGTTTGACGCCCTCACTCGTGTATCGGTGCCCGTGCCGCACCTGTTTGATGAAAGGACTGACGACAGGAAATTTTCCCGAGTTGACATCAGCCAGTGGGAAGACCAGGTTACAAAGTACGTAAATTAGGTTTATGGTTTGAGTGAGTGAGTGAGTGAGTGAGTTAACGCCACATTACACAGTATTTAAGTTCACATACCATGGCGTGTCGGGCCAAGGTGGAAGGAAAGCCAAAGGTGACGAAAGCTGTTTCTTTGGTTGTTGTTTAACAACTCTTCCAGCCATATGACGGAGGTCTGTAAAGATGCAAGTCTGGAGCCGAAAGTTCAGTGGTTGATATTGTGAGCGACGGTCCACGCCGTCGGGGTACCACGAAAGGCAGTTAACCAAGTCACCGAGCCTGACCACCGATCCATTTGGTCGCCTCTTACGATCAACAAAGGTTGTTGGGGTCATATAATTCTAACGCGGATCCCCACGGGATGACGCAGGTTGTTTGTGTTCATGACTTAAGTGATGATGCTGACAAACCAAGATTATAAACAGTGGGAAGGTGAGATTCAAACCCACGGTTTGCGAATCCTGCCACGAATAAAGGACGTAACTCCCCACAGCGTCTTACAAACGGCCCGGTTGAGATAGAACAGCAGTGGATACTTGCCAATATGTACTGCATCGTAAACTGCTGATACCAAATTGTTTGTTGGTTAGCGTCAACCCAATTGTTTCAAAGTGTGCTACAGACGTTGTGGAATTAGAAAACAAATGCTGTATTCTTCTCCATATTACCATTTTTATCGTTGTCTCCTTTTAACTTTTTTCCCATTTTGTATTTGCTTGTTCAGGGTGGTACCGAGACGTCCCGTATTTGCCGTGACATCCGACTCCGGACCTGCCAACCTATACGACTGGGAAATCAACGACGACTTCATCACCGACACCAAATGTCACTTCTACCACAGTCACAAGTATCAACGTGATCGCAACTTCGTCATCCACCCGGAGTGGGTATCGGAGAGTGTGTCTCTGAAAGGTGGGCCTAAGGCCTACAGGACGTGTCCAATCAGATACGGCTGGTGCTCCTGAGGACGAGATCATCTGCAGCATTACGCTAAGGAACACGAATACCGAGTTCATACAACCCTTTTTTCAACCCATCTTCCTGAGGCAGGGGCGTTAACTGACGGTAAAAGTCCAGTTTGAAACTGGATTTAAAGTCAGTTAACACCCTTGCAGAAGACCACGTTCGTGAAGGCGAGCTCCCGTGGTTGATCGCAACATGGTGGACCCTCGTCCAAACAAGTTGTTGTGTTGATTGTGCAGCTTTACTGTACTTTGCCGAATGTGACGGGTCAACAGACGTTACAGAACTGTGTTATTCACCACAAGGGTGTCAAATGGTAGTGGTTACCTTTGGAGGTAACCCCTAGCTGCCAATTACGCCTATTTTGAAAATCAGCTTCTTGTCCCTGGCACCATAAAAGGGCAACAACCTTTGATCCTTAAAATAAACATGTGTTATTATGTCCAAAAGTATTTTTCATTAACTTTTTTTGTTTGGTTGGTTGGTTGTTGGTTAACGCAGATGGTTGTTAACCATGATGGTTGTTAGTAAGCAACGCGGTGCGATGACAAACAGTCAAAGAAGTCATAGATCCTGACCCCGATTGTATGTCAAGCACAAGTTGCCGTGGGGCTATTTTTATTCCGGAACATCAGGGGGACGTATGCTGTAGTCCTGGCCTGTGCAGCTATACTTATATGTGCTCGGTGGGCCCCGGGTATCATCCTCGTACAGGGTTACGTTTCTATTCATCTTTTGGAAACACAAATAATATACATTTTGAAACTGGAATACCAGAGGGTGTGATTTCCTCTAAACTATACAGCGATAAACTTGAAAACAAAAGGTTCCTTATATACAACCCTGTGGGAAATCCAGGTTAGAATTGGTCCCCAGCAACCTGTGCTTGAGGTAAGAGGTGACTAAATGTATGGTTGTCTGAATGGCGAATGGTTGATCATGAGTTGATGTACTGGTACTCATAATCACTGATTGGTCTGGTACAGATGCAGGTCTTAGGTTCCGGCATGTGTATGGTGCTGACATACCTAGAATCACAATCAGAACTTATTGATCTGGGATTAAAACCCATGATCATAGGATCCGGCATGTGTATGGTGCTGACATACCTCGAATCACAATCAGAACTTATGGATCTGGGATTAAAACCCATGATCATAGGATCCGGCATGTGTATGGTGCTGACATACCTAGAATCACAATCAGAACTTATGGATCTGGGATTAAAACCCATGATCATATGATCAGGCATGTGTATGGTGCTGACAAACCTAGAATCACAATCAGAACTAACTGATCTGGCATTAAAACCCATGATCATAGGATCCGGCATGTGTTTGGTGCTGACATACCTAGAATCACAATCAGAACTAACTGATCTGGCATTAAAACCCATGATCATAGGATCCGGCATGTGTATGGTGCTGACATACCCAGAATCACAATCAGAACTTATGGATCTGGGATTAAAACCCATGATCATAGGATCCGGCATGTGTATGGTGCTGACATACCTAGAATCACAATCAGTACTAACTGATCTGGGATTAAAACCCATGATCATAGGATCGGGCATGTGTATGGTGCCTAAGGGATGAAACTCTATAGATGGCTTCCCTTGTACACTCTTCTCCAATGCCCTGTGTCTGAGTGAGTGAGTGGGTGGATGAGTGAGTGAGTGGGTGGATGAGTGAGTGGGTGAGGAGAGGGCATGAGCTCCCAATATCCATTTTTCTGCTTCAACCATCATCAGACACTAGGGATCATCTGAATCCATTGACATTCGTGACATACAAAGAAACAATTGAAAATAGTTTCTCCAGAGTAATACATTTATTAGCTCAAACATACATCAGCAAGGCAATCATACTTCTTTGATTCCTTAACAAGAGTAAAGCAAGGTACATTCCACAAACTTCCCCAAGTTCAACATAACCAATAAAGTCAGCCCATGTTAAGTATTTCATGTTCATATGGACAAAAGTGACAAACATACCTCTTTATTTCTCATCATTTCATTCCTGATAACTGTATATTGTCCATCTTCTATATCTCCAGAGCTAGCATTTCAGGAAACTTACTATCCCCTGGGCCCTGTTCCTCAAATCGATTTTAGCGCTACGATGATCGTAAACCTATGTTAAAGAATGGCACTTACAATCACCTTAGGGCTAAGATCGCTTTGTGGAACGGGGCCCTGGACTTCCCTGTGGTTCTTGCAATCTCAAATTACCTGCCCTCAACTTCCTTTAGCTAATTTGATTGGCTACACTACTAGGTCTAACGGACCAATCAGAATGCGGGTTACAAACCAGCCTCAATGTTGGATGGGTGACATCAAAAACATGGCGGCCCGTCCCACTGATTGCGATAGTGTTTGCTAGAAATTTTAAGTTGCAAAACTGACTGACACACAAAGGAATCTTTGTGTCCGTCACAACTGGCAGTGGCTGTGATTTCTGGGCAATATGAGTTACCCCCCCCCCCCCCACGTCACCATTTTCTTTTTCCTTATCTCGATGTTAGGTTGGTAAAATGGTAATGAAAATCAAGGGCAGGTAATTTAAGATAGCGAGAACCATGGGGGATGTGCCAGGGGTTAGTGTCGGTTTACCGAAATGCGAGCCTTGGTTGTATTTGTCTAGTCCTGGGGACTCTCAGTAATTCATTTTGGGGTCCCCGGCATTAAAATGGACAGCCAAGGATGACCACTGAAAAAACAGTACATATAATATTATGTATGTGTGACGCCTATGTTGATTATAATCTTAGCCGAATATATATATCATATAGATCTTACAGTCATGATTCAATTTAGTTAGGACCTGTGGAGATCTGGGGTTGAGGCTTCAGCAACGAATGCTAGCCGTAAATGACGACTAACGGGATCGGGTGGTCAGACTCGCTGACTTGGTTAATGCATGTCATTGTGTCCTAATGCGTAGATCTATGCTCATGATATCAATCACTGGATTGTTTGGTCCAGACTTGATTACTTACAGACTGCCGTCATATAGCTGGAATACTGCTGAGTGCGGCGGTAAACAACTAACCCTAATACCAAGGAAGACCTGATGGTCTCCCCTAATACCATGGAAGATCTAATGGTCTCCCCTAATACCATGGAAGATCTAATGGTCTTCCAAAATACCATGAAGATCTAATGGTCTCCCCAAATTCCATGTAAGACTTGACGGTCTCCGCTAATACCAAGGAAGACCTGATGTCTCCCCAAATTCCATGTAAGACTTGACGGTCTCCCCTAATACCAAGGAAGACCTGATGGTCTCCCCAAATTCCATGTAAGACTTGACGGTCTCCCCTAATACCAAGGAAGACCTGATGGTACCATTGTATACCATGGAAGACCCGATAGTAATGCTATGTAACAAGGGCTGGTGGAGACGTGATGTGTGATTAGCACTGATATGTAGAGTTTTACAGCAAGTAGATGCATCAAGCATATACAGGGCTCTTGAGTACAGATATACCAAATATGTGAGAAACGTAAAACAGACATGTTCAAACAGTTCATATCACATTAAACATGTCACAGCCAAATACAATTCATAATATTTGGTTGGACGAGTGTTGATTTAACATCTCTAACAACAAACAACTGTACCATAAATCTCAAACATCAATAACTATACAATACATATTGTACATGGAAGCAAGTATATTTACATGTTTCAGTTCACCAGATGTGACCATGGCTCTTGGAAATGAAAACATAAACCAAGAAATTGGATTACAAATAACACAATTAGCATTGTGAACAATCTGACAGGTTTAGCTTGACGACAGTACAAAGCATTGTTTCTCAATACTTAGACGTTGTCAGTGATCTGACATTCGTACCACAGGAACTCAATGATAGCGTGTACAGCATAATATATTTGTATAGAAAAAAATCACACCCTCCATATACATATATTTAGAGGGGTGTGATTATTTTCTATGCGAATATATTATTCTAAACACGATATCATGAGTTCCTGTGAATCGGACAAGAGTTAGCTTGATGACAGAACAACAGTACATTGCCGTTTCTCAAAACTCAAGGCTTAGATATCTAAAATCCTAAACTGATGACATTACATATTTTGTCATCACTGATAACCATGGACTGTACATTCCTCCAAAGACAATAGAAGCCTCATAGGAGAGCGATATGCCTGGATTGTTGACTGTGGTGCCATCTCACATCACAGACAACACCCAACCTGTGACAGGTGACTTGTGAGACAGAACACCATCATGTGACCATCATGAATGGGGGTTTAACGCATATAGTAACGTACGCGTGTATGCGTGTGCGTGCGTGCGTGCGTGCGTGCGTGCGTGCGTGTGTCTAGTCCGGACGTATGCAGTTTTTATTGCGATACCATGCGGCAGTATACTAACTCCGAGCCGACCAGTTCTTGTTTTAACCCCTTAATGCTGAGTGCAGGTTAACAACAAGTACCAACTATTGACTACATGTATATGGGATGACACAGCCGTGGATCGAACCTTTGACCTTCTGCTCTCCAGGCGGATGCTCTACCACAAGTCCACGTAGGATGTAGATCAGGGTTAGAATTGGTCTTCAGAAACCCATGTTTGTCAAAGGAGGTGACTTATGGGATTGGGTGGTCAGACGAGATACATGAGACATCTGTCTATGGTATACATGTCTCTTATGACAGCCTCCTGCCATTGTTGTCACAATTTCTTCGCAGTTGATAAACCATTGTCACAATTTCATCAAAGTCTGGTCTTGCCTGGGGATCAAACTGCCAGCACTTGTCCTTCATCAACTGATAGAACCCCTCAACACAATGAGATGGCTCTTCTAATCTTTTATTTCTTTTCATGCTTAAAAACAGTTCTTGCATAATAATCTTTTCATCACTTTCGACCAGGTGTGGCTTCTTGCCCAGACTGAAGATCTCCCATAGCAGGATGCCATAACTCCACACATCCCCCTTTGTGCTGAACCGGCGTTGCCCTATAGCCTCAGGAGAACACCTGCCACAAAGAGTGGTACCAGTATAGCAGCAACAGATACCTACCAATGTACAGGCAATGTGTGGATAAGATACCTACCAATGTAGCAGCAATGCGTGGAACAGATACCTACCAATGTACAGGCAATGTGTGGAACAGATACCTACCAATGTAGCAGCAATGCGTGGAACAGATACCTACCAATGTACAGGCAATGTGTGTAACAGATACCTACCAATGTACAGGCAATGCGTGGAACAGATACCTACCAATGTAGCAGCAATGCGTGGAACAGATACCTACCAATGTACAGGCAATGTGTGTAACAGATACCTACCAATGTACAGGCAATGCGTGGAACAGATACCTACCAATGTAGCAGCAATGTGTGGAACAGATACCTACCAATGTACAGGCAATGTGTGGAACAGATACCTACCAATGTACAGGCAATGAGTGGAACAGATACCTACCAATGTAGCAGCAATGTGTGGAACAGATACCTACCAATGTAGCAGCAATGTGTGGAACAGATACCTACCAATGTACAGGCAATGAGTGCAACAGATACCTACCAATGTACAGGCAATGTGTGGAACAGATACCTACCAATGTAGCAGCAATGTGTGGAACAGATACCTACCAATGTACAGGCAATGAGTGGAACAGATACCTACCAATGTACAGGCAATGTGTGGAACAGATACCTACCAATGTAGCAGCAATGCGTGGAACAGATACCTACCAATGTACAGGCATGCGTGGAACAGATACCTACCAATGTAACAGTAATGTGTGGAACAGATACCTACCAATGTACAGGCAATGAGTGGAACAGATACCTACCAATGTACAGGCAATGTGTGGAACAGATACCTACCAATGTAGCAGCAATGCGTGGAACAGATACCTACCATTGTACAGGCAATGTGTGGAACAGATACCTACCAATGTAACAGTAATGTGTGCAACAGATACCTACCAATGTAGCCGCAATGCGTGGAACAGATACCTACCAATGTAGCAGCAATGTGTGGAACAGATACCTACCAATGTACAGGCAATGTGTGGAACAGATACCTACCAATGTACAGGCAATACGTGGAACAGATACCTACCAATGTAGCAGTAATGTGTGGAACAGATACCTACCAATGTACAGGCAGTGTGTGGAACAGATACCTACCAATGTACAGGCAATGTGGGGAACAGATACCTACCAATGTACAGGCAGTGGTTTTTCCATGGATCCCTTGTAGTAATTCTTGTCTTTAAGAAGCCGGGACAAACCAAAGTCAGTAATTTTAGCAGTTTTCTCTTGAGTCAGGAGGATGTTGCGAGCAGCAAGGTCTCGGTGAACAATCTTCTTTGAGTGGAGATATTTCATGCCCTGAAAGCCAACAGTGCCTCATCAAGGTTTGTATTGTCGGCATGAAATGTCTAACAAATGTCAACCCTTTCTGGGCCTCAATAGAATGAAAGTTTGCATAACAATGTTCAGGCAGTAATATGCATTAAGGAGTAATGCAGGATAAGTAAGTAATATTCAAAATGGCAAAGGCACGGGTTCAACACCTGCAACCTGCAAGATGAACCTCTAAACTTGTAGAATACTCAAGACATGGGTACAAATTCCAGTAACATCTCCCAATCAAGTTGCATCTCATATACAATCTTACCTCAGCAACATCTACAGTAAAGTTGCATAGGGTTATGGGGTTTGGGGAACTGTTCCTCAAAGAGTGGAGATAGGTGTTGAGGGCTCCTCGTTCCACAAACTCCATCACCAACAGCTGCTTGGCTGCAGACACAAACATGACAGGTTAGCAACTCAACGCAACACATTTGGGTGAGGGTGTGTAATCCTATGGCCTCATCTTCACGAGGCAAGCGATGTAACTGACCATAAAAGTCCAGTTTCCACCCTTGCCGAACGAGGCTGAAATGAGTTACATTTTGGCTGGACTAATAAGAACTAGACAGGGATTTCATGGATTTCAACTTGCAGATTTTGGTGGACAGCAGGATAGGCAAAGCATGTGTACCGTCAACTGGGCGTCTACAGATATTTTACCGATTTTGTCATCAAGGAGCTCAAGTGATTTGATGCACTTCGCAGGGTAAGACCTGTTTTATTAAAATATACTTCTTAGGTTATTGATCAGACTTTTATAGCCAGTTAAGGATTCTCTTCCATGGAAGGGTCTCTGGACAGTACTACTGAGACAACATACTGCCGCCAATAGTTGTGCCGTCCACATTTTGTCTTTCAGGGTGATAACACCTGTTACCACTGTGCACAAGGCTGGGACTGGTAACTTAAGTACTGAACTCGGGTGGGTCCTGAGTAGGACCTGGGTACTGATACGACTACCTGGTCCCGTATAACTTAGATACTCAACTCGGGTGGGTCCTGAGTAGGACCTGGGTACTGATACGACTACCTCGTCCCCTATAACTTAGGTACTGAACTCGGGTGGGTCCTGAGTAGGACCTGGGTACTGATATGACTACCTGGTCCCGTATAACTTAGGTACTCAACTCGGGTGGGTCCTGATACGACTACCTGGTCCCGTATAACTTAGGTACTCAACTCGGGTGGGTCCTGAGTAGGACCCGGGTACTTATATGACTACCTCGTCCCGTATAACTTAGGTACTCAACTCGGGTGGGTCCTGAGTAGGACCCGGGTACTGATACGACTACCTCGTCCCGTATAACTTAGGTACTCAACTCGGGTGGGTCCTGAGTAGGACCCGGGTACTGATAGGACTACCTGGTCCCGTATATAACTTAGGTACTGAACTCGGGTGGGTCCTGAGTAGGACCCGGGTACTGATATGACTACCTCGTCCCGTGTAACTTAGGTACTCAACTCGGGTGGGTCCTGAGTAGGACCTGGGTACTGATATGACTACTTCGTCCCGTATAACTTAGGTACTCAACTCGGGTGGGTCCTGAGTAGGACCCGGGTACTGATATGACTACCTCGTCCCGTATAACTTAGGTACTGAACTCGGGTGGGTCCTGAGTAGGACCTGGGTACTGATACGACTACCTCGTCCCCTATAACTTAGGTACTCAACTCGGGTGGGTCCTGAGTAGGACCCGGGTACTGATATGACTACCTCGTCCCGTATAACTTAGGTACTGAACTCGGGTGGGTCCTGAGTAGGACCTGGGTACTGATATGACTACCTCGTCCCCTATAACTTAGGTACTCAACTCGGGTGGGTCCTGAGTAGGACCCGGGTACTGATAGGACTACCTGGTCCTGTGGTTAGTCATGTCATATATTGTTTAATGACAATAACAATAAAACTCCATGGTTACACTACAAGTCACTAATGTTCGCATTTATTTCTGACTATGCACACATTTGTTCTGACTTATATATGCTTGAGAAAATAGGGGTCATGACCCTAAGACTAGTCAAACATTTGTTTATACAGCATTGGCCAAGTTGAACTGAGGGAGTTAATGTGCTGGGTGGCTTTAATGTTGATGGACATGTCTCGCTAGCATGCTCTAGACATGCTCTATTGAAGAAACTATACGTGCACAGTAGGGCTGGGACGAGTCCAAATTTACCAATGGGTACCCGTCACCCTATTATCCGACCCTACATGGATACCAACTGTAGGTCTCAAGGGTACAAAATGTCTGACTGGGAATTGTTTTACAAGAGTCCTGGCAAAAACTATTTTGATACACTTGCAAAATGATCTTGTTATGCATACACTGGAGTTTACTGAAGCTTTATTACTGATCAAGAATTCTCAAACTCATCACTGATCAAGTCATCTCAAACATTCATCACTGATCAAGTCATCTCAAACATTCATCACTGATCAAGTCATCTCAAACATTCATCACTGATCAAGTCATCACAAACACTCATCACCGATCAAGTCATCTCAGACATTCATCACTGATCAAGTCATCTCAAACATTCATCACTGATCAAGTCATCTCAAACATTCATCACTGATCAAGTCATCTCAAACATTCATCACTGATCAAGTCATCTCAAACATTCATCACCGATCAAGTCATCTCAAACATTCATCACTGATCAAGTCATCTCAAACATTCATCACTGATCAAGTCATCTCAAACACTCATCACCGATCAAGTCATCTCAGACATTCATCACTGATCAAGTCATCTCAAACATTCATCACTGATCAAGTCATTTCAAACATTCATCACTGATCAAGTCATCTCAAACATTCATCACTGATCAAGTCATCTCAAACATTCATCACCGATCAAGTCATCTCAAACATTCATCACTGATCAAGTCATCTCAAACATTCATCACTGATCAAGTCATCTCAGACATTCATCACTGATCAAGTCATCTCAAACATTCATCACTGATCAAGTCATCTCAAACACTGATATTTCTTGAACACACCAGTTGTCTTTCTTGGTTGTTTGCACCCTTATATATATCATGTTACACCTAGTCCTAGCATTTTCTTATGCATCAATCACCATCACGCAATACCTCTTTGTATTTTTGTAACCATCTGTTATTTTAAAATATGACCCTACTGTTTTTGTAGCCAATAGCCTGATTATGCACATGTAGCCGGGGTAGTGGTTATGATCCGGCTCGGGCCGTTGGAGAACACAGACACAGGCAGATGATGATAATGTGTTTATTACAATGGGGGTGGCTGCTGTTGAAGAAATAGCTGAAGAAAAGAAAATGTCCTTCCTCCTCAACAGCAGCACATGAAGTCATATATTTGCAAGTTCACAGGTATTATTTATCTTAAATATATAAGTACAAAAGCCATTTTATAACTATGATAAAACTAACTTTAATGTTAAATTACTGTTATAAGTTCACTACAGGACACTTGAAAAGCACATGGGCCAAAATGGACCATGTGGTTAATTATGTTACAAACAAATTCTATAATATGAAATATTCCACTTATTAATTTAATATTTCTTTAAATGATATTATATATGTTATTCAATTTAATTCAGTACCCTAATATAGATATTAATTTCTGACAGAAGCAGATGAAAACAGATTGAAATGTGGCCATTCCATACCTGAAGAAAAGAAAATGTCCTTCCTCCTCAACAGCAGCACATGAAGTGAGGAGGAAGTCAGGTATGGAAGGAAGCTACCTGTAGAGGACCAGGGTGGCCAATTAGAAGACATTGCATTAAGCATCAAAGGAAGTGCTTAATGCAAGATATAAATAGACTGAGGGAAACCCTACAGGTGTGAAAAAAGTCTAAAGATAGACAGAAGGTTGAAGGGGAAGATCTGGTGAGAGATTCCCAGAGACTGAAAAATAAGGGTGTTGAGTTGTTTAAAGAGTTATTGACTAATATTCAACTGAAGACAAGACAAACATTGAACATACAGATGATTATGATGATGGTGTATGAATAATGATATCACTAGGAAGAATATGATAAAGGTACCCTGCTACACACAGAGTGGTCCAGTTGAATGTGTCAGATACTCACGTGAGCTACAGACTCCTTCAATCTTCACAATATTTTTGTGGGACAGCTTAGATGCAAGATGAATTTCTTGCACAAAGTCTATTTTTTCACTTGCTGAAGAAAACTTCTTCAGTTCCTTGACAGCCACAAATTTAAAGTTAACTGGCTTCTGGCTCTTGTTGCATGTTGTTTCATACAGCTTGGCCTTCCTGACGGTCCCGTAGTAGCCCTGGGATAGGCAGAACAGTCAGTCAGTCATACATGCAACAATGTGTCCTGAAAGTGTCACAATAATTCTGACTGAACCAGGCTTACAATCATGGTGTGGTGTGGTGTGGTGTGGTGTGGTGTGGTGTGGTGGGGTTGAGTGAGTGAGTGAGTGAGTGAGACCTAGCAAAAGATTGTTTTGTTTTCTTTGTTATTTAATGCCACACTCAGCAGTATTCCAGCAAAATGATGACGGCCAGTAAATTCATAATGTAGTCAGGACAAGACAATTCAGTGACTGATATTGTGACTGGACAATGACACACAATCAACAAAATCACCTCTTATGCTAATAACCAGGCTCGTTTAATGGGGCTAGACTGGGAATCACCACGGGGGTGTGATCCTCAAGGTAAAGAACGTCAATGACTTGGAGGATTTTGAAGACAGATGGAAAGGGAGGGGAAATCTTTCTTTATTTGTTGAGGTACAGAATCTCACTTGTTCTGGATGATTCAACACATGACAGATTATCAGCATCATTACATCAGATACATTAATGAAAGCAACAGAAGAAAACTACACTTACTTTTTCTAGTTATCACAATACAAGGTGCGACATGGAGACCATCTTCCTGATGCAAGGGAGTTAACTGACTGTAAAAGTCCTGTTTCCACCCTTGCCAAACTAGGCTGCAGTTATGGAGTTATACTCTGGCTGGACTAACGAGTCTATACATAGTCCAATCAAAATCCCGTAACGAAATTGATGTCCGGTTCGTAAACAACATGGATTTCAACTTGCAGATTTCGGTCAACTGCAGGATGTGCAAAAGATGTGTACTGTTAACTGGCCGTCAACAGATATTTTCAAAATCTTTTCATGTTTTTAATCAAGGTGCTCATGTGATTTGATACACTTCATGATGGAAGACCAGTTTTATCACAATATAGCTCTTTTTTTTTCTTTCTTTTTTTTATGATTTTTTTTTTTTTCAATATAGATCTTGATATCGATCAGATCGTCTTGACTGGGCACCTCCATTTTGTTTGAAGCAAATGCATGTGATATGAGAAATGGAATCTGACTGGTCAATAGGAGAGACATAGAAGGGACATAACTGGTAATAGCCACTGGTGGTGCTACGATTGAGCTCAGAAATTCCAGCCTAGTTCGGCAAGGGTGGAAACTTGACCAACATAGACAGTTAATTCCATAGCCTGGGGAAGATGGTTATCACATTACAAGGTGAGACGTGGAGTCATGATCCTGACTACAGAAGATGGACAGTGAACAAGCAACTACACACACTGGAGTAATCACTTACAGCGCCCAGCTTCCCTTTATCAGTCTCATCAACCTCCAGGCGCTCCGAGTGGATGACGGTGTCACCAGTATCTGTGACTGAAACAAGAACGGGATACACATACATTGACACATTGACGCACAAATGCAATCACTCAAAGCCATCATCATATGACCCTTGACCTCTATAAAACAGGCTCCAATTTTGATTTTTTGAAAAGCGATTGTTTGGAAGGAAAGAGCAAAGTGATGCAGATGTTAGACATTCACCACCTCAGTGAAACCTTTGAGAATGGGTACGACCCTGACCATGCTGACAAACCAAGATCCATGGTCACAGCGAATCTGGGATTCAAACCCAAGATCACAGGATACTAGCATGCCAAAGGGAGGAAACTCTGCACAACAAATTGCAGCATATTAGACACTCCTGCCTCCTACAGATGGATAAGCACTGTAGCCAAATATAGCAGATGTCGGACACTGCCAAGGCATGACATTCATAGAGATTATTAGACGTGCATGTGTTAAACTGTTTTTATTAAACAATTTCAGAACTCTTGTCTTTCCTGAGAGAGAGAAAGTAATACATGAATTATTATATGAGTTCCATAAAATCAGCATGGCACACATGCAAGTGTAATAATTTCTTTATTACATATTTCTTAATCCTTTTGACCTCCCCTTAGAAAATTGCACTCAGCATAACCTATGTGTTGGAAAACTACAACTGGTGAACGGCGTCAACCAACTTCATCTGTGACGTCGTTTCTAGTTTGCTGTCATTCCGACCTTACGTCACAATATGATTTGAATGACGTAAACAAAGCCATCTGGATGATTTCAACAATACACTAGTGTGCATGAACTCAGATATTTCTAACCCTATAGGTAATGGATGGGCGCACTCCGCAATGATTACGGTGATCGCCCCCTGCAAAATGACACACTGTAGAACAGAAGAGGTTTACCGGGAACACTCTCCTCTGGACTCTGGTTCTGATGGACCTGCTCCTTCCACTGCTTCACCACCTGCTCCCAGGAAGGGATGTCCAGGTCCTGCTCCTGCTCCCTGACTTGGTCACACACTGGAAACAACCACAACGTCATTACAATGTCACACACTGGACACGACCACAACGTCATTACAATGTCATACACTGGAAACAACCACAACGTCATTACAATGTCATACACTGGAAACAACCACAACGTCATTACAATGTCATACACTGGAAACAACCACAACGTCATTACAATGTCACACACTGGACACGACTACACATCATTACAATGTCACACACTGGACACGACCACAACGTCATTACAATGTCATACACTGGAAACAACCACAACGTCATTACAATGTCATACACTGGAAACAACCACAACGTCATTACAATGTCATACACTGGAAACAACCACAACGTCATTACAATGTCACACACTGGACACGACCACAACGTCATTACAATGTCACACACTGGACACGACCACACATCCTTACAATGTCATACACTGGAAACAACCACAACGTCATTACAATGTCATACACTGGACACGACCACAACGTCATTACAATGTCATACACTGGACACGACCACAACGTCATTACAATGTCATACACTGGACACGACCACAACGTCATTACAATGTCACACACTGGACACGACCACACATCCTTACAATGTCATACACTGGAAACAACCACAACGTCATTACAATGTCATACACTGGAAACAACCACAACGTCATTACAATGTCATACACTGGACACGACCACACGTCATTACAATGTCACACACTGGAAACAACCACAACGTCATTACAATGTCATACACTGGAAACAACCACAACGTCATTACAATGTCACACACTGGACACGACCACAACGTCATTACAATGTCACACACTGGACACGACCACACATCCTTACAATGTCATACACTGGAAACAACCACAACGTCATTACAATGTCATACACTGGAAACAACCACAACGTCATTACAATGTCAGACACTGGAAACAACCACAACGTCATTACAATGTCATACACTGGACACGACCACATGTCATTACAATGTCAGACACTGGAAACAACCACAACGTCATTACAATGTCACACACTGGAAACAACCACAACGTCATTACAATGTCATACACTGGAAACAACCACACATCATTACAATGTCACACACTGGACACGACCACAACGTCATTACAATGTCATACACTGGAAACAACCACAACGTCATTACAATGTCATACACTGGAAACAACCACAACGTCATTACAATGTCATACACTGGACACTACCACACATCCTTACAATGTCATACACTGGAAACAACCACATGTGATTACAATGTCATACACTGGACACGACCACACATCCTTACAATGTCATACACTGGACACTACCACACGTCATTACAATGTCATACACTGGACACGACCACACATCCTTACAATGTCATACACTGGACACGACCACATGTCATTACAATGTCATACACTGGACACTACCACACGTCATTACAATGTCATACACTGGACACTACCACACGTCATTACAATGTCATACACTGGACACTACCACACGTCATTACAATGTCATACACTGGACACTACCACACGTCATTACAATGTCATACACTGGACACGACCACACGTCATTACAATGTCATACACTGGACACTACCACACTTCATTACAATGTCATACACTGGACACGACCACACATCATTACAATGTCATACACTGGACACGACCACACATCCTTACAATGTCATACACTGGACACGACCACATGTCATTACAATGTCATACACTGGACACGACCACACGTCATTACAATGTCATACACTGGACACGACCACACATCCTTACAATGTCATACACTGGACACGACCACATGTCATCACAATGTCATACACTGGACACGACCACACGTCAATACAATGTCATACACTGGACACGTCATTACAATGTCATACACTGGACACGACCACACGTCATTACATGTCATACACTGGACACAACCACACGTCATTACAATGTCATACACTGGACTCAACCACACGTCATTACAATGTCATACACTGAACATACAGATGGACCCACTTTCATCATCCCTGCCCTGAACATACAGATAGACCAACTTGCAACATCCCTGCCCTGAACATACTGATAGACCCACTTGCAACATCCCTGCCCTGAACATACTGATGGACCCACTTGCAACATCCCTGCCCTGAACATACAGATAGACCCACTTGCAACATCCCTGCCCTGAACATACAGATAGACCCACTTGCAACATCCCTGCCCTGAACATACAGATAGACCCACTTGCAACATCCCTGCCCTGAACATACTGATAGACCCACTTGCAACATCCCTGCCCTGAACATACTGATAGACCCACTTGCAACATCCCTGCCCTGAACATACAGATGGACCCACTTGCAACATCCCTGCCCTGAACAAACTGATAGACCCATTTGCAACATCCCTGCCCTGAACATACAGATGGACCCACTTGCAACATTCCTTCCCTGAACATACTGATAGACCCACTTGCAACATCCCTGCCCTGAACATACTGATAGACCCATGTGCAACATCCCTGCCCTGAACATACTGATAGACCCACTTGCAACATCCCTGCCCTGAACATACTGATATACCCACTTGCAACATCCCTGCCCTGAACATACTGATGGACCCACTTGCAACATCCCTGCCCTGAACATACTGATAGACCCATGTGCAACATCCCTGCCCTGAACATACAGATAGACCCACTTGCAACATCCCTGCCCTGAACATACAGATAGACCCACTTGCAACATCCCTGCCCTGAACATACAGATAGATCCATTTGCAACATCCCTGCCCTGAACATACTGATAGACCCACTTGCAACATCCCTGCCCTGACAATACTGATAGACCCACTTGCAACATCCCTGCCCTGAACATACTGATAGACCCACTTGCAACATCCCTGCCCTGAGCATACAGATAGACCCACTTGCAACATCCCTGCCCTGACAATACTGATAGACCCATTTGCAACATCCCTGCCCTGAACATACAGATAGACCCACTTGTAACATCCCTGCCCTGAACATACTGATAGACCCATGTGCAACATCCCTGCCCTGAACATACTGATAGACCCACTTGCAACATCCCTGCCCTGAACATACAGATAGACCCACTTGCAACATCCCTGCCCTGAACATACAGATAGACCAACTTGCAACATCCCTGCCCTGAACATACTGATAGACCCACTTGCAACATCCCTGCCCTGACAATACTGATAGACCCACTTGCAACATCCCTGCCCTGAACATACTGATAGACCCACTTGCAACATCCCTGCCCTGAGCATACAGATAGACCCACTTGCAACATCCCTGCCCTGAACATACTGATAGACCCACTTGCAACATCCCTGCCCTGAGCATACAGATAGACCCACTTGCAACATTCCTGCCCTGAACATACAGATAGACCCACTTGTAACATCCCTGCCCTGAACATACTGATAGACCCACTTGCAACATCCCTGCCCTGACAATACAGATAGACCCACTTGTAACATTCCTGCCCTGAACAGGATGACGACAAAAGGTGAACTATACATACATTCGTAAACCTTCCGGGAGATGTCTTTAACAGAGGGCCTGTTTTCGGGATCTGAGTCCCAGCACAGCTCTATGTACTTCCAGATCCCATCCTTGCAGTCCGGTGCCGGATCATCCTCGGTCACAGTCACAATCTCAGGCCGAGGGGGGCGGCCGCCCTCTTTGAAAAAGTTTTTCTGCAAGAAGAAATTATTTTGATATCAAACATTGAGAGAACTATAACAACACTTATTACCACAATACAAACAACATCAGACAAAATATTGGGTCGGGGCGTGAGAAATATAGGTTAACAAGCATGAAATACTCACATTCCCCGCCAATATGACATGTTGGGTGTGTGCAATGCATTAGCTATGTTCACTGGGCCTTTTTGTAAAGAAATATAGTACGTTTTTCAAGATCTGCTCCGGAAACGAGGACTACCTCCATTTTCAGTCTAAATCAAAGTCGTTGCAATGGAAACTAAAAAAACCCCAAAAATTCAAAAATCCCAAACTATCAAAAGACACCAGTTCACCACTAGACCTATCTATGTGCCAAGTTTGACGAAGAAATATGGTACATTTTATAAGATCTGTTCCGGAAACGAGGACTACTGCCATTTTCTGTCTAAAGCAAAGTTGTTGCCATGGAAACTCGAAAAATAAAAAAAAATTTAAATCCCAAACTATCAAAAGGCACCAGTTCACCACTAGATCTATCTATGTGCCAAGTTTGGTGAAGAAATATGGTACGGTTTTCAAGATCTGCTCCGGAAACGAAATGTGATGGATGGAAGGACGGACAGACGGCACCCATTCCTATATCCCCCTTCGAGTTCGTGGCGGGGGATAATAACATAATCTCAAAATGACATGGACAGGGACAGGGACACAAGCATTAGGTAGTGGGGATGTACTGTGCCTCGAAATCTCACAGGGACACAGACATTCGGTTGTGGGGACGTACTGTGCCTCGGAATCTCACAGGGACACAAGCATAAGTTGGTGGGGACGTACTGTGCCTCGGAATCTCACAGGGACACAAGCATTAGGTAGTTGGGACGTACTGTGCCTCGGAATCTCACAGGGACACAAGCATTAGGTAGTGGGAACGTACTGTGCCTCGGAATCTCACAGGGACACAAGCATTAGGTAGTGGGAACGTACTGTGCCTCGGAATCACACAGGGACACAAGCATTAGGTACAAGGACCTATTCTGTCCTGCAATCTAGGAACATAAGCATTAGGTAGTGGAGATGTACTGTGCCTCGGAATCTCACAGGGACACAAGCATTAGGTACAAGGACCTCCTGTGCCTCGGAATCCCACAGGGACACAAGCATTAGGTATCGGGGACGTACTGTGCCTCGGAATCTCACAGGGACACAAGCATTAGGTAGTGGGGACCTACTGTGCCTTGGAATCCCCACAGGGACACAGACATTGTGGACTGGGGACCTATGTTGTCCTGCAATCTTAGGGACTCAACCATCAGGTACTGGGGGCGTACTCTTCCCCTGAGTCCCAACAGGAGGCTAAGCATTGGGTACTGGGGGCGTACACTGTCCTCTGAGTTCCAACAGGAGGCCAAGCATTGGGTACTGGGGGCGTACTTTTCCTCTGAGTCCCAACAGGAGGCCAAGCATTGGGTACTGGGGGCGTACTCTTCCCTTGAGTTCCAACAGGAGGCTAAGCATTGGGTACTGGGGGCGTACACTGTCCTCTGAGTTCCAACAGGAGGCCAAGTATTGGGTACTGGGGGCGTACTTTTCCTCTGAGTCCCAACAGGAGGCCAAGCATTGGGTACTGGGGGCGTACTCTTCCCCTGAGTCCCAACAGGAGGCTAAGCATTGGGTACTGGGGGCATACTCTGTCCTCTGAGTCCCAACAGGAGGCTAAGCATTGGGTACTGGGGGCATACTCTGTCCTCTGAGTCCCAACAGGAGGCCAAGCATTGGGTACTGGGGGCCTACTCTTCCCTTGAGTTCCAACAGGAGGCTAAGCATTGGGTACTGGGGGCGTACACTGTCCTCTGAGTTCCAACAGGAGGCCAAGCATTGGGTACTGGGGGCGTACTCTTCCCCTGAGTCCCAACAGGAGGCTAAGCATTGGGTACTGGGGGCATACTCTGTCCTCTGAGTCCCAACAAGAGGCTAAGCATTGGGTACTGGATGCGTACTCTGTCCTCTGAGTCCCAACAGGAGGCCAAGCATTGGGTACTGGGGGCGTACTCTTCCCTTGAGTTCCAACAGGAGGCTAAGCATTGGGTACTGGGGGCGTACACTGTCCTCTGAGTTCCAACAGGAGGCCAAGTATTGGGTACTGGGGGCATACTTTTCCTCTGAGTCCCAACAGGAGGCCAAGCATTGGGTACTGGGGGCGTACTCTTCCCTTGAGTCCCAACAGGAGGCTAAGCATTGGGTACTGGGGGCATACTCTGTCCTCTGAGTTCCAACAGGAGGCTAAGCATTGGGTACTGGGGGCGTACTCTGTCCTCTGAGTCCCAACAGGAGGCCAAGCATTGGGTACTGGGGGCCTACTCTTCCCTTGAGTTCCAACAGGAGGCTAAGCATTGGGTACTGGGGGCGTACACTGTCCTCTGAGTTCCAACAGGAGGCTAAGCATTGGGTACTGGGGGCGTACTTTTCCTCTGAGTCCCAACAGGAGGCCAAGCATTGGGTACTGGGGGCGTACTCTTCCCTTGAGTTCCAACAGGAGGCTAAGCATTGGGTACTGGGGGCGTACACTGTCCTCTGAGTTCCAACAGGAGGCCAAGCATTGGGTACTGGGGGCGTACTTTTCCTCTGAGTCCCAACAGGAGGCCAAGCATTGGGTACTGGGGGCGTACTCTTCCCCTGAGTCCCAACAGGAGGCTAAGCATTGGGTACTGGGGGCATACTCTGTCCTCTGAGTCCCAACAGGAGGCTAAGCATTGGGTACTGGGGGCGTACTCTGTCCTCTGAGTCCCAACAGGAGGCCAAGCATTGGGTACTGGGGGCCTACTCTTCCCTTGAGTTCCAACAGGAGGCTAAGCATTGGGTACTGGGGGCATACTCTGTCATCTAAAGGCCAACAAGGGAACTCACCCATGATGCATCAGCTGGGAGGTTAATGGCCTTATTTGGATGGGTTCCCTTTGACAGCATCTCCCACCATGTCATTGCAAAGGAGTAAATCTCAGAAGCTGAATCCAATTTCCGGAGATTGTCAAATCTCTCAACTGCAACCCAAGGAAGTCTGTAAGAAAGGAACTGGTTACAGCGATCACAATTTTCAAAATATCACATTTATTACCAAGAAAAATACGAAAAAATGTTGTGAAGATATTTCACGCTTTTTTATATATAACTATATAACTTTGAACAAGTCACAAACATATTTCTCTGCAAGCAAAATATAATTTGGAGTAAACTCTCGTGCATTTTCAACAATTGTAAAGTATCTTACCATAATTTTGAACCAATTTTGGCATGCTTAAGAGGTGTATATGTTGCGCTAGATTGATGAAGTAGTGTACATACATATCATACATGACACATCCAAGTTCATCAAAGTGAACTGGACACAACTAGAGCGGTGTCAGGTTTTACCAAACAACATTTTCTTTCATTATTTTTTTCTCACATCTCCAATCATAACAAGTATTTCAATGCACATGACCGAAGCATTAAATTCTTGCACATGATTCGTATGTTGACCACAATATTATGCTTAATAAGTTTGGTCAAAACTGGGATGACTTTAACATTACATCCAGAGTATTTTTGTACCTTGCATCATTCAACAACACATAGCAATCTTTCGATGGTAGAATATGGAAATTATTGCCCAGTCAACATTTCCACTACACTGTCCTGTCGGCTCATTTCGAACAAAACCACTTCAGTGCATTTCACAGGCTTCAACAGCACGCTGTGCGGCTGTGTGCTTGATGTCATACATTTTGTTTACTTGTTTACTAATAAACTGTAAAAACTCAATACCTGATTCAACAGTTCAGTCACGATACATTGTTCTACGGTTATTCCTAGAGCACCAAACATTATATATCTAGACACTGAATTTCCAGTGTTTACATGGAAATAAGTATGTGATGTCATATGCTATGTTGGACAATGTGTTTTACATACAGTATCTTCAGTACTTCTGCAAAACAATGTAGCAGTTACTTCATACTCACATCATCAAACAAAGTTCAGGCCAAGCCAAGAGCAAAAAGTTTAAAAAGTTGAGAAGGTAAAATATCAGTCAGTAATGGCAGAAAGTCATCTTTACATGTCAATATGATTGACATTAAAAGGTTGATGTGTGCATTAATGATATGTGCATGTAACGAGAGCACAGCAGAATTAGGCAGGATATTGTGTTAGCTGTTCAGTCATACTCCACACATCTTCCCGAGGCTTTAAAAGTCCAGTTTCCACCCTTGCCGAACTAGGCTGGAATTCCTGGGCTCGATCGTAGCGCCACCAGTGGCTATTACCAGTTATGTCCCTTCTAAACCTCTCCTATGGACCAATCAGATTCCACCTCTCGTATCACTTGCGTTTGCTTCACACAAAATGGTGGCGCCCAGTCAGGATGATCTGATCGATAATCAAGTTCTATATTGTGGTAAAACGGGTCTTAAATCGTGAAATGCATCAAATCACGTGAGCACCTTAATTAAAAACATGAAAAATTTGGAAAATATCTGCTGACAACGAGTTGACGGTGTACATGCTTTGCAAATCCTGCAATCGACCGAAATCCTCACGACAGTTTACGAACCAGATTTTGATTTCGGTGCGCCATTTTGATTGGACTATGCATAAACTCGTTAGTCCAGCCAAAATGTAACTCCATAATACCAGCCTAGTTCGGCAAGGGTGGAAACTGGACTTTTATAGTCAGTTAACTCTCTTGCCTCGGGAAGATGTACTCAACACCACACATATGTTCATTGTTGACTGACCTCTCGATGTTCTGTTCATCGCTGATAGCATTGCTGACATAGTGGGCTTCCATTCCTGGGTCACTGATCCTCACAAGCAGATCAAGGGCTGTCACGTTCATCACTAAAATGTTCCGACACCGCAGGTTTCCGTGAAAGATTTGTTTCTCTTCCTGGGAACACATTAAGTGAATGTATTGCCCACATTTCCAAGTTGGTATATAACACTAAGTATGTTACTCTATACTTGTCATAAGAGGCGACTAATGGGATCGGGTGGTCAGACTCGCTGACTTGGTTGATGCATGTCATCGTATTCCAATTGTATGGATCGATGCTCATGATGTCAATCACTAGATTGTCTGGTCCAGACTCTGTTATATACAGACTGCCGTCATGTACCTGGAATATTGCTGAGTGTGGTGTTAAACAACAAGGAAAGAAAGAAACAAAACACTAACCTCACAAGCATGTGGAAGATAGGACTTTAAACAATTAGGAGGCTGATTAGAGTTCGGGGTAAGAGATAAGTAGACAACAGAATCACGTTTTGTCTCCGACAAATGATCCATGGCCTTGACCTTGACCTCTAAATCTCCAGGAGGTGAAAGTTCATCATGTCATTACTGTCACCCTCTTCATTCATTACGATTTCCTTACTTTGGTCCACATTCTCCATTATTACATCGGCCCTTGTCAATCCAGACCCCATTAATCAGGACCTTGTCAATCCATGCTTCATTAATCTGGACCTTGTTAATTCAAACCCCATTAATCTGGACCTTGTTAATCAATTCTCCCTTATTACAGCCCTTATAAATACAAACTACATTAATCTGGACATTGTTAATCCATGCTTCATTAATCTGGACCTTGTTAATCCTAAAACCAATTTATCTGGACCTTGTTAACCCAAACCCCATTAATCTGGATCTTGTTAGTTCATTCTCCATCATTCTGGCCCTTGCTGGGATGTTTTTGGAAAGAAAATCTGGTTCAACAAAATACTGCAAAATAATTATTTGCCACAGGAGTAACACCTGACAAAACAAACAAATCATTGTTTGCTGGATGCTTTGAGGGCAAAAGTCCAGTTGTTCGGCTACTCCTTTCTGAGAAATAATTGTATATATTTAAGAAGTGACTAAAATATATCCTGTCTTTAACAAACATCCGCACCCCTCAAGAATACTAAAGGTTGGTCACCAAGTGGTTGTGTGTCCTACCATGGCCTTCAGTCCCTGTGTCAGCTGCTCTACAACAGATATGATCTGGGTCAGACTGAACTGCATGGGGGACTGCCCCATCAGGGTCAGCAGGTCCCCCAAAGGGGCATGCTCCAGGATGACTCGGAACGGCGGCGCCATCAACACGCCATGTAGCTTCACAAACGTCTTGTGGTGCTCCAACTGCATGAGTTTCCACACACCCTTCTGGAAATCCTGTAGATCAGACAATCAGAAACATCAAACAAATCTGTGCGTACATGTCTATCACAGGTAGATACAACTGACAATGCTCCCAGGTTCACAGGTAGATACAACTGACAATGCTCCCAGATTCACAGGCAGATACAGGTAGATACAACTGACAATGTTCCCAAGTTCACAGGTAGATACAACTGACAATGCTCCCACGTTCACAGGTAGATACAACTAACAATGCTCCCAGGTTCACAGGTAGATACAACTGACAATGCTCCCAGGTTCACAGGTAGATACAACTAACAATGCTCCCAGATTCACAGGTAGATACAACTAACAATGCTCCCAGGTTCACAGGTAGATACAGGTAGATACAACTAACAATGCTCCCAGATTCACAGGTACATACAACTAACAATGCTCCCAGGTTCACAGGTAGATACAACTGACAATGCTCCCAGGTTCACAGGTAGATACAACTAACAATGCTCCCAGGTTCACAGGTAGAAACAACTGACAATGCTCCCAGGTTCACAGGTAGATACAACTGACAATGCTCCCAGGTTCACAGGTAGATACAACTAACAATGCTCCCAGGTTCACAGGTAGATACAACTGACAATGCTCCCAGGTTCACAGGTAGATACAGGTAGATACAACTCACTATTCTGCCTGGCTCGGATGGAAAAGATGATATACCAACCTCACTTTTGTGTCCTTCACCAAGTTTAAGTTCTTTAATGGTGACCTTCTCATCCTTATCATCATCATACAGCATGCCTTCCAACACCTGGGTGAACCTGCCCCGCCCTGCAACAACAAGTGAGTGAGTGAGTGAGTGAGTGAGTGAGTGAGTGAGTGAGTGAGTGAGTGAGTGAGTGAGTGAGTGAGTGAGTGAGTGAGTGAGTGAGTGAGTGAGTGAGAATTTTGGCTGGATCCACAGTCGGAACTAGTTTTATCAAAGTGGTGTCATAAGCCATCTGCATGTCCGTTGTTTAACGCTGCACTCAACAACATTCCAGCTATATAGGTTGGCAGTCTGTAAATAATGGAGTCTGGACCAGACAATCCAGTGATTGACATGAGGCAGAGGGGAAGCCTAGTGGTTAAAGTGTGTGTTTGTCACGCCGAAGGCCTGGGTTTGATTTCAAGCATGGGTATAACATTTTGAGCCCATTTCTGGTGTCCCCTGCCGTGATATTGCTGGAATAGTGCTATAACTAAACTCACTCAGCCACTAAGACCTAACACGTCTGGCCAAGACAAACCAGTGGTTGATAGTATGAGCACCTGGACAATGGCACAGATTGCAACCACTGGAACATCAGTCCAGCTAGCTTTAATGACAAAGTTGGGGGAACAAGGACCTGATTTCACCCATTCATCACCTATATAGAGCCAATGATAAACTCCTGTTACATCAGCTGGAATAACAACTACAAGCTGGATGACACATGCCTCGATTTTCCGATGAAACATACCAACATGCATCAACCAAGTCAGCGAGCCTGACCACCCGATCCTGTTAGTCGCCTCTTACCACAAGCATAGTCACCTTTTATGGCAAGTTCTTAAAGCAAATGAGTTATTATGGCGATTTGGTTTTTCAGTTTGGTTTAGCATGTTTAGTTTGTTGTTAACGCCGCACTCAGCAATATTCCAGCTATATGACGGCGGGCTGTAAATAATCGAGTCTGGGCCAGTCAATCCAGGGAATGACATCATAAGGATCAATCTACGCAATTGGGATGCGATGATATGCATCAACCGAGTCAGCGAGCCTGACCACCCGATCCCATTAGTCGCCTCTCGCGACAAGCATTGTCGCCTCTTGCGACAAGCATAGTCACCTCTGGCGACAAGCATTGTCGCCTCTTGCGACAAGCATAGTCGCCTCTTGCGACAAGCATAGTCGCCTCTTGCGACAAGCATAGTCACCTTATGGTGATTTGGGAAACTCAGAGTGCACTCAAATGGTAAATATGAAGATCAAATGAGCACATTATTGAGTAGCCAACACACTTGCAACACTCAAGTTATGAATGTTGCTCCTTGGGAATTGTGGGACTTACCTACGATGCTGAAGTCCTCTTTACATATGTCAACTCCAAACAGTGTCGGACCCTTCCTCACGGTGGACCCTGTAGCAGGAGTGTTGGTGGAGCAATAGTAGTCAATTTCATCACTGCGGTACAGCTCCGAGATGCTGCATTCTACAATGGATACAAGTATTAATTTAATTGTTAGGCCTCTCCGCAGTGCCTTTCGCCTCTTTCGTGAGTAGGTTACTACATCTATAAATATGTGTTTAAGCAAGATTGGCACTCTGCTTTCAAATTACTAAAAAAAAAAATATACACTTTCAACCCTTTTTCAAGTTGTATGTAGGACAGATTTGTATTTGATGAATATTATTCTATCAACATTTGAATATTATTCTATCAACATTTCGTAATTTCGTTGTTCTCATTGTCTTAGGTCAGAAACTGAGACATATAATATTTCCAGAAATAAACAATAATGTCCATTATTTAAAGCTTATTATGCCGAAGATGAATATAATCTTTTGATCATCTCTGTGAAATACAAATCTCTACATGACAAATACTGTATGAGAAGTTTAACTAGTCTAGGTCGTCAGCACTGCATCATACAATACAGTAAATGTGTATGGACGGCTCACTGTATTTCAGTGGATGACATGCAGGGACTTCAAGGCAGTAACCATTCAACATGTCAGTGACCTTGAAGTAATCATCTAAAAATGATGAACAGGTCAGTACATTTGTATTCAGGACATACTAACCGGTACGCTAATGTTTCCCTTTGTCTTATTGGACAAATACTGGATAAGCCAGCACGCACACCCATCCCCCAAAATAAAGACAATAAATATAGATACTGGCTTAAGATTGAAAAATACTTCTATAAAATATTTGGGGTTGTACTTTTTTAAGAAATTACTTAAATTCTATGCTGATAACATTTATCAATTTCAATATTTTTCCTTCCTTAAATTTCCAGGTTATTTGACATGGAAAAGCTTTTACAAAAGTTTGATGAAATTCGCTTAATGTCTATATTTTACAGTCATTTGAAATTCAGCCAATGAGACAAAAGCTGAATCTGCTGAATGACCAACAAATAACTGTCCAGGATCAAGTGGTATTCCAAAACACAGACATTGACACAGTGGAACCACAACAACACATTGATTTTAAACACATTATTAAACCAGTAACAGGAATTTCAGCCGTTCAAAATTTAGTCAGACAGGCAATTCCTCACTTCAGTAATACCTATATGACATTTCAAACACTTCTTTTCTTCAAATAGAGTATATTCGAGATAAATAATTGTAAAGTACATTATTCTCAGTACTTCTTACTTTTATTACATCTATTGAAACCAATGTAGCACCGCACAGTATTAGCTGTTGATAGTGTAAGTTGTAGCAGGATCACGAGGGGCACATGGGGTTTTATGGGGGGCACGGGTGGCCCAGTTGTCTAAGGCGCCGCGATTCGCTGTGCAGAGTTGAGTCCCTTGGCCACGCCAGAAACCTATGATTGTGGGTTCGAATCTCGTTTCGCCCCGATTAAGTTTCTATTTTTGTCAGCACCATACCCGTGCTCGTGGGTTTCATCGAAGTGGTAAACGTCTGAGACCTGCATGACTTCAGGCTTTCCTCCCACATTAATCTGACAAGCCGCGATATAACTGGAATACTGTTAAAAGCGGTGTTAAACCCAACTCACTCACTCACTCACATGGGGTTTTATGCGTCCCTCATTACTCTTTATACGTGATCCTGCCACAACACATTTATCTACCTGACATGTTTTAATATGACATTGTAAAATAATTAAAACAAATTCAAAACACCTGTTCGATTGAGCTGAGATTAACTTGTGCTCTGTCATGTGACTTTCATTGACTCAGAGAAAGCGTGCGTTTTTTCCTTCAAGGTGGGGTATAAGGGATTTATTCTGCCTCTCAGAAATCCTTGTGCAGCCTGTTTTGTTCAAGGCGGGGTATAAGGGATTTATTCTGCCTCTCAGAAATCCATGTGCAGCCTCTTTTGTTCATGGCGGGGTATAAGGGATTTATTCTACCGCTGAGAAAATTACTTCTCTCCAGTATTTTATCAAGATCACATGAACCAATCAGATCTCATCATTCTGACATGGAGGTATCATAATATAGCATGTACCAGTGTATTGCACCTGGGCCATGGATAGCAATGCAACATTAGTATTTGACTTTGATCAATCAATACCAATTCAAGCCTTATTGTTTTAAGACACACTTACCAGTTTTGGGGCGGATCATGTTTGCTTGCTTTCTGAAATGCATCAGAAGGTCCCCGGGTGTGTGAAAAATCAGATCTCCAATATCCCTGTACAGTGTGAATTTCTGGTTTCGCCGGTTGTAAGACAATCGTAGGTGTGATGCTGATTCCTCCTTGCGAGACTGCTTCATCACCCAAAACTCTGTGAGGCTGTGGACACTCTGGTAGATGAGGAAACACACCTCTCGCTGGTTGAGGTCATCTTCAAAGGCAGATAACTCTTTCTGCATCTTACTCTCCGCATCTTTTCTCCTAGCAACAAAATGAAGGAGTGAGAAGGAGACTATTCCAGTTACAACAGATTGTTATATGGCTGTGTATTTTATTCTTTAGCAATGACTGTAGCTGTGTCTCTTTGTTTCTGTTGAGATTCGGTAGACGCTCATTGCATTGTGTTTGGACAGTGATCAGTCATGAGGAAGTTACTATATTTAGATGCTAGTGTGGTGTGTAAAATTCCAGTAGACTGTGGACTCATGCAGAAAACTCTGTCATGTTCTAGTTCCCCCAAGACTGGCGAGGGCACTGTAGAAATTTCCAGTAACTTGTTAGGCTGTATATATTGTGGGATAAGAGGTGGGTGAGGTGAAAAGGGGTTTAACGTCGCGTCCAAGATTATTGCACTTATATAGCGACTTGCATGTACGTGTGTGTGTGTGTGTGTTTGTGTGTGTGTGGCTGCTTGTACTAGTCCGCACTGATGCCGATTTATAGTGCTAGCTCACTGAGATACCATGCCGCAGTTTAACATGAATACCCCACTCAGACACAGTATACTGACTCCGAGCCGACCAGTCCTTGTTTTAGCCCCTTAATGCCGAACGCCAGACAGAGTAACAACAAGTACCATCTTTTAACGTCTTTTGGTATGACGCGGACGGGGATCGAACCTCGGACCTTCCGTTCTCCGGGCGGACGCTCTACCACTAGACCACGGAGGCGGTCTAGTGGGACAAGAGCGTGTTTACGTATGTCTCACACATTTTCATCGCTTTGGTACCAGCATTCATTTGAGGATTGCTCATCATCCCTGATTCCCTGCCTTGACCAGCTCGGAAGCTTGACCACTGTGGCCTATATGTTATTATCACTGACTATTGCTATCACCTCTGTGTTTTTGATACTGACCACTGCCGTCGTGTTATATATTGCCATTGAACATTGTACTGCCACTCTGTTGTGTGCTGCCATTGTAATTGCTGTGCAGTAATTCATGTTGATTTTTAAACCAAGTTAATTTTTGTCATACATTTGTTGATTGTATAAAGCTTGTTGGTTGTTTGTTGGTTTCAAACTAGGTTCTTTTTCGTACAAATTTTAGGGTTAAGATATTGTTTCAACATGTAACAAGATGTGTTCATATGACACAGATATGTGTACAATGGTGAGTAGGAGAAATGATCCATTAAGTGAGTGACATGACGGCCGTGTGGGAGGAAAGCCCAAAGTGATGCAGGGTGCGGAAGTTCATAATCTTCTAAAACTAATGATGATGATATGGTGCTACCATACAGGATTCGAACCCATGTTGGAACCAAGGGATGCATCACCTTAGACCACTAGGCCACCTGTGTCCCAGTCCCACTCTGATGACAAGTCTTTGTAAGATGATCAAGATATGAGCAATACGGCCTGATCCTGACTCAGATTCATATGGTTACCTATAGAGCAAGTCATGACCAAGGGCGGATCCAGCATTTTTAAAAGGGATGGGTCCAAATTTCAAAATCCTCTCACAGACAATTTTACTGCCTTCAACATATTAAATTTGGTTTTTAAAAGGAGGGGTCTGGAACCCCTGTTCCCCCTCTGGAACCGCCTATGAAGACAATGGACCATGCATCAGAAACATAGTGCAAGGGCATCCATTCTGATTCAAATGAAAGTGCATTTCTCTTTTTCTGGGATCAAAGGCTGAGGTCACATCTGAAGCATCTACTGAAGCAGATGACTACTTGTTCATGTTGTTACTGGGTACAACTTGACTCAAATGAAAGTCATTTGCCTGCCATTATACAGCTGTGGTATTGCTGACTGGCATGATAAAATAACACATTTTCTCTAACCACTGGGACGTTATGTAGCCCTCAAAGATCATGGTAGTCGGCTAGCCCGAGACTACTAACTTGTGCTTAGGATTGAGTGAGTGAGTCAGTATGGTTTTACTCCGCTTTTAGCAATATTCCAGCAATATCACAGCAGGGGACACCAGAAATGGGCTTCACACATTGTACCCACGTCGAGAATTGAACCTGGGTCTTCGGCGTGAGGGACGAACATTTTAACCACTAGGCTACCCAACCAACCGCCCTGTGCTGAGGACAAATATAAATCCAATGATGCTGATGATAGACTAGCAGGTATTGAGGGCTATGATTCTGAGCCAATTCTCGATCCTTCAATATTGCTACAAATTGGATGACAGTAGTAAATATTTTTGTCTCATTCAAGCAGAACCAACAACAACTCTGAGGAAAGTGAAATAAGGTTCCCCACGAGTCTTCTGGATTAGCCTTAAACAAAACCAAATGGTTGCAGCTGGTGATGATTTGGTTTCAGCGTAGGCTGTTGTACACTCACAGCATCGGCCCAAAGGCCTTCAGTTCCTTCAGCTGAGTGAGTGAGGGGGGCTCCACAAGCACCTGTGTAGCTATGCTGTCATAGAAGTTGTGCAGGAGACGACAGTATCCATCCACACAAGACACAAACGATTCTGCCATCTTGCTCTCTCTGAACCTTAGCATCTAAAAATAACAAAACAAGCATGAAATACTTGCCAATATCACATATCCGGTTGTATGCATGGCAAGAAATATTGTACGGTTTTCAAGATCTGCTCTGGAAATGAGCACTACTCAGTCAAAGTTGTTGCAACGGAAACTAAAAAAACCCCAAAAATTCAAAAATCTCAAACTATTAAAAGGCACCAGTTCACCACTAGACCGATCTATGTGCCAAATTTGGTTAAGATATCTCTCATGGTTTTTGAGTTCTGCTCCGGAAACAAAATGATACTGATGGATGGATGGATGGATGGATGGACAGCACCCATTCCCATATCCCCCTTCCACTTCGTGGCGGGGGTTAAAAAATCTACATGTGATTACATGTTCGCATTATATTTTGATAATTTTATTTACATAATTTTATTTGTACAAAACCATTGGGTCATTGTTTAAGCATGTCATAATAGAAGTACAACTACTTATAACATGTGGATCATGTTGAAGTGATATCACACAACTTCTGTCACTCTGGGGCGAAAAAAAGAAAAACTTAATAAAAGAATCAGCATTCATTCAGAAATGACAAATTAATAAACGATTTTACTTTGATTCTTTTCTAAAACTGAAATTAGTTATTTGCTGGTTAATAATATAAAAAAACTTAGAATACTGTCATCCACATCAGTCAGTAATAACAGAGTCAACGTGTATGATATGAATCTTGGTTGTCTCAAGGGGTTGGCAAACTTCTTTTCAGGTGAGTTACAAACACGATAATGACAGTGAAACGGAAATACCTTTAGGGCACCATTCCTCCGTATCAGTCGAACCTCCACCCCAAACGCTGGATCTGAAGAGGTGGCTAGGACCAGGTTCTCAATATCTTGAAATGTGCACACAAACTGCTGCCAAACATTAAACAGAAAAATTAAAAATAAATTCTCGAAATTAACTGTCAAATATTTGCTGTAGAGAGACAATACTCAGAAGTGAAAGCTGAAAAATAATGACTTGCAAGAAAATATTTTGAATAATAATTTTTGGCTCGATCATTCTCATCATGTTATTTGTTTGTTTTGATATGGAATTTCTTGTTCTCAGTGCAAAATAAATAAAAGTAAAACACAGTGTGAGGGTGTTGAGAGTAATGTTCTAAAATTTACAAAAACTCAAAACAAAAAAATTAAGCAAACTAATAAATATAAAACACATTTTAAGGGTGTTGAGGGTAACATTCTTAATACACAAAAAAATAAAATATAAAATAATAATAACAAATATATAACTGACATACACAAATGATACGACAAAAGAATCATGATGCCAAAATGATGTGCCATAGATGAGAAATAGATGGTACTGGAACTTAAAACAAGGCAAGAAGCAAGAAATTCATTCAGCATTGCGTATGTAACCATGGAAACATTAGCATTATCATATGTAATTAAACATCAAACATCATGATAATGCTACAACATGTACAATATAAAAATACAAATAATTCAACAGCCTCCAAGATGTTGTCAGTTCTGTTTGTGTAAATTGCATTTCTCCTTATCATGACCGAAAGTACCTACCATGTGGAAGTAGATTCCCGGAGGCTTGGAACAGAACGGATCCACGACAATGTCCACAGGCTGTGTCCTCTCCGGGTTTGTTTGTAGAAGTTCTATTGCATGGTAACACTCTGACCCATATTTCGCCACTTCCTCCAGAACACCATTCATGTACGTGTGCATGTATCTCTCCACACCAATATTGCCATGGGCCGAGGCAAACTTCCCCACTTCCTCCTTAACACTCCGATATAACCGATAATAGGGCCACGGCCATTTGAAATTGAGACGTTCTCTTTCTGGCAAATGTTTCTTCAGACCACAGACTGTAACTCTGGGATGACCGTTGTTTGACTGAAGGGGATGATACTTGCCACCTCGAGCTGGGCTGTTCTGTACCATGGTACAGAGTTTCGGGATGAAATACCCCATCACAACGAAACCCAAAACTTTAGGCCGTTCAAGGTTCTTATTGTACATAGTGGAAAACCTATCGCTAACAAAGTCATCATGGAACTGCCAGAACAAGTACTCCCATGTTTGTCTGTCTAATTTTTCCAGATCGCTTAAATTTGCATTATAAAATCGAAACCGTATTCTGAAGAAGAATTCATAGAGAATATCGTGCCGAGTGAGTTTTTCCCTCATCGTCATCCACTGATTGTGTTCATGGTTGATGAGGGAGAACATCGGGAGTGTTAATGAAGCCATTCTGTGGCTACTGTCTCCACTGGCAGTGTCTTCATCGTCGGAGAAAGATGGCAGTTGGGAGACAACATGGTTGGCAGCTTTCTCACATATTTCTTCCACGGATAATGGGAGTTCTCTCTCTGGGATCAACAAGCAGGGAATGCCACCATAGAAGTTAATCTTCACACCATCACTTGGCACAGGCTGGGTGTAATTTGTGGAACTCATAGCTGAAAAGAAAAGTTGAGTTATTATTGATTTTCATCATATACAAAAAATAGAAGCAGCCACATTGTCAACCATGACTGACATGACTCACTTGAGCATGATGACTGGGAGATGTATAAAGTTTTTTTATTTGTTGTTTAATGTCACACTCACCAATATTCAAGCTGTATGATAGTGATCTGTAAATAATCGATTCTGGACCAGACAATCCAGTGATTGACATAAGCATTGATCCACGCAATTGGGATACCATGACATGCATCAACCAAGTCAGCGAGCCTGACCACCCGATCCTGTTAGTTGCCTTTTAAGGCAAGCAGGGATTTCATAGTTTCAAAGTGATGTCTCATCTTCGTTTTCTTATCACAAACCCTTCATAGAACTTGAGAGTTATTTCAATGGATGGATGGCTATTTTCAGGACATGCCATTCGAACTGGGCCGTGAATGAGACCTGGGTCGTTTTTGTAACAGATAGGAAACATGAAACCCCATATAATTGCGGACGTGACCTGTGGGACAATATGTTTTGAAATAAACGACCTTCAGAATGGGCATGTATTTCATTTTATTATTTATAAAAAAAGGTCAACTTTTATAAGATTAAACCTGTAAAAGTTTGTAGGTCAGTGTTTCCTAATAGTGATGGTGAATTGTGAGGGATTGCCCTTATCTCTCTCAGGATCAGAATCACTCTCAAGGAATGAGTGAGTGAGTGAGTTTAGTTTTATGATGCTTTTAGCAATATTCCTGCAATGGAAATGGGCTTCACACATTGCATCCATGTGGGGAATCGAACCAGAGTCTTCAGCATGACGCGCGACCACTTCAACCACAAGGCTAGCCCCCCCCCCCCCCCACTCTCAGGGAAACGTGGCAGAGCCCAATATAACGTTCAGGAGGAAACAAAACCTGATTATTCAGTGTTAATCATTCATGTTACATACTTGTATTGTTGCATAACAACATTTCCTTGACCTTGGTTTCATCACGTCAATGCTGATAAAAAATGCACTGCAACCAGGAAATATAAACCAGAAGCCACTGCATATTTCCGTGTTGCCTCATCTTTCTGTGCTGGGTGTAAACAAGTTCTACGATGGGATTCATGTCAGATTGTGTCCAAAACACAATCTCCAAGCCAATAAAGTGATAGGTGACTTTCAACCAATCAGAGCACATTTGATAAATTTGTTTGACATGTTTGACGCATGTCTGTCACCTGAAGTTTGTCTCACTGTATTGAGTCATGCGAAGGTCAAGAGAGAAGATAGTGTAAATCTAGAAATGTATGCATTTCCAAATTAATACGACTGCTGTCCCTTAGACAAAAATATCAATGCGACTCCCCCACCCCATACCCAGTGGAATGATACATATCCTTACCTTAATCCAATCAAACAGCAAATAGCAGCGCTTATTAGCACTGAGTAAAACACTTCCATAAAAACAATAAACAGTTTTCCTAAAAACAATACACAAGTTATATGTTTAATAATAATAATAATAATAATAATTGATTTGTAAAGCGCCTAATATCCATCGACAGTTGCTCACTGGCGCTGTGACAAAGTTAAAAAGTAATGTCTATGTACATATGCCAACAATCAGGAGATCTATTGAAAAGCTGAAGTGAAGAAGTGGGTTTTGAGGAGAGACTTAAACGTTTCCTTAGAAGCAGAGTTTCTCAGATTCAAAGGCAAAGAGTTCCATAACTGTGCACTGCAAAAGGAGAAGGCACGGTCAGACATAGCAGAAGTAGACAGAGGCTGATACAGTAGAGCTCCACCAGAGGATCGGAGAGCATGCTCTGGAGAGTACAGGGATATAAGATCTTTGAGATAGTCTGGATAGTCGCTATTGTTGAGGCAGTCGTGAGTGATGATACATATCTTATAGTTTATACGAAAGGAGACTGGAAGCCAATGTAGTGCTTTGAGGACAGGACTGATATGATTGGATCTTGGAACTTTAGAGATGCATCTAGCTGCAGAGTTCTGAATGCGTCGTAGCTTTGATATGGCTTTCATGGGAAGATTAGCAAACAATGCATTGCAGTAATCCAGTTTGGATGTCACAAGACATTGCATCAACAATTTAACTGTTGGAGTATCAAGTAGATGGCGGACTTTACTGATGTTATAGATGCTACGGTAGCATGCTCTGCTGGTTAGTGAAATATGAGTGTCCATGGCCATTGTTGAATCAAAGGTGATTCCCAGATTACGGGCACTGGCAGTTGGGTACACAGTGGTATCACCAATATGAAGGTATACAGAGTCAGGGTGAAGCTTTCTGACTTGCTGTCGCGAACCAAGGATTAAAACTCTGTTGACTGGCATTAAAGAAGTTCAAAGGCAATAAAATTATTGAACCAACAACAGTTCACTGAATGGTATGAGGAGACGGTGTCAACAAGCTTGATACGAGCGGGTACAACTCTTGACCCCAGCAGTGATAACTCACCGAAAGCCTATTGTGTAATCCCTATTCTTTGAATGACCTGATAACTTTGTTATATACTTGTTACAACTGCTGCTCAATAAACCGTGTCTGTGTTTATATTCAAGTTGGTATTTCCACTATCCTAAGTGTGCAGTGAGCCTGTCTTAATGTTGATAGTCATTTGGAGACATAAATGTGAAGTTAATTTATGCCAGCAAAAGACCACTCACATTTTTCGCATTTAATTCACGCTCACGTTAATTTCAAGTTTTACAGTATGGCATGGCAGTATCCCAGGCCCCCAACAGTGTGACCAGTTTGTTTGATGTTTATGCTACAGCTGTATCATGGCAGCCTGCTTTGAACAATTTTTCAGTTATATCAACATGTCAACTTAATGGGAGGAACCTCGAACTGATTTATGCATGAGCACGGTTATCAGGCCTACTAAAGAAAATCAGCAGAGAGCAATGAAACTATGGAATATGTACACACTTTTTAAATTGAAATAGCCACACAAATTACAAACAAGACAGAATCCCCATAAAGTCTGAAACGTAATTATTAAAACCTGCCACATTTTCAATGGCACCAAATACAGTAAATCACGCAGGCCGCAACAAACTGAATGCGCACGCATTTATTGGGGATATATATTTTTGATGACCTTTGCTGATCATGCTCACCTATCATCAGAACATGATTACTGTCAAACCCTTTAAACCAAACCCAAACACTCATGACATGTGCTTACCCTTGACTCCGGTTAGAATATATCTTCAGCAACCCATGCTTGTTGTAAGAGACAACTATCCTTCTTGTAAGAGGCGACTAACGGAATTGGGGGTCAAGCTTGCTGACTTAGTTGTTACATCATATCCTAACCACGTCATATCCTAACCACGTGGATCGATGCTCATGACACCAATCACTGGATTGTATGATCCAGACTCGATTATTTATATATCTATTTATATAGCTGAGTGCAGCGTTAAACAACAAACAAACAAAGCATGATGTGAGCTAATTAATAGCAGGAGGGGATAGGGTCCTGAAATGGAGGTCGTGATCTCATGGGTACTTCACCCAGACTTCCATGCAATCAGGGGTGGTCGGGTAGCCTAGTGGTCAGAGTGTTCGCTCGTCACACTGAAGAACCGGGTTCGATTCCCGACATGGGTACAATGTGTGAAGCCAAGTTCTGGTTTCCCCTGCTGTGCTTTTGCTGGAATATTGCTAAAAGCAGTGTAAAACAATACTCACTCCATGCAATCAGACACGAGACAGCATTGATATTTTCACCCTCATCAGAATTGATTTTTTTTCAACATCAATCTAATGAAGGCTTCCTGCATGTCTTGTGTGATGTTTGTTTGTTTTGTTCGTTTGTTGTTTAACGCTGCACCCAGCAATATTCCAGCCATATGACGGCAGTCTGTAAATAATTAAGTCTGGACCAGACAATCCAGTGATTGAAATCATGAACATCGATCAACGCAATTGGGATCGATGACATGCATCAATCAAGTTAGCGAGCCTGGCCACCCGATTCCGTTAGTCGCCTTTTACGACAAACATAGTCGCCTTTTACGGCAAGCATGGGTTGCTGAAGACCTATTCTACCCCGGATCTTCACGGGTCTTGTGTGATGTACTTGATGCTATGATGGATGACAATACAGTTTCTCTACCCATCTGGAGAGTGATAGTGAGATGTGTCTACTGGATGATTCAGTGTGTTTGGCAGTGCCATTCTGAGTGACAGGGAGATGTGTTTGCTGGATGATGTGGTTTGTTTGGCAGTGAGATGTGTCTACTGGATGGTTCAGTGTGTTTGGCAGTGACATTCTGAGTGACAGCCTGACAGGGAGATGTGTTTGCCGGATGATGTGGTTTGTTTGGCAGTGACACCTGGAGAGTTACACGTGGTTGTTAGATGACGATTGTGTAGCATCCTGGGATTGACCATGTCTCATGTAATCAGCAGATTAACTGTACAACATCTACACACACACACACACACACACACACACACACACACACACACTTCAAAGGCATATGTTGTTCATAAAAAAAATGAAGCATAATCACATGGAAAACATTTAAAAAAAACAACCCTTACACATGCACAGTATATATTATATATTAAGATATCCACAGGAGCCATTGGGTGTATATCCTATACCTCTTATGACACTGTTTTAACAGGTGCTTAATTCGTGCATCAGCAAGTTTAACCTTTGGCAGAAGTCATAACGGAAGAAGGGTTCCCGATTTATAAGCCTATGAGACTTACCTGGATTAAGCTGGTGGAGAAATCACACTGCCAAGTTAGTCGTATATGGCCACAGCCGGATGCTCGGATAAGTTGAAATGCTATAGATAACTTTCCGGGAACCTCAGTATGTACGAGGCTGCTCCCGGTGTCATAGTCAGATGCCAAAGTGACATTACTTATCCGTCCAAGGAGTAATCAAGCCTTGCCCCCATGTATGACGTCATTGCTGGCATAGACAGATAACAAATAGCCTGTTCAAGGAAGTTCGGCATTTCTTAGAATCCTACTTTCAGTTTCCTGTTTCGGGATAGTGTTATCTAAGGGAAGTCACTCTAAGCCTTTCGCTGACAAGTCATTGGCTGCTTTCAAACCAGTCGCATGGATCTCTATGCTTGTTCGAATCTGGAATAACGTTTCCAGATCATGTGTATTTTAATTTGAATTATAGTTTATTTTTTAAAGAGCGAAAACAGCACGAAATGCAGAATTGTATTGTCTACTGATAACCACAGGGTATTTTGCATCCAATATTGGCGTCGATTGTTTTTATTTCATGGTTTGCTTTTAGGTCACTGTTCTTAAAAAAACAAACATGTTCAGTGATGATGGCAGAAAATACAAGAACTATTTTATTTTCAGGAGCTCTTTTAGTTTTTTAAAGCCTCTAATCGTACGTCAATATAATCCCATATTCGGATAGACTTTCTACCCAAAGTATAGCAAATAGTATATAATAGCAGCATAGGCATGAGAAAAAGCAATTTTGCAATTTTGCAAGATGAGCATGACTTACCTACTGGTTTTATTTATTCTCAATCAAATAAATTATTTTTTGCTGTTTTGCTGCGGACAGGTCTGCCATAATACATAATGAGACAGTAAGAGTGAGTGAGTGAGTAGGGTTTTACGCCGCTTTTAGCAATATTCCAGCAATATCACGGCGTGGGACACGAGAAATGTGCTTCACACATTGCACCCATGTCGGGAATCGAACCCGGGTCTTCGGCGTGACGAGCGAACGCTTTAACCGCTAAGCTACCCGATCGCCCCCAATATGAAATATATTTGAATAATATCATTTTACGGGGATCCGCGACACTAATACCAAATCACTTGGCATTTTAAGAAATACTATTTTTATTCCTAGATCTATTTCCTATTTCGCCCACCGATCCTAAGTCAAAATAACAAAAGTGACTCCAAATGCATGTCATGCTCGTTCATACAGGTATAGATTAAGTTTTAAGAAATTTCATAACTTTTAAATCATTGTTTCAATGTTCAATTGAGTGTTTCAAAGGCTTTTTTGTACTTACACGAATTTGTTATTCTGTTGAGAAAATCACAGGATATCATTTATTATTTTTCAACAAACCATGAATTAAACCGAATGATTAGTCAAATCAGCAGTGCTTTACTTAGTGAGTGAGTATGGCTCACGCCGCTTTTAGCAATATTTCAGCAATAACTAATTAGGACGGGGGACACCAGAAATGGCCTTACTTGAACTATATGTTATAGTACAACTGTATAATTATACTTTCCTCCTGTTACTGTGTACTAGCCCATGGTAGACATGATGCCTCTCAGATATGTCGTACCGGTTCGGGGGGCACGGGGGGCCCAGTTGTCTAAGGCGCCGCGATTCGCTGTGCAGAGTTGCGTCCCTTGGCCACGCCAGAAACCTATGATTGTGGGTTCGAATCTCGGTTCGCCCCGATTATGTTTCTAGGTTTGTCAGCACCATACCCGTGCTCATGGGTTTCACGGAAGTGGTAAACGTCTGAGACCTGCATCACTTCAGGTTTTCCTCCCACATTAAGCTGACACGCCGTGATATAACTGGAATACTGTTAAAAGCGGCGTTAAACCCAACTCACTCACTCACTCACTCACTCACTCACTCGTACCATTTCAAGGACTGATTATTCTACGTGGCTGTTGTTTCTTTATTTAGAAAAAAGTGTCTTGGAGAAGCATGTCGGGAATGTGTGGTGGACGTAAGAGCTTTTACGTGCGCTTCAAATGATTATTGGCTCGACAATATGAGACAGGTTTAGGTGACGTCACAGGCAACACTATATAACACCCCCTAATATATATGATGCAGTTCACTCTTTATTGGCATTCCATTAGTACATCAGTCAATATCCGATCTATCAAGTAAATTAAACAGTTTAAATGCTTGTGATGTCATGATGAATCTCTGTTGCTAATTTTAACCATCTCTGACTGAAGTGGTTGTAATGCGTCTGATGTTATTGTAGCGACATGCTGTCATCTTTACTCAATGTTAACATGTCTGACTGTAACATGTTGTTGTCTGATGTTACTGTGACGGACACGCTGTCATCTTTACTCAATGTTAACATGGCTGACTGCAACATGTAGTTGTCTGATGTTACTGTGACGGACACGCTGTCATCTTTACTCAATGTTAACATGTCTGACTGTAATATTAGTTGTCTGATGTTACTGTGAGACACACGCTGTCATCTTTACTCAATGTTAACATGACTGACTGTAATATGTAGTTGTCTGATGTTACTGTAGCGATACGCTGTCATCTTTACTCAATGTTTAATATGTCTGACTGTAACATGTAGTTGTCTGATGTTACTGTGACGGACACGATGTCATCTTTACTCAATGTTAACATGGCTGACTGCAACATGTAGTTGTATGATGTTACTGTGACGGACACGCTGTCATCTTTACTCAATGTTAACATGTCTGACTGTAATATTAGTTGTCTGATGTTACTGTGAGACACACGCTGTCATCTTTACTCAATGTTAACATGACTGACTGTAATATGTAGTTGTCTGATGTTACTGTAGCGATACGCTGTCATCTTTACTCAATGTTTAATATGTCTGACTGTAACATGTAGTTGTCTGATGTTACTGTGACGGACACGATGTCATCTTTACTCAATGTTAACATGTCTGACTGTAACATGTAGTTGTCTAATGTTACTGCAGAGACATGCTGTCATCTTTTCTCAATGTTAACATGTCTGACTGTAATATTAGTTGTCTGATGTTACTGCAGAGACATGCTGTCATCTTTTCTCAATTTTAACATGTCTGACTGTAATATTAGTTGTCTGATGTTACTGTAGCGACACGCTGTCATCTTTACTCAATGTTAACATGTCTCACTGTAATATTAGTTGTCTGATGTTACTGTAGCGACACGCTGTCATCTTTACTCAATATTAACATGTCTGACTGTAATATTAGTTGTCTGATGTTACTGTACCGACACGTTGTCATCTTTACTCAATGTTAACATGTCTGACTGTAATATTAGTTGTCTGATGTTACTGTGACGGACACGCAGTCATCTTTACTCAATGTTAACATGTCTCACTGTAATATTAGTTGTCGTCTGATGAAACTCTGATGGCTACTGCCTGACTAATCATTTCACTTTTATTTTACGTCCTCATCTTCAATTTTCGCTAAATGGCAGTTGTTATGCGACAGCTACAATGTTTCCCGGGCGTCTATATCCCTGTTTGTCTCCCTGGCGCTGACTGTACCTACCGTAGGCCGTGCCATATGTCGGTAATAGCAGAACACCTAAACTTGTAGATTACAGATAACAGCGTGGGAAGCAGGATTGTTTAAAACATATACGGAATATCACAAACAAGTTAAGATGCAACCAAAGCCTGAATGATCGAGTACACCCCGGAGACGGCAGCGGCGTCTTTATATCAGCAGGTGTTCGTGGCCACTCCTATACTCGGGGCTTCTCCCTGAGCCATGTCCGACCTTTACTGTAGTTAGACACCTTATGCCCTGTAGTAAGACACCTCATGTCCTGTAGTTAGACACCTCATGCCCTGTAGTTAGACACCCCATGCCCTGTAGTTAGACACCTCATGTCCTGTAGTTAGACACATCATGCCCTGTAGTTACACACCTCATGTCCTGTAGTTAGACACCTCATGCCCTGTAGTTAGACACCCCATGCCCTGTATATATGCATCTTTGGCAGACATATAATTATTATGTTTGACCTTCACCTCGTCTCCTGTAGATAAATGTTTGACCTTTACCTCGTGCCTCTGTAGATATATACATGTATGACCTCCTTCCCGAGCCCCTGTAGATATACATGTTTGACCTTCACCCCATACCCTTTCGATACACCCGGTTGCCCTTCACCCCACGTTGTTCATGATCAACTTTACGTTCTCTGTAAGTAGGTACGACTTGTCCCGTAGTAAAGAGATGGAACAATTCTCCTTCCCCAACCTGTAAGTTCCCTTGGCCCTGTGGTAAAAGCGTTCGCTTGTCACGCCGAAGGCCCAGGTTCGATTCCCGACATTGGTAGAATGTTTGAAGCCCATTTCTGCTGTCCCCCGCCTTGACATTGCTCGACTTTTCTTAAAAACGGCGTAAAACCATACTCACTCCCTAACTCACTTAGTTGATCTCGGAAGAGGTGTTCCTCGTCACACCGTGGGTAGAAATTCTAGACAGGAAAGGAAGTTACTTATATTTCAGTTTCATGTCGGTAGTTTATCATTGATGAAATTCAACACCAAAACGAATACAATTCGGTATCATAGTCACAGCCAATCTGTGACATAAATGGACCGATTTTTCAGTCAATTAATGCAATGACCGAAATATTTAGTCATGTTCAGACATAACCGCAAACTACATGTATGCTGTCAAAGTATTTATTTTGTAGATTAGAATTGTGTATCGTTTCATAGTTTTATTTTTAAAGCAATCTTTGGTCTATATTTCATGTAACCTTCAGTATGTGATAATCGTAATTGATTGTAGAACACGATGAGATGTAATTGATCAATGTATATCCACTTAGGTGTAACAGGAGACTCATATCTGCGTCCTCAGACCAGTTGACATCATATCGATCTATATAAAACATTTTACGCTCATACTCATAATATGGGTCAACAATCAATATGTGCTCCAAAACCCTTACCACAGAATAATGCTTGATAAACGAACATGAAAAAAGGAGACGAAAGTACTTAGAGAACACCTGTACAAAAATGAATTGAAATGTATGTGACGTCATGGATGACGTCTGATACGGACGTGTCCCTGGTCATGCGTATCGTATGTGACACCTAGTGCCTACGTGCGTGAGTGAGTGAGTGAATGTGTGTGCGCGCCTGTCTGAGCGCAACTCCGTGAAGGGAACAGTCACTAGACGCTTGATATTCATTATTTACACAAAAAAATCCTATTTGACGAAACATGTGTGAGGTCTAACTGGTTTAGTATTGGACAAAGTACATATGTTCTCCAGTACCCAAATCAATATCCGTGGTATATTTGAAGACATCGCGTTTTCTGGCATGATTGATGAATGGTTTATTGACATTACGACAACAAAAGAAATGTTGGAGTATTGATTACAATGACTAGCATAACGCCAGCACTAAACTACCTTCAACGCCAGTAAGTGCACGTGTGGACTCCAAAGTCTTGATAGATAGATAGATAGATAGATAGATAGATAGATAGATAGATAGATAGATAGATAGATAGATAGATAGATAGATAGATAGATAGATAGATAGATAGATAGATAGATAGATAGATAGATAGATAGATAGATAGATAGATAGATAGATAGATAGATAGATAGATAGATAGATAGATAGATAGATAGATAGATAGATAGATAGATAGATAGATAGATAGATAGATAGATAGATAGATAGATAGATAGATAGATAGATAGATAGATAGATAGATAGATAGATAGATAGATAGATAGATAGATAGATAGATAGATAGATAGATAGATAGATAGATAGATAGATAGATAGATAGATAGATAGATAGATAGATAGATAGATAGATAGATAGATAGATAGATAGATAGATAGATAGATAGATAGATAGATAGATAGATAGATAGATAGATAGATAGATAGATAGATAGATAGATAGATAGATAGATAGATAGATAGATAGATAGATAGATAGATAGATAGATAGATAGATAGATAGATAGATAGATAGATAGATAGATAGATAGATAGATAGATAGATAGATAGATAGATAGATAGATAGATAGATAGATAGATAGATAGATAGATAGATAGATAGATAGATAGATAGATAGATAGATAGATAGATCGATCTTCTTTATTTCCTCCATTTCATGAAGAGGTATACAGTGAAAAGACAACATCTACAGTATAAACGTGCACACACACACATTATATATATGTCAGAAGAAGTTCATATACATATGTATCCTATTTATTATTGGTGTTATTAGATGGACAATTAGCATGTGATATTTACAAATGTACACTTCCTTACAATATATACATTGTTTAGTATAAGCAGCTTCGGATGACTTCATCCCACTTTTTAACTGCACCACCAATATTTATCATGCTCTCTGCCCATACATTGTAGTCTAATTCATCTTCAAGCTGCTTAGGTAAACCACCAAGCAGAAAAGTCAGAAAGGTATCATCGTCTGTCCAGATTCTCACAAATATTTTAACAACAAGCAAATAAATGATTTATCAAATATGGTATTTCTTTCTTCTAAATTCTTTTGACATGACGTGAAAACGTGTTTCACTATATCATTCGCAACTGTTCCATAAACACATTCCTTTGATTCTATTGGCATTGAACCTAAGCGAACTAGTCTAGCTAAGGAAGTAAAATATTCTGGTCTGTCGAAAGCAAGTTTCCTTAACCTATGTTCTCGTCCAGATCGTATTGTTAGATACCTTGACAGAGATAACCTGCTCAGAAGCGCATTGTTTAGTAATTGTTTTTCGTGTAGTTGAATCTTTTCTTTAACCAGTTTTGACCATAATCGTTTCTTGGTGAAATATGAACACATTATATAATCAGGAACCTCGTCAGACAAATTATATTTGGAGATAAGACGTAGCATGCTAAAGATTGGTGATTTCGTGTCCCACTTGTTCTTATTAACTAGTGTTGCTTTATATCTAAACTGTCCAAGTCGGACGAGAAACATGTGTTTGAAAATATACATTAGGTTTGAATTACATAGCTTACCAAGGAGAAAAAGCTTTTGTTGATCAATGTATCCTTGTACTGATATAACACCAATTGTGTCTCTCTCTATTTCTTTAGGCATACGCTTATTAAAACCCTGGATTTTCTAACAGAAATGGCGTTGAGTGATTTCGAGCATTTTATATTCCTTTAAGGATAGTTTTCCCCCACACATTACATCCATATAAGCCACAGGGTAATACCACTCGTTGCCAGATGCGCACGGCGGCTATAGGATTAAGTCCACCAAAGTACAGGCCAGAATCATGGTTTACATTTATCAATTTTCTCAGTTTTTCACATACTAACCTCGTTCTTTGTGCAGAGGTTTTAACAGTACTTATGTCCACTCCCACATAGACAATTGCCTTTTGAACAGGTAATTTTATGTTACCGATGTAAAGATGTTCAGGCGACACTGTTTTTTCATTATATCCAAAAGACAGCACTTTTGAACACATTGTATTTTAACTGCCACGTGTTACCATAATGTTCTGCAGCGTTTAGGAGCATTTGAAGACCTGTTGTGTTACAACTGATCAAGGTCGTGTCGTCTGCTAACAGTATTCCTGTGCATCGTCCCCATGGGAGACATAGTCCACAACCGGAATTGCTTAGTTCATGAAGTAAATCATTTATAGAAAGAGTAAAGAGCCATGCTGATATGACACGACCCTGACCTACACCCTGTTTAACAGGGAAAACATCAGATTTGAAGCCAGCAAAGCTAACACATGATTACATCGAATTGTAAGATAGACGTAGAATTCTCCATAATTTACCATTGATACCAAATTTATGTTATTTATAAAAGAGACTGTCAAGCCAAACACGATCGAAGGCTTTCTCGTTATCGAGAGAGGCACAGTAAACTGGTGAGTTTCTTTCGTTAAAGTATGAAATACTTTCTAGAAGAGCGAGAGCCGCCGTTTCGGCATCAGCATTTTCCCTAAGTGTTGATTACAATGACCAGCATAACGCCAGCACTAAAATACGTTCAACGCCAGTAAGTGCACGAGTGGACTTCAAAGTCTTGATAGATAGATAGATAGATAGACAGACAGACAGACAGACAGACAGACAGACAGACAGACAGATAGATAGATAGATAGATAGATAGATAGATAGATAGATAGATAGATAGATAGATAGATAGATAGATAGATAGATAGATAGATAGATAGATAGATAGATAGATAGATAGATGATGGATGGATGGATGGATGGATGGATCTATAGTAAAAGTTTGCACACACACACACACACACACACACACACACACACACACACACACACACACACACACACTTTACATTACAAATATGTCAGAAGAAGTTCATATACATATGTATCCTATTGATTATTGGTGTTATTAGATGGACAATTAGCATGTGCTATTTACAAATGTACACTTGCTTACAATATTAACATTGTTTGGTATAAGCAGCCTCGGATGACTTGTCTTGTGTAGTGCTTCCAGCGCATTCAAGTAACAGGCCCGCCCATGCTATCTGAACGAACTTCTAAAGTCTTATTGTCCCTCAAGAAATCTCAACTCCGGCCATGAAAACCTGCTCGAAGTCCCCAAATGGAAGCTGAAAACCTTTGGTTATCTATCCTTCAGAATATATGCTGCCACCAAATGGAATACTCTAACATGTCATCTGAAAACTGCTCCAACACTTGCCTATTTTCAGAACCAAGCTAAAGACGCACATATTCAAGTCATGGTTCAACTAAAACTGCCTACCATTAGCGTTAATGTGTAAACTCAAGGCGTAACTGTTAACGCCAGGGTGTGACCTGTTGTGTAGTATGGACACTTATACTTGTGATCGCCCTGCTACATTTTAAGTATAGTGTGTTTTATGTGTAAATCACATTTAACCTTGTAGGGTTTTATCTCGTGACTTTTAAGGAAGAGAATATATGGATGTCAGCTTCTTTATTATGAGGAACACAACATTTCGGAGTGTATGCTTACTCCTTCATCAGGTGAATGAATGCCATGAGGCAGAGAGCATATATATGTACATGTAAGGACAACACAATCAGCGCCAATCATATGTTGGCTTCCCTTTTTAGTTTCTACCCTTTGTTATTTTCCACCTTTGTTATCTTATTAATTTTGTGATGCTGATGCTGATGCTGATGCTGATGACGATGACGATGACGACGACGACGACGACGACGACGACCATGATGATGATGATGATGTACAGATTAAAATTTAAAAAATGCAACAAAGAGGGTTTGGGTGATCCTGGCACAGTCAGGCTGGTTAGGTTCATCATCAGTTCAGGGCCTTTGCCCCCTCTCCACGCAGCCCAGACAGCGAATGGGACTTCTCCCAAGAAGCGCTGCCTAGTCAAACCCACCAAGGACTTTTCCTCTATACCAGCGATAAGCCTACAACTTATATCGAAGAAGGAACTCTATTTGCCATATCAAACACTTTTTGGCTTGACATACATTGCAACATCTGAATAACGGTTTTGTTCTGTAGGTTTATGAGAAAACACCTTGAAATATTTGTAACAAGACCTGATTATCATGAGTTCAAATACCAGATTCAATCCGATTTTGATTCTTGTTCTGTCAGAGTACGTTGCTTATGGGTTTCAGCATAGAGTAAAACACTCACTCACTCACTCACTCACTCACTCACTCACTCACTCACTCACTCACACACAAATCAGCAAAATGTCACTGAGAACTTTATCAATTTATCAATATAAATACTCGAGAGAGAAACGATGAAAACCGAAGGTCAGTTTAATTGAATTTTTAACAATGTCACTCCACGACACGTCACATTAACGCGGGGCGGTCGGGTTGCCTAGTGGTTAAGCGTTCGCTCGTCACGCCGAAGACCCGGGTTCGATTCCCGACATGAGTACATTGTGTGAAACCCATTTCTGGTGTCCCCCGCCGTGATATTGCTGGAATATTGCTAAAAGCGGCGTAAAACCATACTCACTCACTCACATTAACGCTGGACGCACCCGTGAAGAGGGGCGATAACTGAAGCGGGCATGAACATGTCCACCCGAGGTCAGAGATTATCTGTATCAGCAGGGTGGGGTCACGATGTCGCTCACTTTCTATCTCTATTCCAACATCCTCTGTCGCTACACACTCTCGCAGTACCCGGGGTCACACGCTGGACGATCAGACCAAAAGTTAGAAGAGCCTGTCAGTGGAAGAACCACGAGAAGCGGAACCTACTAAACTACCACCATTTATCGTTTTGTTTGAAAGAGTTTAAATCTACAGCATCACTTCTTGAGCTAATCAGTGGCTATAGTGTGATCCTTGGTGATCTGGTTGAGCATGGAGAAATGGATGTACATTTTGTTGTGTTGTGTGGCGACGGTGAGTTGAAGGCTAGAACTATAGAGGACTAATATTCCATCACATCTTCCGGAATGCCATCGAAAGAAAAACCGCAGTCCATCGGTCAGATAGTGTCTTTAGTTGCAATGATGGTCAAACATGACCCTCAGAACGCAGACTTTGTTGCCTGCACATATGGATAACATTTAGTTTATCTTTCTCCCTACCGGAGTTATGTTTTACGAAATTCAACCATTGTTCTACCAAATGCAAGTCTACGGTTATCAGGCTAGTTGATTGTGTGGCACCAAGTTGTCAACATTAGATACATTTGCTTAAACATATTTATTTCATAAAATGCGTGAAGCCGGATTGGTAAAATGTAAAGAATAATATTGAACGCTCAACCCCAAAAGGATGAGAATCTGTACTTTACTAAGAAAGTATTTTCCCAAATATAACATTTGTTTCATAAAGAAATGAATTAAGACCTCTCAAGATGTCATACGATGTCATCAATTATAATCCACAGTCAAGGGTAAATAATAAGCTACTTGTTTTATATAAAATACAGTTGTAAACTTTGAAGTAAAAACTAGTAGCAAAACTGAGATACATTAGAGTTTAAATATAGTTTGCAGATAGATAAAATTTGGAAATCTACCAGAGGTTGATCTAAATTCATGAAAGGATTTCAATATTTCTTAATTTATCTTTGCTGTAAGATTTCTTACAGTAATAGTGTTTAGGTGAAACCCTTTTTGTAAAAGTACTTTTACCAGTGTAGCTGGAACAGGATAATGAACGGGATTGCATCTTCATTTGGTAGCCACAAGACAAATTTGGATTAGTTGATAAAAACATTTTAAACCTGTCACCATAGAGAACACACGAGACACATCTTATTGGATATATTGTTTCAGGGTATGTATGACAGACTACACTAGACCATGTGAGCTGTATGTAGCATTCAATATGTGAATTAGACATTTATATAGCAATTTGGAATAGAACGAATTGTTTGAGCTACCGCATTATTATTTAATCAGTTTTATCACAGCCGAACACGTGTTTCTTGTAAGACTGTTTTAAACATACAGTGTAATGTATCACGAAGAGCTAAGATACATAAACTTATTTGCAAAAAAAGTTCATGTAAACTAATTTATCCCTGAGGTTAAAAGTGCATCTATACAAACATACATTTTTTACCAACAATCACCTCCACCTTCACAAGAGTGTTTTCCAATCAGGATTAGCGTAACTCTGGTAGGATATAAACAAAGACCAAATACTCGGTGTAGATTTCATCCAGTTACAAGGAGCGCTTTCAGCCCCAGAGCGTTAAGTGTCTTGGTTTGACAATTTACTTTTTTTTTAAAAATATTTAGCGTACACAGTTTCTTTTAGAATGAATGTGTCCTAATCTTAAATACATTGTTTAAGAGCCGTAGGCTTGCCCCTTTGATCGTAGAGTGTTGAGACTTCGGGGTGACGAACTAACTTAATGAGTCCCATGCCTGTGTGTGTTGTACGTCTCTCCGTATAGGGGTACACTGTCAAGGGAGGTCGGCAGTGACACATACTCAGACTGCCGCGGTTACCTCGGTTACACGGACAGCTGGAGCAAAAGGATTGTGATGATAACAGAGAAGGCACCAAATACCTTAAGTCAGATTCCACAGACTGACCTTACTCAATGAACACAGTATATTTTGTACTATGTTTTTATTGTTTGTTTGTTGTTTAACGCCACAGTCAGCAGTATTCCTGCTATATGACACCGGTCTGTAAATAATCGAGTCCGGACTAGACGATCCAGTGATTGACATCGTGAGCATAGATCTATACAATTGGGACACGACGACATGCTTCGACCAAGTCAGCGAGCCTGACCACCCGATCCCGTTAGCCGCCTCTTACGAAAGTATAGTCGCCTTTTACGGCAAGGATGGGTTATTGAAGACCTATTCTAGCCCGGATGTTCACGGGTGTTATTAAGAAAGTGAAAATAGGATAATCTGCATCAAAATCGTGGTTGTTTTGAAAGTGGAACAACATTGTTTATAACCTTATTCCCCAATAACGGATTAAACGGAGAATTGGTAAACACCGTTGACTTCACTGAACATCATAATATTTACTTAACTGTTTGTCAAAATTACAGATGCTGATTTGTAAAACGGATTTTGGCCATGTGTGGAATACAAAAGGTACAGGACGCGAACCTTTTCCTCTCGGAATTCTTGCTGTGTCTCGAGGCCTAAAATGAGCAAGACTTACATAGTTGATTTTCTAGTGGTTCTATGATACATTTGCTTTTTTTTTAAACATGCATTTGGGTTTCAAGAATATATCAGTCTGATTTAACTTGATACGTTTCAGATAACCTTGACCAGATATCATACAAGTAACGGATCTTACGTTGAACCATATTACTGCATTGGGGCCGATGGTCCACTCAATCATGTACAATGATTGACTGAATTACTGCCGTTTCTGAAATTACTTATACATGTTTGAATACCAACTGTGTCCTCATTCTTTCTGCATGATACACTTTTACGTGAATGTATTCGACATGTAGAATATCATTTATCTCAGGTCCCACCGACATCTTCCAACGGCAAGTTCTTCGTTGGTTTCCTGGGTTACAAGAACAACGGAAACCTGGGGTATGACGGAGAATGTTGTGACGGAGAGAGAGACAGTGCTGGACATTGCATGGAAACATGCGACCTAATCTTCCAAGTGTCCGTGTATGGACTGGACAGGTAAGTGTTCACGTGTCAGACTCGGACAGGTAAACGTCCAGGAAAAATTCCAGATAAACGTCCAGGTACACGTCCAATAAAACGTTCTGGTAAACGTCCAGGTAAACGTCCAGGAAAACTTCCAGGTAAACGTCCAGGTAAACGTCCAGGTAAACGTCCAGTTAAACTTCCAGGTAAACGTCCACGTAAACAAACGTCCAGGAAAGCTTCCAGGTAAACGCCCAGGTAAACATCACAGTGAACCGTACAGGTAAGCTTAAAGGTAAACATCACAGTAAGGCGTCCAGGTAAACGTCCAGTAAAACGTCCAGGTAAACGTCCAGAAAAACTTCCAGGTAAACGTCCAGAAAAACTTCCAGGTAAACGTCCAGAAAAACTTCCAGGTAAACGTCCAGGAATACCTTTAGGTACACGTCCAGGTAAACGTCCAGTAACACCTCCAGGTAAACGTCCAGAAACACTTCCAGGTAAACGTCCAGGAATACCTTTAGGTACACGTCCAGATAAACGTCCAGTAACACCTCAAGGTAAACGTCCAGAAACACTTCCAGGTAAACGTCAAAGGTAAACGTTCAGAAAAAACTTCCAGGTAAACGTCCAGAAAAACTTCCAGGTACACGTCCAGGTAAACGTCTAGTAAAACTTCCAGGTGAACGTCTAGGAAAACTTCCAGGTAAGCATCCAGGTAAACGTCCAGAAAAAAACTTCCAGGTAAACGTCCAGTTACGAGTCCGGGAAAACGTCCAGGTAAACATACCAGTAAGCGTCCATGTGATCAATCGTTCAGGTAAACGTCTTGGAAAACATCCTGGTAAACCTAGCTTCAAGTAAATGTTCTGGCTGAATGCAATGTTTCTGTGGGTTCCCGTTACAGAAGAGTGCCCATATATCTGACTCAGGTTATACGTGTCTGGGAATACCCTCGACAACTAAACATCCAATATAGTAGCCATGATGTGCGTCATGGCATGTATCGTATCTCGTATCTAGGTCTATGCATCATAAAGCGTCCATGTCTCGATACTTATTGTACTTGTCTCTGACCTGTATGTTCAGGAAAGACAGGTATTTTCTAAGCATGGGCGACGCACTGTATATCTTTGGCAAAGGACAACGCTTACATTTTGACCGTTAAATGCAATGGGAAAATACAATACAATAGGTTAAATACAATTAGTTTAAGATTAACCAACGTGTTACAACTACGGCCACTTCAATGTGTGTTTGTCTATACGACCCTTTCTAAACAGGAGTTCATGTAATTTGTGGAATCATTAAAAATGAAACAAACAATAAATGTTCATTCGACGGTGATGTATTTGATACAAGTATCACAGGTGATAGTACATGCATCACACATGATCACACAACATGTGAGCCTAGGAACGTTTTGATAACGTTTGTATTTTTTTTTTCAAATCCAATTTTCAAGTGTATACTATCCTTTCCTCGGCAGTTTACATTCAACAACAACCTCATTAGCATGAAACCTGTATTATTGTGTCAGGGACAGTAGCCACTAATCTGTTTACGCCTCTATTTCTGCAGAGGTAACATCACCAACAAGCGGCCATCCAGGCGCCCCATCAACGACACCAACTCCTTCATGTTCTCCGATGAATATAAACACGCCATCAACCCGATCTCCTTTGACTTCAAGAAGTGGCCAGTACGTGTGTTGTGTTTGTCAGATGTTGCCCCCGCCTTTAATCCAGGGCATTATATCTCCACTCGGTTAGGATAAATTCTCTGGACCCGTTCGTTTCGGTTTGGGAGTGACGTCACCATCTGCATGGCTTATCACTAACTTTGCATAGGGTTTCTCTGGCTCATGGGTGTAATTTGATTGGACGACTATATATAGCCTCGTGTGTTTCTAATATGGTTCCAAAAGCAGGCACGGTAAGGAAAGAGTCCAGGGTATTTATCATATTACATTGAGATATGATGCAGTGTATAATCGTGGATAAATGTTTGTCGGAAGTGGGACATCTGTGATTCCATGACTCGATGACACAGTTGCCACGCATTGAGAATATCGTCATTTTTTTGTCACATGTTTGATGACGTTACAATTTTTATTGCTTGTGTCCATATCAGAACTGTGACCTTGGTGTCACTTTAATAGCGTTTTTGGAATAATCTTAGCGTTTTTGTTGGATTCGTTGATATATGAAAGGCGTGGTTCAGATCGTGCTGCAGGTGTTTGACTCAGTATATATTATTTGCAGGTCGTAGTTCAGATCGTGCTGCAGGTCTTTGATTTAGTACGTATGTATTACAGGGCGTGGTTAAGATCGTGTGGCAGGTGTTTGACTCAGTTCGTATTATTTACAGGGCATGGTTCAGATCGGGGTGCAGGTGTTTGACGTATTGCGTATTATTTACAGGGCGTGGTTCAGATCGTGGTGCAGGTGTTTGACTCAGTTCGTATTATTTACAGGGCATGGTTCAGATCGGGGTGCAGGTGTTTGACGTATTACGTATTATTTACAGGGCATGGTTCAGATCGGGGTGCAGGTGTTTGACTCAGTTCGTATTATTTACAGGGCATGGTTCAGATCGGGGTGCAGGTGTTTGACGTATTGCGTAATATTTACAGGGCATGGTTCAGATCGGGGTGCAGGTGTTTGACGTATTGCGTAATATGTACAGGGCATGGTTCAGATCGGGGTGCAGGTGTTTGACGTATTGCGTATTATTTACAGGGCGTGGTTCAGATCGTGGTGCAGGTGTTTGACCAGGACATGGATGTCGTCAGCAGCAACATGACGCTACAGGCCGTGGATGAGATGCACTACAACGTGACCCTACAGGAGTCTTCCGACCACTTCTTGTACCAGAACATCTCAGGGTTGCGGGTAGCCTCGCCTTCAGTGTAAGTGCTGAGACCAAGTAACCCATGGATTCACTCATATAATATGGTTGCCAGTCGTCAAAATCGTCGACATTTGCTGTTAAGAGTAGTACCCCCTTATCGCAGTTCGCGTTGTGATCATGTTTGGTTTATTAACATGCTCGTACTTATACACATGCTCGTACTTGTACACATGCTCGTGCGTGTACACATGCTCGTACTTGTACATATGTGCGTACTTATACACATGCTCGTACTTATACACAATGTTCGTACTTATACACATGCTCGTACTTATAAACAATGATCGTACTTGTACACATGCTCGTACTTGTACACATGCTCGTACTTATACACATGCTTGTACTTGTACACATGCTCGTACTTGTACACATGCTCGTACTTATACACATGCTCGTACTTGTACACATGCTCGTACTTATACACATACTCGTACTTGTACACATGCTCGTACTTGTACACATGCTCGTACTTATACACATGCTCGTACTTATACACATGCTTGTACTTGTACACATGCTCGTACTTGTACACATGCTCGTACTTATACACATGCTTGTACTTGTACACATGCTCGTACTTATACACATACTCGTACTTATACACATACTCGTACTTGTACACATGCTCGTACTTATACTCATGCTCGTACTTGTACACATGCTCGTACTTGTACACATGCTCGTACTTATACACATGCTCGTACTTATACACAATGCTCGTACTTATACACAATGATCGTACTTGTACACATGCTCGTACTTGTACACATGCTCGTACTTGTACACACGCTTGTGTTTTTTATACCCAGGCTTTAAACCCACTTCACCCTCTCATGTATTGACAGAACTGTGTGCCAAAGAACGAATTTGACCCTTTCAACCTTCAATTATAGTTCCGTCGCCTCACGTCCTCATTACAAATGTTGATGTGGCTTTTTTTTTCCTTTTTCCCGCTATGAACCGTATTCATATTAAAGCAAATACTCTTTCTCGTCAGAATCATGTTGTTGTTTCGGTACAATTGTGACACAACCTACTATGGACAAGACTGCCTCACAGACTGTCTGCTCTACCCAACAAACCCACTGTGTCCCCGCACCACCCGGACCTCCATGGCCACGACAGTACCCACAGAGCCCATCACAGACTGTTCCACTTCCACGGATGTCGCCACAGACGCCACCACAACAGAAACACGTCATGTCTCAACAGGTAATCAAAGATCTGATCGAATGTTACTCCGCCAGTGGCCTGTTGTGCTACACCACATATCATACCTATATCGGGGTTTGGGGGCATCGGCATGAATGTGTGCCCCAAAGTGATATTTTCCTTATTTGGATCTCATACCATATTTTCTCCCACTGAATCTTGTATTGTTTCATTCAAAGAACACTCAACGGCGTCTTATACCAGATCATCATCAGCAACGATGTCCACCGCAGTCGGTGTTGAATCATCTAGTATATCTACGAACCTGGAGACAAGTAGCACCTTGTCACCCGACACAAGGATCTCGTCACCCGACACAAGCACTTCATCACCCGACACAAGAAGCTCGTCACCCGTCATGAGCACTTCATCACTCAACGCAAGCACAACGTCACCCAACGCAAGCACCTCTTCACCCAATGCAAGCACCCCGTCACCCGACACAAGCACACCTCAGAAGGTTTCAAACATCTCAACGCCAAAGACAAGCACCCACGTGACGACTGGCACCTCAAGCACTCACGTACCAGTGGCGACTGGCACCTCAAGCACACACGTACCAGTGACGACTGGCACCTCAAGCACTCACGTACCAGTGGCGAGTGGCACCTCAAGCACACACGTACCGGTGACGACTGGCACCTCAAGCACCCACGTACTGGTGACGACTGGCACCTCAAGCACCTACGTACCAGTGACGACTGGCACCTCAAGCAGCCACGTACCGCTGACGACTGGCACCTCAAGCACCCACGTACCGGTGACGACTGGCACCTCAAGCACTCACGTACCGGTGACGACTGGCACCTCAAGCACTCACGTACCGGTGACGACTGGCACCTCAAGCACCCACATACCGGTGACGACTGGCACCTCAAGCACCCATATACCGGTGACGACTGGCACCTCAAGCACCCACGTACCGGTGACGACTGGCACCTCAAGCACCCATATACCGGTGACGACTGGCACCTCAAGCACCCACGTACCGGTGACGACTGGCACCTCAAGCACCCATATACCGGTGACAACTGGCACCTCAAGTACCCACTCAACGAGCGAACCTTCCATCGGAAATGGGACCTCAAATGGCGACGGATCCACTTCTGTCAGCAGCAACAAACCTACCTCTAGCAATCGTCCATCATCTAAAACCTCATCAGTGACGCCATCTGCCTCTACGGCAACCCCATCCACTACACCCTCCATGTCTACAGCATCACCAGAGCCCACCATAACACGGGTCCAGACCTCTCCCAGTCTTTCCACAACGGTTCCCCTGGGAATATCTACGAAGGATCCAAAGGACTTTGCCCTAAAGAGCGACAGTGACACGACGTGGGAGATCGTGCTGGGCTGTGTTCTGGGCGGGGTGGCTCTGATAGCCATCGTCGTGTTCCTGGCATACCACAACAGGCAAAAGTGAGTACCCCAACCACCACATCTAACGTCTAAAACACCACGAAGATGTCCTCTACATCTCAGACCATAGTTTTACCCACAGGCAATGCTACTCTTACGAGGCGACTGAATGTATTGGGGGTCAGACAAACAGTACCATATGGATATTAACACGGATTGATTATGAGTGAGTGAGTGAGTGAGTGAGTGAGTGAGTGAGTGAGTTTGCCCGTGACCATGGGATTCTGCTAATTGCTCTACCTGGTTTTTCTATAATAATTGTACAAGTATCTATTTTATTTGCGACAAGGAATGATATCATACCTTAACGTATTCCATATTGTTCCTGACAAGGATGAATAACAAAGACAGCTAAATAACCTACATCGTCTTTAAACCACACGAACAAAGTGATTTATTTAAAGTGTCCTCACAATGATTGCTGTTTTATCCACAGAAACAATCACGGGCTTATCATTCACGCGAACAAAATATTGAGGTTCTAGTTTAGTCTTTTTGTAAATATTCGCTTCAGTTACGTTCTCTGATAAAACTTTCCCAGTTCTCCTCCATAGGGTGTTTGACAAACAACGTGACAGATGGGTCACGACCATGAAATTAATATACATTGAAATACAATTAATAGTGTAGACACATTTTGTGTGGAGTTGTGTTTGTACTTAATGTTGTAATTAAGGGCGGGGGATGTAAATGGGATTAAGATGGCCGATAAGCCAGGATCCCAGCGTAGTTTGCTCGGAAAGGCGATGCTGGCTTCCTTAGGAAGGAAGCCGGTCGCAGGTTCAGGTAGACATGGCCTTTATCTACATGTATACACGCTGCCATCATTGATGTGTCAAACAGGACTGGGGTGATAATAGGTCAGATAAAGAACAAGTGGGCTGGGTGTTGCAACACGCCATAGTGGACGGACCACACATGAACTTCACACATCGTTCCCATGTTGGGAATCGAACAGGTTTTTCAGTGTGATGAGCGAATGGTTTAACCACTAGGCTACCCCACCGCCCAACGCAGGAAAATGTCACATGCCTGATAACTGACCACCAAGGTATTTTTTGTGTAAATATAATGTATACACGTTGACTATCTTTGTTACCTGATTTCTATGTAGGGAGAGGTATTAATAGGGTAGAATAGGTCTTCAGCAGCCGACTAACGGGATCGGGTGGTCAGGCTCGCTGACTTGGTTGATGGATGTCATCGTATCCCAATTGCGTAGACTGATGCTCATGAGTGAGTGAGTGAGTATGGTTTTACGCCGCTTTTAGCAATATTCCAGCAATATCACGGCGGAGGACACCAGAAATGGGATGCACACATTGTACCTATGTCGGGAATCGAACCCGGGTCTTCGGCGTGACGAGCGAACGCTTTAACCACTAGGCTACCCGACCGCCCCTACTGATGCTCAAGATGTCAGTCATTGGATTGTCTGGTCCAGACTCGATTATTTACAGACCGCTGTCATATAGTTGGGATATTGCTGCGTGCGGCCTTAAAGAACAAACAAAACAAACAAACACCTCTTGAGTAATCACCCTGGAGGTATACGTGTTGCGATTGGACGAATCCATTGTGAGAGGGTGGTAAGCCTTGGTTCAGCCTCTACATTATTGTCAATAGGTCACGTGGTGTAAGTAAGTCAGCTCATCGAGCGTTGAAGCCATATCACACAGACAGATAGTCGCTGATGTATACAGAGAACTCGTTATTTGGGATTTCTTTCGGTGAAATACGTGTTCGTGTAGAATCTTGAGTTTGCAAAGTAAATGAATTTGGTGCATTTCCTTTAGGACTAGTCTCACAAATATTTTATCAATGTCATCAATGAAGACATCCCCAACATGTCGTTCTCACATTCTACGGTGTGACGAACGCACGCCTTAACCATTAGGCTACCTTGTCGTCCTATTAACTTTGCACAGATATATCTTGGCTGTTGGATGTTGACATAGATCATAACTAAGATGAGAATAAATCAATAAAGGTTTTTAAAAAAAAGAAGATTTTATTTGAAGTTCACAAAAAGTAGCGCTATACCTGTAGCCAAGAAGGATTGCGTCCAGTCAGATAGATACTTATAATGAAACACTGTAAAGTCACAAAATGTACTATTGTAAGACATAATGTATTTTTTATCTTCATAAATATATTTTCAAATATATTTTCGCTTTATCTTAAATCTTGAAAGGATTATTTCATGAGTATATTTTCAAATTCGGCTGTCGCATGTTTTGGCCTGACCTAGTTAAACATCTGTGGGTTCTAAAGGCACATACTATCTGCTCTAGAGCAGCGGTTATGACGTATTAATGTTCTGGCATTCTGTTTACATGGAACTTTGTTCCGTCAACCTTCTCATCTTAAATGTTAGAGGTTGCTTTAGTGATAATGCTGTGTATACGACACATAGTATCCCCTCAACCATCGGACAATAACATTACAATAAGGGGTGAACAGAGAACTCCAATAATCCACCGCTGACAAAACAAGTATGTAACCATTCCAGGTATTATGTTTATGACAACCTCAGTTGTACCTTTGAGTTGAGTGAAACGTTGCGCCGCTTTCAGCAGGAAAACATCAGTAACATGTCGCATACTCCGCAGGGAGCTGAGAATGCACACTGAACCAGTGGCCGGGGTACAGTTCCTGTGTGGCGTGGAGACTTATGCTCTTACTTGTGCTGGTGTCATTACTAATTTATGACGATTTAGTGACACGTGCTTAGGATATTGGCGAAATCGTACAATGGACAAGTAATGAATTCTTAGGATTATGGAGTGAGTGAGTGAGTATGGTGTTTCGACGCTTTTAGCAATATTCCAGCAATATCACGGCGGGAGACACCAGTAATGGGCTTCACGCATTGTACCCGTATCGAGAATCGAACTCGGGTCTTCGGCGTGACGAGCAAACGCTTAAACCACTAGGCTACCCGACCGCCCCTAGGTTTATGGAAATTGTTTGAGTCGCTTTTTATTTATAGATAGTTCCCCGGCTGCGTCATACCAAAAGACGTTTCTGCATTAAAAGTATTCATGTTAAGCTGAGGCATGGTCACATGATCTCAGTAGGCAAGCACCATAAAATCGGTATTAGTCCGGACTAGTACCAGCACACACACGCACGCACGCACGCACGCACGCACGCGCGCATGCACGCAATATTCTTGAACGCAGCGTTAAACCACAGTTCAATTCACCCCACCTATTATGGTGACGACGGGCACAAAAGGAACTATTTTAGAATCAAACAGGGCACCACGGCGAACGTTTTAACCATCAGGCCACGCCAAGTAGATGACTTGATCGTATACCAATGGGGGTGTTCGTGATATGCGGGCCAGTCGACAGTCCCAGCAAGTTCAATTTAATCGTTATTAAACTCATTATCCTCTCGATATATAGGTTTTGTAGACATTCATTCTTTCTCTCCCCCACGACCCCCCTTCAGCCAGGGATAACCGAATATTGCGGGTATTGCTATATTTCTAGCTCTCCCATCATATCATGACTAACTTCACCACCGGTTGAGATACGTTTGTGGACACCATAAATAAATTAATAAAAGCGCTACAACTCTTTTCATAGTCATAAAAAATCTGTTAACAACAGAGCCCATTGGACGACTCCGACATTTTCACCAGCATGTGTTAATCAATCACATGTGTGTATCTAGTGTTTACCATCCGTATCAGTAATAGATCATAAGGTTGTTTACCAGTGTTTATGCATTCTGGATCATTGCGTTAATTTCATTTCTCATCAATAATCAGATATCGGACTAAAGGCCATCAATCTGTAACTGCAGGTGATTGTGTTCAACGTCTTCTATTGAATTACTCAGGCAATGATTGAGTGGCGGGGCAAACACAAGTTCAACATGGGCAGCCTCTACATCCGGGTGTGGATCCTTACACGTCACGTATCCCATACACAGAACTGAGAAATCTTCATTGATAGGAAATTAATTATTTCTACAGTAAACATATTTTGCATTTAATGTTTTCCATGTGAAATATGGGAAGAAGGGGTGGACAATTGGTAGACGAAAGTCGTCGATGACGTGCTCAATAACTGAAGATCAAACAGGGCCCTAATGGTCAGCTTAATCGTTCGGAGTAAAATGCTGACATTTCTTTGATGAACTGAAACACAAAACTTTCTTCAAGTATTAATGATGATGCATTGACCGTATGAATAAACATGTTATGACAGTTAAGCCTTTGCGCAAAGGGAATATAATACTATGTAGCATGTATGTTTCGTATTTTGATAAAATCATTGTTAAATGTAAAAAATTTAAAACATCATTCTTTGATTCCCTAAGGCTTCGAAAGTGATCCTTCTTGTGGAAGGTAATGGCTACAGCACAATCCGACCCGTGAAGACCCGGGGTAGAATACATGTAGGTCTTCAGCAACCCATGCTTGTCGTAAAAAGCGACTACCGGGATCAGGTGGTCAGGTTCGCTGACTTGGTTGATGCATATATGGTATAATAAACCTAGGAACATAAGAAGCGACTATGCTTGTCGTAAGAGGCGACTAACGGGATCGGGTGGTCAGGCTTGCTGACTTGGTTGATGCATGTCATTGTATCCCATTTGCGTGAATCGATGCTCACGATGTCAATCGCTGGATTGCTGGTCCAGACTCGACTATTTACAGCCCGCTGACATAAAGTTGGGATATTGTTGCGTGCGGCGTTAAACAACAAACAAACAAACATAACACGATTCCAGTTGGCTCAAAGCATCACAATTTGCACCTAACCTGGTTGTAAACGACAAAGCACCGACATACACTCTTTTCGTTTTTCTATAATCTACAGCATAAGATATGTGTTCCCACAATAAGGTTAAAATGTCTGAACCTGTTTCAGAACGCATGTAGCGAAGACAGTGGAAATTAGGCAAATGGTAAGGACAATAGATAATGTCAGGTTATAAGTGGCTCACTGAAGTGTGAGGGAACTGTAGCTGTAGGCATTACTGTTCGTATCACCAACCAATCGATTCAGCACAAATGAACCATTTAATAGAAACAGAAGTCAACGAATAACTGCCACACGAACGTAAGAGGGTATATTTTTTGTATTGTCTATTTTCAGAACTTTGCTGAAACGCCAGGAGATCTACAACGTCAGCCCTGAGGTGATAAGCATTGTGGAGGAGAACGGTACTACAGAGAGAAGTGACGTCCCCATCACGACATCACCACTCTAGACACAATCTGAAGCACTCTCTTCTTGTCGTAGCTGTTATTACAATCCTGACAATGCATCTGCTGTTCAGACACTGTCAGTTATTGACATTCAAACACTGCATCTGTTGTTTACACTGACACAATACTGATAATATCTGTTCAGACACGCAGGTTCCATCGCCGTTTCACAATCGGACAATGTCTTAACAAATCTGTTGTTAACATTAAGACATGCGGGTCACATCTGTTGTTTACAATAAGATGATACAGGTCATATATGTTGTTTAACTTTAGACAAGCAGTGTTTATGGCCTGTTTACAATCATTTAATACCGGTCATATCTGTTGTTTACATTCAGACACTACTTGTCACATCTGGTGTTTACATTCAGACATTTCTGGTCACATCTGTTCTTAACATTCAGACACTACTTGTCACATCTGTTTTTGACATTCATACATTAATGGTCATATCTGTTGTTTACATTAAGACACTATTTGTCATATCTGTTGTTTACATTCGGACACTACTTGTCACATCTGTTGTTTACATTCAGACACTACTTGTCACATCTATTGTTTACATTCAGACATTTCTGGTCACATCTGTTGTTTACATTAAGACACTACTTGTCACATCTGTGTTTACATTAAGACACTACTGGTCACATCTGTTGTTTACATTAAGACAATATTGGTCACATCTATTGTTTACGTTAAGACAATACTGATAAAGTCTGTTGTTTACATTAACACAATACCGGTCACATCTGTTGTTTACATTAAGGCACTACTTGTCACATCTGTTTTTACATTAAGACACTACTTGTCACATCTGTGTTTACATTAAAACAATACTGGTCACATCGGTTGTTTACATTAAGACACTACTGGTCACATCTGTTGTTTACATTCGGACACTACTTGTCACATCTTTTGTTTACATTCAGACATTTCTGGTCACATCTGTTGTTTACATTAAAACACTACTTGTCACATCTGTGTTTACGTTAAGACACTACCGGTCACATCTGTGTTTACATTAAAACACTACTTGTCACATCTGTGTTTACATTAAGACACTACTGGTCACATCTGTTGTTTACATTAAGACACTACTTGTCACATCTGTGTTTACATTAAGACACTACTTGTCACATCTGTGTTTACATTAAGACACTATTGGTCACATCTGTTGTTTACATTAAGACAATATTGGTCACATCTATTGTTTACGTTAAGACAATACTGATAAAGTCTGTTGTTTACATTAACACAATACCGGTCACATCTGTTGTTTACATTAAGGCACTACTTGTCACATCTGTTTTTACATTAAGACACTACTTGTCACATCTGTGTTTACATTAAAACAATACTGGTCACATCGGTTGTTTACATTAAGACACTACTGGTCACATCTGTTGTTTACATTCGGACACTACTTGTCACATCTATTGTTTACATTCAGACATTTCTGGTCACATCTGTTGTTTACATTAAAACACTACTTGTCACATCTGTGTTTACGTTAAGACACTACCGGTCACATCTGTGTTTACATTAAAACACTACTTGTCACATCTGTGTTTACATTAAGACACTACTGGTCACATCTGTTGTTTACATTAAGACACTATTGGTCACATCTGTTGTTTACATTAAGACAATATTGGTCACATCTATTGTTTACGTTAAGACAATACTGATAAAGTCATTAAGACAATATTGGTTACACCTGTTGTTTACTTTCACACGCACAGATTGCGTCGCCTGTTTTCAATCAGATGGGCTTATCAAAGACACCGACATCTGTAAGACCTGCGCGTCATCTCATTCAGTACTGGAAGTGCAACCACAGTCAACACACTAGAAATAAGCCAGTGACATGTCGACACGTGTCTATTGTAATATACTTATTCAGAGCACTGTTTCAATTGTGCGCTTGTCAATCACTAGAAATGTGAAGTTCTCCGCTGACTCAACTGTGTCTGTACGAGGTTGTGTCATGCAAGTTGATTACGGCGATCATGTATACTTGTATATGGTAATTAGTTGTTCCCTTCGCAATGAACCTATACTAAACACAAAAGGCCAGACCTTCATAAATATAACTTGGGTTAAGAATAAATTTGTTTTTCCCCCCAACTCTATATCCATATACTTAACATTTTGAAAAAAGAAAACAAACATTTCAAGTTGGAGTTTTTATAAAAAATGTTTTGTTACCTATTGCCCTGAAGTTTTGACCAAAAGTCCGTAACCGCTCCAAAAGGAAGTCTGGCCGAACCTATAATATATTGGATATATCAATATAGTTCAATAAATATGAACAATATCTGTATATAATCTTGATCCATAACATGATAATATTTCTTATTCACCCCTACCGGAAGAGTACTTATTGTCATAGTACAGCAATAGGGAACATATGGCAGTGTCTCGGCTATATGTCTTTGTACTTTACGTCATGACGTATCTGGATGATGGTCATAACGGCCCCATATTTCGCTGGCGAAATCGGCCCCACTCATAAATGGGCGAAAACCATATTCTGATCTCTTATGAACGTTTGAATATAGTTAGTAGTCGATATCACCTCCCCGTCAGCCATGCCCAGAACACGTTATGGCGCGAAAACATTACACAACGTTTAGAATCCCACTTCATGAACATGTTGAGAAATTTGAAATCATTACACTGTTTTGGATTTCACATGTGTATGTACGTAAAACCAAATGCTGATAAACTAAAATAAAATGATCCAACTACTTATAACTGTGCCGGTGTTTGATGGATTTTTGCTTCTAGCTGTAGCCAAGACGGTGAGGTAGCCCAGTTTGTTCGTTACAGGGTTAGAATGCTACGGTGTGCACTTAAGGTATATTCTCAAAACTGGTTTTGCTCTATGGTTGTCGTAAAATTATAATCACCTCCGCTAAAGCCCTCCTAAAACGTCTGAAATTCCACGAGTGAGTGAGTGAGTGGGTTGGTGGTTGGATGGGTGATTGAGTGAGTGAGTGAGTGAGTGAGTGATAGTTGTGCGTCTCATGAAGCAGTTGTCTCACCAAAACACGGCGGAGGAAAGCAAGAATGGGCTTCGCACATGTTATTCCTGCGCCTATGTTTAGGACATGCCCTGTCGAAATTAATAAGGTATTTGGAAGCACCACGTTGAATGACATCATGATAATGCTACCACTCATAATGAAGCTATTACAGGGACTGCCCGTTTTTAAGCCCTGGGCTTAATAACAGATTTTGCCTGTTTTAATTGAGTATCATTTTATCTAAATTTAAGTCAAGGGCTTAAAACGCAAAAGGACAAAAATGAATATCCCTACTTTAACAAAACAATAAATAGAAAAGGAATGAGAGCGAAACACTTTATTTAACATTAGACATGACGTTAAAATTAAAATGACAAAAAGTAACAACAAACCATTATCGCTGTTATGCGTGTCTGACATATGCATTTAAAATGTCACACTGAGAATCTAGAATATCACCAACGTCATGGGCTCAATGTGTTTTGTGAACGTGGAAAGCACTAACAGCGCTTCAGGTGCAATATTGGTGCTAATTGGCCATATAGAAGCGTGCAACACCACAGGTTGAAGAACATCCGGTAGGGGAGATCAATTCTTCAAGCGTTATCTTTTTCCGACTTCAAGCCCATGGGCTAAAAAACGAGAGTATAAAACATGCAGTCCCGGTACGTTGTATTCCTTATCAACAAGCCGCATGAGAAAAGATTTATTTTGTGCTATTTTCTTTTTCCGTCTAACATTTAAGTGCTTCTTTATGTTGATCGACTTCTGGTTTACACGATAACACACTGTGATACAATCTAAAGAAATTATATAAGTTGGTATTGATTGGTCTGATAAAGAGCATTCTATATATATGCACTGATAAGCAGGGCGAAACGATTGCATGTTTCCTGTCGTTTATATTATGATGTCTTTCTCCTGCTAGACCGTTCGGCTGTTAACAAAACAGTTCTGGAATTAAGTCCTTATGTCTGGAATAAAGTCCTTATGCCCTAACTAGAATAGTCGGTTGCTTTGAGATATCCGCAAAATAAATGTAGTGACATGACCATATTTATCGAAAGTTCTAGGGACCATCGCCAATATGTTGGGTAATCCGTAGTTCGAAACAAGGGGAGTGACTATTAATATATGGTCAAAGTGGCGATAAATTCAACGGAGCCGTTTTATTAACTAAGCATAATACGCATAATAAACTTAGGGTAAATGGTTAATGTTGTTCACTGCCTGTGTCGTTATGTCTGCTATTTTGTACAAATGCATCTTCCCGAGGCAAGGGAGTTAACTGACATTAAAAGTCCAGTTTCCACCCTTGCCGAACTAGGCTGGAATTCCTGGGCTCGATCGTATCGCCACCAGTGGTTATTACGAGTTGTGTCCCTTCTATGCCTCTCCTATGGACCAATCATATTCCACCTCTCGTATCACCTGCGTTTGTTTAAAACAAAATGGCAGCGCCCAGTCAAAACGATCTGATCGATAATCAAGATCTATATTGTGATAAAACGGGTCTTACATCGCGAAGTGATTCAAATCACGTGAGCACCTTGATGAAAAACATGACAAGATTGGGAAAATACTTGTTTACAACGATTTAGCAAATCCTGTAATCGACCGAAATCTTCACGACAGTGTACGAACCGGATTTCGATTTTGTTGCGCGATTTTGGTTTGACTATGCATAGACTCGTTAGTCCAGCCCACATGTAACTCCAAAATACCAGCCTAGTTCGGCAGGGATGGAAACTGGACTTTTATAGTCAGTTATTTCTCTTGCTTTGGGAAGATTGTACAAATGTGGTCAAACAAAACTTGACATGTAACTTAAAACACATCATTACCTGTTTGAGTCTATTATTTTCCTATTTGGTGTTCGTAAATTGTGGCAAAGAATGGCTACATTGGAATGAGTATACTGCGAATTATGTTGAATGAACACAACTACAGCTTGTAGGGTTATATGGTACAACTGCCTAAGGTACGACAGGGCTTGGATGAGCGTGGCGCATATTATGCCTTACTTAAGACAGCTTTTAGTAAACAGATTCCTCATCACATTAGCTGTTGCCCATCCCAAAGAAGTACTTACATGTATGTGTATGTTGTTTAACGCTATTCATTCTTAACACTATTAATAATTTTTAAAAATACAAACTTCTGACCGCAACACTTAAGTAAGTGAGTATGGTTTTACGCCGCTTTTAGCAATATTCCAGCAATATCATGGCGGGGGACAGCAGAAATGGGCTTCACACAATGAACCCATGTCGGGAATCGAACCCGGGTCTTCAGCGTGACGAGCGAACGCTTTAACCACTTGACTACCCGACCGCCCCGCAACACTTAAGGGTAATCGACTTGAAAGTTACAACATTACTTAAAAGCACATCATGTACTGTTGATACTTCCCTTTTAACAAATCGTACTTCAAGCACAAACGATACTTTAACAAAGCAAATTAATTTTGTCTTAAGTAAAAATTAAAATAGGCAGTTTATGAAAGACAAACCTTTCCTGTCAAAGTTATCATACTCTGTATACATGGTATCATATCATCACGTATAATGTCACACTTTTCACAACAAAATAATATTTGATTCAAGAGAATAACATCCCCATTGATATCTGGGGTCACGCTAATTCGCTACGGTGTCATCCTGGTTCAAGATGGCGCCACACTATTGACAATAGTGTCGCGCTGATTCCCACACTTATTCATCATTGCTGTCATGAGTAATCATTATCTTGGTAATCAAGCACTGCAACAGGTGATACTGAGTATTGTTTTACGCCGCTTTCAGCAATATTCCAGCAATATCACGGCGAGTGGGGAGTCCGGAGTTCGAACCACTGATGATCGGATCCCGGTGATGCTAAGAAACGCAACTCTGTTCGGTGGCTTAGTAGCCAGGGTCACCCATACCCCGTGTATCTGTACATACAAATACGTAACTGAACTTTCTATAGTTAACATGAATGTGTTATCAAGTCACATCTAATAAAAGATTCCACTGCCCCCATGATTGTGTCGTAAATGTGACGTTCACGGGCACTAGTAAATCAAGTTCTAATATGGATTCAGGGGCGGTTGGGTAGCCCAATGGTTAAAGCGTTCGCTCGTCATGCCGAAGAATCGGGTTTGATTCTCCACATGGTTTCAGTGTGTGAAGCCCATTTCTGGTGTGCCCCGTCTTGATATTGCTGGAATGTTGCTGAAAGCGGCGTAAAACCGAACTCACTCACTCACTCAATAGGGATTCTGCTTAAATCTTACCGAGATGACCTAACACGTGCATTAAATTTAATTTCCTCAACTCCATGTAAATAAACTGCCGGGCAATAGAAAGTTGACACTTGAATTTGACCAAACAATTACAAACGTTATCAAAACTTTACTTGGCTGAAACACTGTCGTCGGAACACCGCAAGCTTCAGGCGTAAAGCACAACTGCGTTACCCGTATCAAATACATCACCATCGAATAACCATTTTTAGCCATCATCAAACATGGATATATACTTTCTATTGCCCGGGAAAGGATTTAGGATGAAACCGAATTATGAAAATTTGCCTCAGAAAACGAATAAAGCATTACTATTATCTCATTAAATCTTGCTAAAATTGCATTTTTCCAGTGACAAACCTCTAGGATTAAAGGAAATATGTACAAGGTACCTTTTGGTCATTAGTAAAATCTGTATTAAAGGTACATATACGTATTTAACAAATGTTATATTTGAGATAACACTTTCTCAGTTAAAGTACTAATCGCCAGCACACAAAGTCAGCGATCTAACCTACTCAGCCACCGAGGCTTCCACCAAAAAATGAAAGTCCGACAACTGGTAGTATAGATGACATACTTTGTGTACCCCTCTGACAAGTGTAAAGTGACACGGCTCCCATTGTGTGCTGGCGATTAGATGTCACCTTATGGCAGTGTGGGTTCGAATCCCCGACGGGACTCAACCCAAAAAGTGCGATAATCTCTACTTTACTGAGAAAGTGTTATCCCCAAAATAACATTTGTTAAATTTGACCACTTTCTAAAGTGGCATTGTGTGTTCATACATAAACGTACGTGGGTCAGGAAAGTCCAAGCGTCTGCTTCAGTCGCTACATATGATTGATGGATTTCCAACGAACTGTTTCGAGACAGTGTCATACTTGACATATTTTGAACCTTCAAAGAGGTAAAAACGTTTGTAGGTCAGTCTGAACATGGCTGTGGCACCTTTAAAGGCTCCGCTCCATGGGTTACCTGCGGTCTGCAGCAGCATGTCATGGTTTTGTATTATCTCAAACTTCCCCGAGCTGCTGGAATAACGAAGATGGTATACGATGCCGCTAGCCGTGACGTGCAGGTCGGGGGAGGTGGTGCTGTCTACGGCGATCGAGTCCACGCGGGACAAACCACTGCTGGCAAAGAAGGTGCTGAAGTAGTGAGTGTCTGCACATGCGCTGAAAGTGAAGGCTCCGCTCGTAGCTCTCTGGAAGCAAGATTCCTTTGTACCTGCAAGGGAGGGTCCCACAAATGAATTATCATGACCAAATTATTCTGAAGACAATCAGTCATATTCATATCTAAATTTCAGAATCTTGGACAGTCCTACCATTCAGCGAAATATAGATAATTTCAACATTTCAGCCTGCAAAGAACTTAAAATCGGACACTACCTGCAGCATGGTCTTAGCACTAAAAGTGATTTGGATTTTTACACACATACAGAGCCACGACAATAATTGTTAATTAACCAGCATGTACGCTATTATGAGCTAATAAGTGAATTCGGTTTAATGGCTCTTTGAACAGTACTTCAGTTAAGATCCTTGAAATTCAATCATAGGCCAATGAAATAAAGTAAAAGTCATGAAAGAAATGATCATTGTCAGATCGCTTTTTCAAATATAATTAATTTAAATTATATCCTTAAAAGTTATAATTTTAAATACAATTCTAAACACATTTAAACCGTTAAGGCGTTTTGATTACGGAATCTAAACCCACGTTCACATTGTATTTTCCAGCAGTTTAGCATATTAAAAATCACATCTATGTTTCAGCATGTTAACAAACACGTCAGACCTACCTTTCAGGAGTATAGTTTTTGTAGGGTTGGTTCCTATGAACTCAAATGCTGCGTCCACTGAGTTTGTATAGCCTGGGTATAAGTCAGTGGTGGAGTAGTCACCAACCCGAGCAACGGAAGTGATCGTGGTACCCACTATGTTAAACTTGTAGACTCTGACCTTCGGCCCACTGAACATAGCTGTATGGTAGTTTGAGAAGTGCATCACTGTGGCGTCTATAGGCATGTCCACTTCACATGTCCTCTGGAACGAAATAAACAGCTTTTGGTTGTCCTTCTGAGTCAGTGCATCCTCGACAATCCAGGGTTTATATATCCTCCCAATTAGGATAACAACCCTGTCACCACCTCCATCACTCTGAACGGAGAATTGTCTCCCTTATGTAATTTGACTCCGAATGGGCCCAGGGTATTCAGTGCGGGGCAGAGTCAGTGCGGGGCGGTCGGGTAACCTAGTGGTTAAAGCGTTCGCTCGTCACGGCGAAGACCCGGGTTCGATTCCCGACATGGGTACAATGTGTGAAGCCCATTTCTGGTGTCCCCCGCCGTGATATTGCTGGAATATTGCTAAAGCGGCGTAAAACTATACTCACTCACTCTGAGTCAGTGCATGCTCGATAATCCAGGGTTTAATGTCCTCCCTGTCACCACCTCCATCACTCTGAACAGAGAATTGTCTCCCTAATGAGTCATGTAATTTGACTCCGAATGGGCCCAGGGTACTCGTCAAAATAGAGATTTAATACACTGGATAATCGAGAATGTGGGTAACGCTGTAGTTGGAAGTGTCGCTGCAGCAGGAACGACAATACATTCATGTAGGGTACCACCGTTCATAACTATTGCAGCCGTATACGACCCGATAACGCCCTCCATTAATAAAATAACGCCACTTGAATTCCAGGCCATAATTCCAATCCACGAAAATCCCTAATGTATAGAGGTAAATTGTTAAGTGCTCGGTTCTGGAGAAACACCAGCATTAAAAGTAGCGATCGAGTGTTTTTCCCAAACGCTGCTTAATTCAACTTATCATCCAATCATTGTTCATGGTACTGATGAGGCCAGAGGAGGTCTATAGTACAATGTACTACTCTAATATTATCGTTGTAGTTTTAGAGTCAATTGATTCATCTACACAAAGGTCTTAACATGTATTTATAACACTGGTGTCGTGTGTTGAAAACAAAATTTCACTGTGGCGTGTTAAGGTCACATGTTGCTTTAAGTCTTCCAACCTTTGGGTTTTGCTCGATAGCTTCCTTTAATAGCGTTCAACCGCAAAAAAAGTTACACTAAAGCCAAACGTTGTGCGACAGCAGTGTATGTAAGTACGTTTGAACTCTTTGCTTACATTTATTCATGTTTGTTGAAAAACTTTAATTATCTGTCGTAAGTGTTGATCCTTAAGTAAATAAACTTGAAACAATTATTGCTAAGAGTACCTACAACTTCTCTTGGAACAATGGCCTTTGTGTCCTAATATGTAAGGATGTTTTAACTGTTCATCTCGCATTGTTCTGTTCGTATGGAGCTACGCAAGGCTTTGTTGTGTCGTGAGTCGGGTGTTGAATAATGTGGAGTGTTTTATGTTGTCTGGATAAAGACTGTTAGAAGCAAAGACCTTTATCAACAACACAGAGATCTATACCCTTTAGACAATCAGAACCTCGCGTAGCTTCCTACAGAATCACCACAGAACCACAATAAAGTTTTGTTTGAAGTTGGGACACGTTATTGGTCGTGTCCTTCTCAGCAGTGCAATCGTTCTGCACAATACAATTTCGATGGTGGTGTTGATCCTGAATACAATACGTTCCAATAGACCGTGATAAATTGATTATAATACCCCCCCATGTCATCACATCCAGACAGTAATTTCTTTGTCACTGGGGTGATGTTAAATTATTTTTATTTCTTTGTATTGGTTATGAACTGACCAACCGCAGGAGGGTGTGTTCGAATAGACTGACAACCAGTATGTAGGACAATGCTTTGTTCCGAGTTTGCACGATTTTACCGTTAAATCTCACAATGCCATGATCAGTGGGAGAACTTGCTCGACCACACCGTTAAGTCGTTGTGCCGGGTGCGGCGTAGTACAACGATCACTTTTTTATGCAAATTATGGAATCTCCGAAAACAGATTACACATTTTGTTTCAGTATTGATATGATTTCTATTTTCGTATATTGATATAATTTCATTTTTATCCCTGGCTGCTCTGTTTATATACGTTCGAGTAGCTGCCTTACTCTCAGAAATAGAGTTAGTTTGGCTTCAGGAGATGTATGGCAGATAGCGGATCTAACTGCAATTCTTGTTTTAACCTAGCCCGGGCTGGGGCATGGTCTTGACTTTCTAGTAACACGTTAGCAATTGATTCAGCCTGATTGCAAGATGAACAAACCTTGTCATAGTACTTTTTGTGAGTCTGAGGCGTGAGATGGCAACTTTAATTTTCCTTTCATTTGAGTATGAGTTTGGCTTTTGTTGGATCTTGGGTTGAATTTCGTATAGCCATCTGTCGATCTTACTTGCTTCCCATTGGGCTTGCCATCTTTGGGCTATAGAGGATTTGATTTTGTTTTTTATCTCTAGTTTACTAAAGGGAATAGGCTGTATCCCCGCTTTGTCTAGAGCTAGCTTCGCCAGTGTGTCTGCTTTTTCATTTCCATGACTACCTATGTGAGAGGGGATCCAACGCAGCTCCACCTGTTGCCCTTGGTCCGATAGTTTTGTAAATTCACATAGAATATTGTTGACTGTGTTTGGCCTGGAGTTTGAGTTTCTGTCGCTGATGGCTTGAAGTGCACTTAGCGAGTCTGATAGGGCGACTGCCTTTGCTTCCGGAAGTTCCGGTATGAGTTTGAGCGCATGAAGAATTGCCTCCAATTCAGCAGTGAATACTAACTGACCATCAGGCAGGCGAACCGAATGTGCTTGGGGTTTGGAGCTGTGGATATGGATCCCGTAAGCAGCACTGTTGTTGATAGGATTCTTGGATCCGTCAGTGTAAATATGGGCCCAGCTGTCCCAGGTAGTTTTAGTGATAGCTACTGATCGTAGTGGGGTTTGGTTTTCTTTTTTAGTGACTTCTGATGTTAAAGCAGTGGCAACTTTGTCAGTTTTTAAAGTCCAGGGAGGGTGTAACCTTTGTAGTGACTTTCTGGAGGCTGAATGTCATCACAATTGTGACTTCGGATGAATTCACGTACTAATATCCCAGATTTTTCCGAGCTAGGGCTTCGTCTCGAGTGATTTTGTCTTGCCATATCTTATTAACCAAAGGGTTTGATGTTCGTCCCCAGATCGATAATTATTGCCTGCTCTCTTCTTAGTTTGCCTTTTATGGAGACACGGGGTATCATAGCATCTTTCCCCCGGCGTTTGAATAGAACTCCAACAGTTTTTTCACTTGAAAGGGAAAACCCCCATTTATTGCACACTAGATCTACCCCGTCCAGGGCTGACTGGAGTTTTTTTCGGATTTGTGAAATATCTCTGTGTTTTACCCATATTGCTCCGCCATCAGCGAATTTAGAAGTTTGGGTAGGAGAGTTGACATGATCAAAAAGATCATTGATCATGATGTTCAACAGGGTTGGGCTTATAATGCTGCCTTGTGGTGTACCATTGTCCAATGACATAGGATCACATTGATTGTTCCCTATTTTAACTGATAGCGACCATTCTTGCAGGAAGCTGTCTAAGAAGTTTGCCATGTTCCCTTCTATTCCATTTTGTGCTAGTTTTGTGAGGAGTCCGTCATGCCATACCATGTCGAAGGCTTTGCTGAAGTCCAGAAATACTGCGGCTAGGTACTGTCTGTTTAATTGAGCCTTTTTTATTTCATTTTCCAGTCTTAGAGCGTAATGGGCAAAGTAGTTGTGAAATATATATGAATGGACCACTGAGAGTTGACACCAATGATGGCACCAGGTAAAGGGTAAACATGTCCTGCCCGACCGGTAGGTAGCATGCGCCATTCACACAATGTGTATAACAAAGTAAGCAGGTATTGCCTGACGCCGCCCACCAGGACTCTTGCTAAGTGATCTTAGCGATAAGACCATTGTAAGCCTATTTTAATGTATGGGAGTTACAATCATCTTAGGGCTAAGATTGCTTTGTGCAAGTGGGTCCAGGACTCTTGCTAAGCGATTGCGGCCTGTAAACAAACCAGACACTCCAGTGATCGATAACCCAGAAAATCCAGTGACACAAACTAATCAAAACGATACTTTAAGTTTGAATTCCGTCTGCTGTGAACAAGTTCAGAGGCTCTGCTGCTAATATTTGAAGAAGAAGCTTGAGGAATATATTCATTTTGCATCACAGTTAAAGCAATTTAAGAACTGGAAAGCATGCCTTTCGAACTTGTAACGCCTTGGACTCACAAAGCTTTGGACGAAATAACCCTGGAAGGGATTATGACACCTAAATACTTACACATGTATTATGTAATGACTGACATATCTATATACCCTTGCAATACCATTTCTTAGAATTCTTCAAATATCTACCATTACTAAAACAATAATATTAGATTGACCCATTTATCACAGAATAATTCTAATAAATGTAATTTTCTTTATAAATTCATAACGGTATTTATAGGTAAGACACCATCATCTGCAAAAAAAGCAATCTGCGCTCACTCACAAATATGCCATGAGTATGATTGCTGTCTATTCTGTTACCAGCTGATTTATAAAGAAAATAAACAACAGCTGGTTCGGAAACCATTTGCTGTGAAACAGCTTTGTCCAGATGGACCTAGTTCTCAATAAACCATAAATCTGTACACGATTATCTGAATATATTTCCATTTCCATTCACTCTCTTGCAGCATATAGCGTACCTGGGCCCCATAAACAGCCTACAATAAATAGAGATTATTAATGGCAAATATCATATATTAGGAATAAAAATGTCATTATGCGAGCATTTGATATTTACGCACGATAATATCTTTGCCATGCAATGTTTAAGAAAGTATAAGTTTCAGACCCGTTGCTGTTCACTTCGAGTTCAGAAAACGCATAGGAATAGAAACATGAGTGAAAAGGTCCTTTTGTCATATAGTGCCATATGATTTGCAGCCAATCTTTATGTGTTCACGAGTGCTTAGTTTACAGTTTACTCGTGCATAGGAATCCAAAAGACAGTTTGTTATTTCTTGCTATATATTAGCGTTAATTAAACACTTATATTGGATGTAGCTTTGTCAAATCTCCCCTATTTCGGATGATGGCACACGCGTTTTTTAACGAGACTACACTGTTTTTGCTGGAGGCAACTTGTGGCGTATTGATTGTGAGTGAGTGAGTGAGTGAGTATGGTTTTACGCCGCTTTTAGCAATATTCCAGCAATATCACGGCGGGGGACACCAGAAATGGGCTTCACACATTGTACCCATGTCGGGAATCGAACCCGGGTCTTCGGCGTGACGAGCCAACGCTTTAACCACTAGGCTACCCGACCGCCCCCGTATTGATTGTGGAAACAGCACATTGATGACTTGTATTTCAATTAACGTGGGTAGCTAAACACAGCGCCTTCTATGTTATATTTACGGAGGCGGATGTGTATTTGTTGACACACAATTTGAAACAATTAATTATAATTTGTCAAGAGATTACAAGAACTGACTATAACAAGCAAGATTCCTCTTTAATCACTGTGTTGCACTTTCCCTTCTTCGAAATAGAATTGATGGTACTTGAATTCTTTTGTCTTCATTGACTTTGCCTGGATCAATTAATGCCTTCATATCATTTCATGATTTCCTTTACAACATTCCACGATTTCCTTCATAGCAATCCATGATTTCCTTCACAGCATTTCATGGTTTCCTTCATAGCATTTCATGCTTTCCTTCCCAGCATTTCATGATTTCCTTCATAGCATTTCATGATTTTCTTCACAGCATTTCATGATTTCCTTCACAGTATTTCATGGTTTCCTTCATAGCATTTCATGGTTTCCTTCATTGCAGTCCATGATTTCCTTCACAGCATTTCATGATTTCCTTCACAGCGTTTCATGGTTTCCTTCATAGCATTTCATGATTTCCTTCATAGCATTACATGGTTTCCTTCACAGTATTTCATGGTTTCCTTCATAGCATTTCATGATTTCCTTCACAGCATTTCATGATTTCCTTCACAGCATTTCATGATTTCCTTCATAGCATTTCATGGTTTCCTTCACAGCATTTCATGATTTCCTTCATAGCATTAAATGCTTTCCTTCACAGTATTTCGTGGTTTCCTTCATAGCATTTCATGATTTCCTTCATAGCATTTCATGATTTCCTTCATAGCATTTCATGGTTTCCTTTACTACATTTTATGGTTTCCTTCACAGCATTTCATGGTTTCCTTCATAGCATTTCATGATTTCCTTCATAGCATTTCATGGTTTCCTTCACAGTATTTCATGGTTTCCTTCATAGCATTTCATGGTTTCCTTCACATTATTTCGTGGTTTCCTTCATAGCATTTCATGGTTTCCATCACAGCATTTCATGGTTTCCTTCACAGTATTTCGTGGTTTCCTTCATAGCATTTCATGATTTCCTTCACAGCATTTCATGGTTTCCTTTACTACATTTTATGGTTTCCTTCACAGCTTTTCATGGTTTCCTTCATAGCATTTCATGATTTCCTTCATAGCATTTCATGGTTTCATTCACAGTATTTCATGGTTTCCTTCATAGCATTTCATGGTTTCCTTCACATTATTTCGTGGTTTCCTTCATAGCATTTCATGGTTTCCTTCACAGCATTTCATGGTTTCCTTTACTACATTTCACTCTTTCCTCCACAAAATCCCATACACAAATACTTATCTACGGCTTCCTTGAAATGCTTAGCGAATAACAGGTAACTTGTGGACCATCTACACTTGACCAGGATGCTTAAAAGTATACACATGTAACGTGTTTGCAGCAAATTATGCAAATTGTGTGAGTGGCGGGTACTGTCGATAGCGCAGGGCATACTTACCCTTTTCGCAAACACCTGGTGTGAAAGCTTAAACCACAATATAGGCTACTCCACTCCAGCATTAAGAAATAAATAAGAAGGCAGACATCATATAATTGTTTTTTAAACAGACGGAAAAGTAACATCATATTTACACTAGGCACAAAACATTATAAATTATAACTGTCGTAGATTTAACATTCCAATTGAGGTCATATAGTATTTATGTGCGCTGGGGACGAAATATTGCATAGATAGTTATATAAAATAAAATATGTTTAACGAAATGTGAAGTATGCTTGGGCCTAGAATCGGATCTAAAGGATTCCCGAATCTTCTTCACTCAATAATATTCCATGCAGTATTTTAGAGACATTCAAAGATGATCTATTGTTCGTTTCTCGCATCCACAATACAAACAGATCGACTATAGACCGACATGACATATATCTGTGGGCATATACATACCTTCTCATAGTACTGAGTTCCCGGACTCGACACCATGTTCTTCCTGAGTGTCAGAGTTTCGAACACCACACAACTTCCGAGTCGGGCGTTCGTCATCTTGAACTGAAACGCCGAACACCCGGTGTTTCGACCGCACATGCGAGAGCACCCCAACCTCGTCTTCTCACCCCAGTCGGTGCCCTGGGACACAGGACGAGCATAATCCGGCTCCCCGTACACAGAAAACCAGGCATTCTCTATCCCCTCGCATGGTGCCAAAACCAAAACCAATACAACTATAGCCAACATCTTAGAATCGTGACTCAAATGCTACGAACTCTAAAATTGACTGTTAATTTAAAATTGTTACGATTAATAACGTTCAAACAATAATATCAAAAGTTTCAAAAGTCGGTCTCAGCGTGGACACTACATGCTCGCCAACATTAAGCCTGTGTATATAAAAACATGCAGTCGAGTGAACGTATATGCTGAGCGCTGACCGAACTCTGGGCGACTGGATTCGTCAGTCCATCCCGTTGATAGCTTCGTAACGACAAACACGGGCGAATCTTACCGCCTACAGTTGATCTGTAAATATGAGGTCTTCAACTCTCAACGCGTCTTTGAAGTTGCAAACTTAACATGATTGAAGGCCGTTAATTCGTTTTGTCATGTTTGTATTTTCTTCTATTGTGTTGTTGCAGTAATAAAGATCAATTTATAGACTTTCTCACGCTGTCATTTATAGGGCACCTGCTAGTTTTATGTATTTCGACGGGGTCTCATCTATAGACTCGTACCTAAAGAAAAAACATCGCAATACCATTATCTCAATCGATGTTTGTGACGCGTTCATTAACACAAAACGGGATTTATGTTAAACAGTGGTACATCAATAAAATCTTATTCGGGACAATATTGATTATTAACAATGTTGTATTTGTAAATAGTACGTGACTATTGCGGTATTTATTTTAGTATATATTACACTGGTAGTACCAATACTGCACACTTTATATTTCCTGGCTAAACTCGACAAGGCACCATGGGGTGTTCTTGTGATCGCTTGACAAGTTAAAGGTCCGGGTTCGAATCCACACACACGAGTACAGGGTTTGATGCCAATTTTCTCGCCTTTCCATCGTCATGTGGTGAGATATTGATAACAACTGCGTAAACCACCAATGTCCCACCCGAAATAATGGCAAAGTCCCATGGTTGACCTTTCCAAGGTATCGCGTTCATACGTCAACATCTACGTCAACATCTACGTCAAAGCCACAGGTGGAAGCGCACACTACAACGATGGCAGAACAGGAACTGAAGGGAATCACCTCTTCCAATCAGATGACAGAGTACGTGTGTATCGTGCGTAAGAATTTACCATTTGGAGGTGGCAGCGTAATGATTTTTGCCTGAATCTGTGGTCACGGAAGGACGGAACTTGTTGTTGAGCACTAATCTCACAGTACAACGTAACATCGAACAGGTATTGCGCCCAATAGTTCGTCCCTTCCTTCACGAGATCACGGATCTTGTTTCATCAGGACAACCCAAGCCACATCCGTCTCTCCCTGTAGGTTACTAATATGAACGTTTTGTCTTGGCCAGCTCCCCTTCCTGACCTTTTGAACACATCTGCGGCCAACTTGATCGTCAGGTTAGAACAGGACCTCTTGCAAACAGCCGTGACTTAATGTAGGTATTCATTGAAGAAGATAAACGTCTGACAAACTCCGCAAGATGTCGTGTCTTCCCAATGAAGGACAACCCAAGCCACATCCGTCTCTCCCTGTAGGTTACTAATATGAACGTTTTGTCTTGGCCAGCTCCCTCTCCTGACGTGTTGAACACATCTGCGGCCAACTTGATCGTCAGATTAGAACAGGACCTCTTGCAAACAGCCGTGACTTAATGTAGGTATTCATTGAAGAAGATAAACGTCTGACAAACTCCGAAGAAAAGATGTCGTGTCTTCCCAATGAAAGAAAACGCGCAACATTGACTGTGATCATGGGGGCGGTCGGGTAGCCTAGTGGTTAAAGCGTTGGCTCGTCACGCCGAAGACCCGGGTTCGATTCCCGACATGGGTACAATGTGTGAAGCCCATTTCTGGTGTCCCCCGTCGTGATATTGCTGGAATATTGCTAAAAGCGGCGTAAAACCTCACTCACTCACTCACTGTGATCATGCCATTTCCTACCATGCAGGGCGAATTTGATCTCAACCATATTGGGACTGCATACTGACAATGTAACCCCATCACGTTGTTGTCCTCATAGATGCTGTTTTTACGATGACAGAGCATGTACCTGTATCATTGCTGTCTAGTTTCTTTCTCAATCATTACAAACGCAAAATGGAATATGTTATAATAATTACGATTATTGTAAATCCAACTAGCCTCCATCCATCCCTACTACAAAACTGTCAAACCTTTAAAAACATCTGCTTTCTTTCTACACATTTCTGTCAGGCACGAACTTCTGTATCGAGCCCCTTGATAGATATCCCGGCACTACATCATGGAAATGCTGCTCATGAACATTGTATTTATTACCACACCACAGTTCGATGGTGATTGGAATCAATGTTTTACACAGATGCTATAAACTTTCAGTGCAGAAAATAGATAAAGCGTTAAGGACGCAATGGATTTCAGTTGTAGGTTCTGTATGTTTTAATGAAGCTGGTGCCCTGGCCAATGAAGCATTGATCTGGTAGGCCGGTTGACGGAACTCGTGCCATGCAAACACAGAAGTCACATAAAACATCGCTATGCTTTGGTGGTGGTAGCTAGCGTTTATGCAAGAGACTATTGAATGTATCTTTGATATTCGTAAACCAGCACAAACAACAATAACTCTTTTCCACGGGAGATATTTAAAGAATGTTTTTTTTCGGTTCAATGGGATATGAATCGAAAAGCCAATCTGTCGAACTGCCTAGGGCCAGGGGGTGGGGGTCTGTGACGTCATACAGTGCTGAGGCCGGCAACCTTATTTGGTACGCGGGAATCTATTTAGGAGATATTCATGACTCAGCAAAATATAGTCGTTTTTGGTACGCAGATTCAACACTTAAACAAACCGAATCTTGCACGTAAAACATCCCTTATAGAAGTTATTATTTCGATATATTTTCTGTAATTTAACTTTAAATCAGGTCCTTAGCTTTTAAGATTTGTGTTAAGTAATATTCGGGATGCAGGAATGAGCAAATGAGTCTCAGAGTGAATAATTTGATGGTATTCGGGGTTCAATGGAAAGGGTGGCACCCTCAGTGCTTTTATGGGGCAGGAATGTCGAGTGACAATGGCCGATAAGGCCTCGCACAGTTTGTGTTTCTGTGAAGTTGTTGCATTGCGATTGTGGCCATGCACAGAACTATAGAGTGCGAAGCTTGAAACCAGAACCGCTCATTGATTTGAAAGATGAGGCGGTGGGCGGGGTAGGACTTGATGCACTGAGCATTTTCACAAATAACGCTAACATGGAACTATGCCCGATTATCTCATGATGAAAGTAGTCCGCTTAGGAAGGCGTGGCTTCGTTTCTAAAATATTTATTTATTTACTTGTACATTGGTTTATTGAAACTGTTCCTGTTGATTCCTGAGTAAAACATGACTGCAATCATACCATTTATCAAAAGGTGAAGACTGTTTAGAGAAAACATGGATGGTCACTTCCTGAGATGCGAATTGTTTCAATCTCCAGGAGTAAGTTGTTTATAAATGTCTGACAACAGCATCCAATCTTAAAACGTCCGGGTCTTTGTGAGTGATTTGGGTGTAACAGGTTCTGGCCCAGGTAAGGGACACAACTCTGCTCAGCGAATTAAGGCGGGCTGCGTGGAGAAATACTTGCTACAACGGAATTGATAGATCAGATTAAGTCCTGGCGCAGGTAAGGGACACAACTCTGCTCAGCGAATTAAGGTGGGCTGCGTGGAGAAATACTTGCTACAACGGAATTGATAGATCAGATTAAGTGATAAGCACTACTATAAGCATACAATTTTATCTGAATCACTTGTCAGCTGACCAGAGTTACCTCGTCTACCCAAATTCTACTGAGGCAAAACGAATCTTTATTATCGAATGCATACGGTGTTTCGAGCATAATGCGCAGTAAAAATCTGCGATCAGCTTTTGATGCTTTGACAGTGCATTATTTATGATTAAACACTTCACATTATTATATTAATTTGTATGTTTATATTGTGTATATATTTGCACTATATACCATGTAATTCATTCTATACACTTACAGCATTGAAATGTTACTTTAAGTACCCATCATGTCAAGACCAAGTTGACGATAGCTCACTTAGCTAAGCTAAAATAAGGTACAACTTTATGGATAGCAACTTCTTGTTTATTGCATATGCCAATCAAACACCTGGCAAAGCTAATTAAAATCAACCAATGCTATCGGAAGTGTTTACTTTACTTTAATCTAATCTATTGTTTTCTTTACCTGTTACCTATTGTTACTACGTAATCACCATTGTATAGACATTCAGACGATGTTATTGACGCAATTGCCACTTGTCATGGTCACGTGATAACTGTTCCAAGAACTCATTTCGGCCTGTCCAATCAAATTCCTATTAGTAAATTACCAATTTTTTTTCAACGAACAATATTGTATTTAAAGGGCACATGATACGTTTTGACCAATCAGGAGAATGCTAACGTTGATCAGTGGTGATTACAGTACTTTTTACACCATAAAAACAGGTCCGTGATTTCACATCGAGCTCACTTGTACAAACTTTATTTATTATGTCAAATAATATCATAATTGAAATTTACCATTTATGAGTAGGAAGTGGAAAATAGTATGTAAATAGTGTACTTGCATGAATATTGTCATGCATAATATCACAGTCATTGTTGAATATGTAAGTGAATTAGATATATTGACATGATTAGTTGTGCATTGATGTATTGCACATCATTTATATGCTGATAAAGAACTAATACAAATATGTGGTTCAACGGCAAATATAATTTACATATGATTTATATGACGACCTTTGAGGTATATTTGAGATATGCTTAAAGTAAATGTATGACTAGTTCATGAATATTTGTCATTCAATGTTATGTTGAAAGAATGAACAATTATAATTATTGTTACTATGTACACAAATCCTACCATATGAATTGCTTATGTTCCAATAAAAATGTGATTTTTATATAAGATTATTGTCTGATTATTTATGAACATCACGTTGGATCTCACAATAAATACTGAAACATCTCTTAAGCTAATAACTTGCTATCCCATAAGTAACGGGATAGCATAGCGATCTGCCGAACTGTTCACATAGGATTTTGCCGCGTCAATGTAAACAAAATTGAATAAATTTTGAATGAAATTAATAATATAGATTAAAAACATAAGTATCGACATACAATGAACATTTTATGAATATAACCATATTGTGTCATACCAGGATTAAATTAACATTGTGATAACATGATACCCGCCTCTTTGATGTTGCGTGCCGCGAGGTGAAATTGCAAAACAAAAATCGTCAAGCGTGATCGCAAAGCGACAA